TGATTCTATTACTATTGGTTCAAAAACAATTATTCCAACTGATAAATTTATATTTAATTCAAACTTATTAAATGAATATAATAAATCAAAATTAAAAAAATCTACTAAAGAATCAAAAATCCCTACTTCTGTAGGCTCATCATACCATTAACTGGAACATGTAATCATATAAAAAATCATATAGATGGATTAGATTTCCTTGTTGTAATAATGTATATCCATGTCATATATGTCATGATAAAGCAAATCCTGATCATAATAGTGAATGGGGTAAACAAATGATATGTGGTTATTGTAGTAGAGAACAAATATTTACAGAAAAATGTAAATTTTGTCATCTTACATTAACAGGTAATAATTCTGGAAGTAAATTTTGGGAAGGTGGTAAAGGATGTCGTAATCCAATTACTCTTAGTAATAAAGATAGTCATAAATATAAATTACTTAATAAAAAAAAAATTAAATAAATCTTCAATCATATTATAGAATTATATATTATATTTATAACTTCTAATATAAATAATATATATATCATTACAAAAGATATATCCTCAATATCTTCAATTATTTTATATAATCCAAATATATTTAAAAAGTACCAATTATATATTATATATTTATTTATTAATAATATTAATTTTATTAATATTGAAATCCAAATATAAAATTTCTTTATACGTATATAAATCTTTGATATTATCTTTAAATATATATTTATCATATTTCTTATTAATCTTAATATATCATCTTGTATATTATTTTTCATATATTTATGTTTCCATAATTTTAAAAAAGATTTCATTGTATTATATTCTGAATTCATATCTAATATTAAATTTGGTATTATAGATATATTTCTTTTTATATTAAATTTTATATTATAATAATCATTATTTATTTGTTTAATAAATATTATTGATATATATAAATAATTATCTAAATATATTTGTTTTCTTTTATATGACAAATTATTTATCTTATTATCTAAATTTCTATTTCTTAAAATTCTTAATAATTTCTTATTATTTATACATCTTAAACAATATAAAAATAATATATCTTTTTTTTTTTTCTCTATTTCCCAAAAATTACAATTACATATAGTTGAAATATATACAATGTATTGAATATCTTTATTATTAATATAATCATTCCATATTAAATCATTATATATTGTCTTATTATTTATTAATTCTAATTTTCTATAATTTCTCATATCATTCCAATATTTCCCAAATATATTATTTTGAGATATTTTATATATATTAATAATATCAATAATAATTAAATTCATTTTATATAATAAATCATTATTCTTCTTATTTTCTTTATAACTTATTTTATTCTTTATTATCTCTAAATTACTTATATTAGTAATTATATTTAATCTATTCTTTTTATTTAAATCATATTCTTTATATATAAATAATAAATTCAATATTAATATTATCAAAATTTTATTATTTATTTTCTTCATTATATCTTTTAAATATTTTATATATAAAATAATAATTAAAGTAAAATCAAAATTACCACACTATATTATAAATCAAGTTTATTTCGAACAAAAAAAGAAAAAAAAAACAAAACAAAAGTAATAAAAGTAACTTTTTATTAATATATCTTACATTATTTAAATAAAACTTCTAATATGAAAAAAAAATCTATTAAACAAGTTTTATTCTTATTTATAATCATATTTCTTATTTATATTATTAATCAAAGATCTTATTCCTCTTCAAATGAGTTTATTCATAATAAATATATACAGAATAAAACAAATATATATTATTATTTAAATAAAATCAATCTTCTTAAACATTTATTTAAATCTAAAATAAAGAAAAAGGAAAATCTTATTACAAATCAATTAAAAAATAATGCAACTATAGTACTTGAATATAATCTAAATATTATTTGTAATTATTTAATCATTATTTTATTTCCATGGGATCTACCAGTCATATGTATTAATTCACAAGATAATCAAAGTGATCTACAAAAAATTAAACTTTTAAATAACACTAATTATTTCAATTTTTTGGAAAAAGATATTGATATATTCTCAGAATCTCAACATAAATTTATAGATTTATTTAATCAATATATTAAAATAGAATCTAATTTTAAAAATCAATACCAATCTCAATATCAACCTCAATATCAACCTCAATATCAAATCGAATATTTTATACAATCATATATAGAAACAATTATAGATAATTTAACAACCTTAATCATAAATCCTAATTGTATCAATATTCATTTTAAAAGTCTTTGGAAATATATATTTTATTTATCTATCATTATTAAATATTATCATAAAAATATATATCAATTTTCATTTCTCAAAGAAATACTTACTCAATTATATTATTTTTGTATATATATAAATACAAAAAAAAGTCAACATCTTCTTCAAAAAACAAACTTATTAGAATTAATTCAATGTTTTCTATCTATTCCATATTACCAAATTAAAAATTCTGAATTTATCTATTTACATCAAATATGTATATTTCAATATATTAATCTAATTCAAGATCAACAAATATATAATCTAGTTAAAGACAATCAACATATTAAACAAATTCAAAATATTCAAAAATTTATAAATATTATTATTTATAATATTTCTAAATTTTATTATAATTATCTTAATTCTTTCAAAATTCTATATTCTCAACAAAATCAAAATATTCAAAATATATTCAATATATATACAATTAATCAGATTAATTATCAAATAAATATGCTCATTACTATATATAAGCAATTTTTAGATATATATATATCAAGAATTTCTTATATTAAAGATATTTTTATTAATAATCATTATATACAAATTATAATACAAGATTATCAATTAATTCCAATCAAAAAAGAAATTTTTCATATAAATTTATTAAAACAAAAATATCTTCATATTATTTCTATTATATCATTACAAAATAATATATTCAATATATTTCAGAATAATTCAAATATTTTATTATTTCAATTTTATAATTTAATTATAGATTATATATTTAATTGGATTAATCCATTATTAAGAAATATTAAAGAAATTAAATGGCTTTTAATTAATATATGGGATATGATATTCTCAATATTTATTATCATTTGTATTACAATATGTTTCTGTATTATTCCATGTATAAATAAAGATAAAGAGATTCAAAATAATAGGATTCATTGGATTTCAATAAGAAATATTTATATAGGATCTTTAATTATGATATTTATTTATTTAATTTTAATATTAGGTATAATATTGGAATATTTTAGTAAATTATCATATAATTATAGATATACTTATTTTAATAATATAAATAATTTAATAATAAAGTTTAGATATACAAATATACCAGATTTTATTATATCTATAATAACAATGATTTTAATTTTCCAATGGATTATTATTTGGTTTAAAAGTAAAATCGCGATGACGAGCATTTTAAATATAAGTGTAGATCCAGACTAGGAAAAATATGTTTTATTTAGGACTCTTAAAATTGACAAATTATAACTTTATATGATTATAACCTATATATAATAATTATTATATAATCCAAAAATTGTTTTTTAAATTATAAAGATTTATATATATATATAAATTTTCAATATAAGAAAAAAAAAGAAATCTATAATTATATTAATTTGAAATATTCCAATTTTCTTTTTTTTTTTGGTTATTTTTATTAATATATAGATTGGTAATATTCTAATTTAATATTAAATAAAAATAAAGGAAGAAGGTACAAATTTTGATAATATTTAATAATTACTATATAATACAAAGGGATTAATTGTGATGATGATATAATAAAATTGAACAAATATTTCGACATGAATTTAGAAAATACAAAAAATGTGGAATCTAATTATTGGCATTTATCTAAAGAAGATATGAATTCTAATAATATTATCGATTATATAAATACGAAAAATAAAGTATGTATTGATAATATAATAGATAATAATAATAGAATTGGTAATAGTGATAATAATAATAATAATGATAATAATAATAATAATAGTGATACAATACATCCAATAATAACAAGAAATTGGCAAATAATAGATAATATTACAAATATAATTGATACAAATGATATAATGATTAATCACTCATCAAATAATAATGATATAGATGATAATAATAGAATATGTAATGAAGATAATTCTGAAGAATGTAAAAAAATGATTGAAGATGAAGAATCAAATAATAGATTACCATTATCTCATTTTAATAAACAATGTTCAAGATTAGAAGATAAAAGTATACTTGGAAAAACTCCAAAGAGAATAAAAATAATAAGTGAAGAAAATAATAATACAAATAGTACATCATCTTCTATACATTCAAATTGTCATTTACCTTCTTTATCATGGATAAATAATAATTTAACAAGTCCTAGATCAGAAAATCATACAATTACACCTTCTCCATTAAATCATACATATTGTCAATATACATCAACAATACCATCATCAATATCAACATCTTCAACTAGTAATATTCATAATTATCATAGAAATAGAGATATTGATACAGATGATATAGATGGTGATGATGAAATTGATGAAGATGATGGTATTACATGTGATGATGAAGATGATGAAGATATTGATAGAAATAATAAGAATAGAAATTTATCACTATTTAACAATAAACAACAAAATAGTATATTTTTTATTAAGAAGAATACATCAAATAATATAAATTGTAATAATAATGAACAATTTAAAAGTGGTTATAAAGGTGTATCATGGAATAAAAGAATGCAGAGTTGGTTAGCATTTTGGACAGAAGGACAAAAACGTCGTAGTAAAACATTTAACTCGAAAATATATGGTTTTGAAGCAGCTAGAAGTGAAGCAATTGCATTTTTAAAAGCTAAACAAAATGAATTACAAAATATTGGTCAAATAAATAAGAAATCAAATACACAATATCTTAATACAACAAATAATGAAAATGATAGGCATAATTGTGAAGATTTTCAAAAGAAATCAATCCATTTATTATATTTACCTAATAATAATGATTATCATAATTTAGGTTATATAAATAATAATAATAATATTATAAATAATCATGATATGTATATTAATGGAAATCCAATTACATTATCAACAAATTGTAGAGATAATAATTTCTTACAGTCATCAAATTTATTATCTACATATACATATAATAATAATATTACCGAGAAATTACCAAAGATTCCATATCCAAATATATATGATGAGAATCCTATTACACAATATTATAGTTTACAAGAAACACAATCAACATCACCAGCACCTATAAAATTTTATAATATAAATAATACAACAAATAATGATAATATATTAATTGATGGAAGAAAGATATCAATATTAAATAATAACAATAATAATAATAATAATAATAATGAAATAAAGATTCCAACAATTACATTAAGTAATGAAGTTGGTATATCAAATAAAGAAAAAATAAATAACATAGATTATAATAAGTCTTTATCATCTTCAACTTCTCTTTTACAAATAGCATTAAATTCAATAAATAATAATGATAATAATAATATATCATGTAATATTGGAAATATAACAAATAATACTTTACAAGAAAATAATTGTACAAGTGAAGCTATTAAATATATATGGAATAATAATCAATTATCAAAAAATATGACGAATGAAAATAATAAAGAAAATTGTGATTTGGATATAGAGAAATCAAAAATAAATGGTACTATAACAAAGAATGATGAGATGAATAATAATTTAATGTTAGATAAGGAAGTTAATAACTCATATAAAGATGAGGACTTTTGTAAGAATAGAATTTTTGATAATAACAATAGTTTAAATAAAATTTCAATACCATTAATTAAACCATTTGAAGAAATTTCACAATTTTATGGAGATATAAATGATGGAAATAATTGTTCAAATATATTTAATTTTAATATATTTGGAAATAATGCAAATAATAATTCTCATTTAATAAACCATATAAATTTTGATAATAAAAATAGTGGAGATAATAATACATTTGAATATAATATATCTAATATAGGTAATATTTTGAATTATGATAAAAATAAAGACAAAAATATTAAAGAAAATAATATAGTTAAAGTTGATGTAGAAAAGTTGGACTCAATTGAAAATGACAACAATAATAGAATTGGTAATGGTGATAATAATAATAATGTTACAGAAGAAGAAAATATTACAGTGGATCCTTGGTCTTTTTCAAATCATGGTTCATATATACCAATAACATATAGATTTATAAAGGCATCTGGCTCAACATGTACTGACTCATAAATATAAATCTTTAAGAAAGAATAAATTAGAATTTATTCATATATAAATTATTATTAAAGAAATCAAAGTATTAAAAACTTTTTTTTTTTCTTTTGCATTTCTGAATACATCATTTTGGCTAGAATAAATATTCACATTAGACATTTGTTTAGCTGTTGTTTTACTAGTCTATCATTATGGATATTAATTAGTATTTCATTCTATTACAAAAAAAAAAGAAATTATAATATTAGTAAGAAATATAGTAAAGATTAATTACAACATTTAATAACTTACTTCATTAAATAAATCTTCATTTATTGAGTTTTCATTTATTTTTGATGAAATTTCCCAATTTACTAGTTCATTTATAAGATTAAAAAAATAGTTCTTAATACCATCTTCACTAAGACAATGAATTGCAAATGTCTTTAATATTTGAGATACTTTAGAATATATTTCTGGGTTATTTATTATTTGATAAACCTAAAATATATAATAATTTTTATTTTTATTATTTTCTAATAATTATTTTACAAATAAAATTATTTAACAAAATTTATTTAACCAACATTTTTAAGAAATTCACTTTCATTTGAAAATCCCAAAATAAGTCCCAATTTTTTAAGAGGTAAATCATAAAATTGATGAGATCTAATTGATCTTTCTGATTGTAATATTATTGAACCTAAAATAAAAAAAAAAAAAAAATAAAGATAATAGATAATATAGATTATTATAATCTACATAATAATAATAAAAGAATATATAAGTTCTCTTAATATTATTTTATTAATTAAACATTACCAGATAAAAGAAGCATTCTAAGACGTGTGGACCAAGGACCAACTCCAGGAAGATCAAGGGATATTTTACTTTGATTTAATAATTTAAGCCATTTCTCAAAGTATATTATTTCTTCACGACAAATATAATCAGAATTACATAATAATTTTCTTTGAAGATCTCTAGAATACTTTTTACATGATATCTTATTAGAATCAACAATATATACATTACTTTCAATTTTTGAATTATTTTTTATTTCATTATATAACCAACATGAAATATCAATTCGCGATTTATCAGTATAACGTCCAATAAAAAATATTTCATTTCTTTTTTTATCCCATTGACTTTTTATTAAATCAAAATACTTATCATTTATTATATTATTATTTTTTAATAAATTATTTATTGCATATGATCTAGCTAATTTCTCGTTATTATCAAGATGATTAACATATGGTATAGCAGCAATATCCCATGTGTATTTATTATTACTTGATATAGATAATAATAAACCAGGTGGATTATTATAATTATTATTATAAGTACAAATACATTGTAAACTATTAAATATATGTTCATATAATTTTAATATAGATTTATTCTTAATATTTATAACTTTTATTTTATTACATGGTATATTACATTTAATATATCCAATACAAGGATGTATAAAATTAGTACTATTCATATTAATATTTATTAAAAAGTTATCAACAAATATCTGAATATAATTACAATATTCATTTATATCCAAATTATTATTATAATTAGATAGATTAAATATATTTATTGAACTATTAAATAAAAAAAGTGAAGATTTTTCATTATTAAAATTATTAGATATTTCATTTTTCAATAAATTACGTATTTTAATTGATAAATTTGAACTTGTAATACATTTTTCTATATATGGATTTTTATCAATAGAATGCCATATTTGAGGACAATCATCATAATGTAATAAAATATCTAAATTTTTTGTATAGATATTTTCTTTATTATTATTAGTGTGATATTCATGAATAGATGAATAATAAGAATTGATTATATAAATAGTTTCATAGATATATTTTATTGTATGTTTAATATCACGAAATTTAATTTTTTTAGGTTTAATTCTATGATCTTTTACACAATATATTTCAGGTTTTAATGAATATATAATATCTTTATTTTGCCCAATATCTATTATAGGTTTATATTTTATTTTTAATCTTAATCTTATAAGTGTATTTTGAGTAATCATTGATTTATTAAAAAAATCTAAAACATTATCAACAAGTTCTGTTGGACTTTTATTATTATATATATCTTTAAAAATTTTCAAATTATTTTGTATGTAGTTATACCAATATATATCACATAATTTTAAGAAATATTTATTATTATAGTCAGAATAATTAAGAAAAGATAATAAATTATCTGAAAATATCCAATCACTATATATTTCATTATCATTTATAAAATTAAAATGATCAATATCTTTATCTTTATATTTAAATCCAAAATTAAGCCTTAAATTTATTAATTGAGTATAATATATAGTTATAAATGCTAATATTTCAAAAATACTAAATATTGTAATGATTTTTCTCATCCCTAATGTATATATAATTACTCATTTATATTTATTTAAAGTTTTATATCATTTTTATTAAATTAATTAAAATATTTATAAAATATTAAAAATTAAGAAAAAGGCGCCTATATTTTTATTTTTATTTTAGGCGGTAATTTTTTTCTTTAAATAAATTATTTAGTAAATTTATAATATGAAGTATTTTATTAAGGTAAGTTAATAAACAAAGAAAGAAGGAAAAAAAAAAAAAAAAAAGAGACAAAAAAAAGAAAAAAAAGGGAGAAAAACGAAGAAATCTATGTAATATAAATAATTAGTTCAATGAATAATCATATAATAAAATCATTATATAAAAGTAAACCAGATACAGCTAAAAAAATATTAAAAAGATTAAAGAAAAAAAAGTATAAATTAAATAAAATAAAGAGAAATAAAAATAAAAGTGATATAATTGAAAATAAAAATAAATATGAAAATGAAATAGATAATTTAAATAATACAGAAATAGAATATATACCTTTAGAAGTAGATAATAAACTTTTAGAATTATTTGGTAATGTTTATCAGAAATTATGTGGAGATGTAGTAAACTATAATATACAAGATATTGAAGATAATGATATAATAAATGATATTAATTGTAATATGCAGAATAATGAAATATTAAATGAAGTTGCTTCAGAAGATATTAAATTAGATAATAAGAAAAAAGAGAAATTAACAATTACAGAATTAAAATATAAAACAAATCATCCAGAAGTTGTTGAAATTTGGGATACAACTGCTCATGATCCAGAATTATTATTAGCAATGAAATTATCATTAGGATCTGTTAAAATACCACAACATTGGTCATCTAAAAGAAAATATTTACAAGGTAAACGTGGAATCGAAAGACCACCATATAAATTACCACCTTATATAGAATCAACAAAAATAGCGGAAATTCGTTCTATATTACTTGAAGCTGATAATAAATTATCTATGAAACAAAAACAAAGACAAAAAATTCGACCAAAACTTCATAAAATGGATATAGATTATCAAGTACTTTATGATGCTTTTTTTAAATATGCAAAAAAACCATTTTTATCATTATTTGGAGATTTATATTATGAAGGAAAAGAATATGAAATGCGTTATAAAAATATAAAACCTGGAAATTTATCTAATAAGCTTAAAGAAGCATTAGGGATGCAACCAAATTGGCCACCACCTTGGATAGTAAAAATGCAAAAGTGGGGACCACCACCTTCTTACCCAAATTTGCGTGTACCTGGTGTTAATGCACCAATTCCAAATGGTTGTGAATTTGGTTTTCGTCCTGGTGAATGGGGTAAACCACCTGTTGATGATAATGGTATTCCATTATGGGGTATATTACCTCCTGAAGATGAGGAGATTAAACAAGATGATACTCATAATATTTATTGGGGTGAATTAGAAGAGGAATATTTAGAAACTGAAACATTAAATAATGAATTAGAATCTGAATCTATTAATAATATTATAGATGATGAATCTAATATTAAAGATTCATCAAATATAACAAATTTACCATCTAATTTAATTTTAACTCAAACAAATCAAAAGAATATATTATCTAAATCTCATATAAACTCAAAAGATGAATTAAATGATTCAAAAAATTTATATTATACACTTGAAAAACAATCAATATCTATTGATAATAAAGGAATATTTCCATCTTCTCATATATATCATTATTCTACAGGATATAAATGATTGATATTTAATAAAATATTAATATATATTTTAGATAATATTAACTAATAAGATAAAATATAATATATAAAATAATAAAAGTATATTTCATAAAGGTAATATTTAATTTTTTTTTTTTTAATTTATTTCGAAGGATAAATATTTAATATCTTATTATATTTCTAGATGAATTCAACTATATTGTTATATATTTATATATTATATTAGATATATTTTATTATTTTACAAAATAATAATTGTATCAGAGTTATTCTATTATCAATTACTAAAAGTAATTATAAAATAACATAATTCTTCTGTTACTATTTTCACAAGGTTGACCTACACTTGTTGATTTACTATTTATAATATCTATTGTTTCATTTAATTTATTCTGATATGTTTGAACTCTTTCACTTACACTGTAGTAATTTATACAATTGTCTAATTAACTTTTTTAATTTTCCACATTCATATTTAATGGATCTAGATTACTACTCGTATATAATAAAGAAAAAAGTTCTTCATTCATAGTTAGAGATTCCTCAACCTCTTGTAATTCTTGTTGATAACTTAATAATTGGCTATTAAGATGTTTTGCTCTTACATTTAGTTCATCAATTGTTATTAATTGTAATATTTGATACACACATCATTATTTAATTTAATTAGTGTCATTGAAGAATATGAAGTATTAGTCTCTTCCTTATAAAATACTACAGGTATAAGAAGTAGAAGAAATAGTTTAATATGAATACTTTCAAGGTTTATATCTAACATTGAGATTCTGTGTACTAAATCAAATTATTTAAAAGATTTTAACAGATAAAAAGTACTCTAACCTATAACACAGTATAACGGGAACTCACAAAATATTAAATTGGATCTATAAGATAATAAACTTTAGATACTCAAATTTATAATTACTTATTTAAGGTAGGGTTTTACTTTAAATGATTCTTATAAAATTAGATATAAAAATATTTTATTTAAGTAATTAATATTTAACAATTTTAGTAATTTTAATAATTTTTAATAACTTTTAATAATTTTCATATCTCCTTTTCAAAATTAGTTTTAATGGCATTTTTTTATTAATAATATTTATACCTGAGATATATTAGTATTACTTAAGTCTAATATTATAATATTAATTTTTACTTTTAAGATTTTGTCTGAAAGTGACTTTTTTAAAAATCTACTGCATGTTCTCAATTTGGCGGTAAATTAATCAGTAACTTTGTGGTGTAAGTACTAAAATATATAATGGGGGGGGGGAGATGGAGGAAAATAAAAAGTAAGGTAATTTCTTTTTTTTTTTCTTCTTCTTCTAAATATATAGAACTCTGAGAATGCGAAATAAAAATAAAGTTAATATTATAAGATAGGAAGAAAAAAAATTATTAAGAATTTTAATATATCGTATTAGATATATATCGTATATATATATATATATATATTATATTTGGATAGTTTTTTTTTTTTTTTAAATAATATTATAAGAATGGCATCTAATCTTAATAATAATAATATAATAAATAGAAGAAATAGAAGAAAGAGTAATAAACCAAAGACATATTCTAATTTACAAAGTGATGATGATGATACTTTTTGGATTAATGTAGATAATGAATATTTTTCCAAAATAGATAATAAGATTTCTATTATTCCAAATTTTCATATAAAAACCGCAAAGTTTATAATACAAGAAATTAATAGATTATATGAATATGAAGATAATTTAACTGAGTCATATAATGAAAAGGAATATGACAAAAATTTAAATGGAAGTTATTCAATTTCTAATAATTATTCCAAAAGCACATTTTTGTATATTTTAGATGGTCTAAATGGATGGTTAAATCCTAACTATAATGGGGATATTTTAAATAATAATTTGAATGATAATAGATCTACTTTATTTGATAATATAGATTATATGTCATATAGTAATGTATTTTATGATCCATTAAAACATTCTCATAAATGGTCTGGGCAACGTTTAATACCACCAAATTACAAAGTTCGGAAATTATCTTGTATAAGACTTTCATTAAGTATCCCACCTTTATTTGAACCATCAGATTTTCCAGTTGAATGTTTTTATTGTAAAAATGTAAAGGAATTATTAATTAGTTTAATACATGGTATAAGTATTAATAAGTGTGTAAATAAATTAACAGATTTTAATGTAAATAAAGGTGATTTTTATGAATCCAATTATTTTGGATTAAAATCTGATTCTATTTATAATACATGTATGTTACCTGATATTATATCAGGGCCTTATTGTGAATGGAAAAATAATATAGATAATATGAAAGGAAATGGTTTTTTTGGATTTCCTGAAGAATGTAATTATTCTAATTTAAGAAATTCTTTACTTGATACGAGTGATTTATTTGAATCAGGAAATATAGAAGAATTTATGAAGAATATAAATAATGCTAAGATAATTTTATTAAATAAGATAGAAGATAATGATGAAATATTAAAAGTGAATAATGATAATATTGAATATTTAGATAATGGATGTACTTTATTAAGAGATGTTAACATTTCAGATTATAATATAAAAGTTAATCAAGATAATATAAATAATTTATGTAATTTATCAAATACAGAGAATATAACGTTGAATATAAATGATAAAGAGTTTATAGAAGAGAATAATAAAGTAAATTTTAATGATAATTTGGTAGACAATCATGTATATGAATATTTTAAAGATGATATTGTAAAGAATAATACAACTGAATATAAAGATTTACAAAAAGATTTTAATAAGTTATTATTAAATAGGAAGAAAATAAATAATGATTTAAAAGATTTGGATAATATTAAAGATAATTCAAGAATATATATTTCTGGAATAGATGATAATAATAATAATATAGATTTTGTTAATAACAAATCTGAACCTTTAATAATGAATACTTCAACTATAATTGGTATAGGTTTACAGGATAGATCAGATTCAAGATATTTTAATAATATGAATAAAATTCCTGTTGAGAATTTGAAACCAATAGCAGATTTTAGATCTAATGATGATTCAAGCAGTATTTTTAGTTTTGAAAAATTATTTAATGACAGTTTTTCGAATTCAAATAATGATTTTTTTTCTAGTGATATGAAATTATATCCAAGATTTGAAAAAACATCTTCAGAATCTTCTAATTTATCATCTATTTGTAATTCAAATAATAAATATATATTTTCAGATGATTTATATTCTAAAGATAATATTATAGAAGATAAATTAAATTATTTAAGATATAATAAAATTGGAGTTACTAATTTAAAGAGAGAAGATATATTAAATATGAAGAATATACAAGATAATATTAATTTAGATAATATCAGAATTAATGAATCATATGAATATTTTAATGAAAAAATGAATTATAAATTACAATTAAATCAGAATATAAATAAGAAAGATAGTAATCAATTTATTGAAGATAATTTATTTAAATCTGAATATAATTTGGAACAATCATCATATTCTTCTAATTTATATTTACTTAATAGAGAAGTTATATATTTAAGAGATATAATTAATTCATTAATTCATCGACTAATATATATATTAGATGAGAAAGTTAAATTATTTGATTGTATATTAAATAGAATAGAGAAAGAAATTAAACCAAATTTAAAATTTTGGAAGGATAAGGAATATGATTTGATTAAATTATATAAAAGTCAAGAATTTAATAATAAATATAGTTATACATTGCAGAGGCAAAGCATTGACTTGGAAGTAATTAGGTTAGGTTGCCTTGACTCACAGCACTTACCTAGTGAATGGCAAGAAATTGCCTTATGCTCTATCTGTGGTAATAATACTGATTGGGATGAGGATCCTATCTTTTTTTGTGATGGATGTTATCAACCAGCTCATCATTCATGTGTAAATCCTAGAAGATTAATAATAATAGATAATATTAATGATAATAATGGTGATAGGAATTTAATTGAGGATCAATGGTTTTGTGATGTTTGTATAAATATACAAGAACAATTAGGTGGTCATATACCATTAGCTTCATTTGTAATTAGGAATATTGCAGGGCCTAGAAATTTAGAATCTCAAAATAATGCAATAAAATTAATAAATGAAAATATAAATTGGTTTATTTCACAATTAACACATTATGGTGTATTATCTTTAACTAATAGAAATCTACATAATAAAGACAATCATGATAATTTAATATTTAAATATTCTACAGGAGGTATTCATTTACCATGGATAGAATATTGGAGGATTCCAGAATATAATGATATTAGATGTAATATAAACTCTGAATTAAATTTAATAAATAATTCTAATAATGATGTAGTCCGAATTATTGATAAGAAAAGAGGAAGGCCAAGGAAATTTTCTAGGTCTATTTCTTTAAATAATGAAAAAGTTATTAATAATAATGATAATCAACAATATAATTTTATTGTAGTACTTAAGGAACAAGATAATAAATTAGAAAATAGTAAATATAAAGTAGATAAGAAATCAAGTTGTAATTATTGGACTCCTCCATTTAATGATGTTCCATACAATTTGGCTGATATGAGTGTATTTATTAGACAAATATTAAATCCAATAAAATGGTATAAGGATATAAAGAATTATTATATGATAAATTTTACACCTCCACCAGAAATAATCTCTTTTATAGGTGATAATATTTTATTTCCTAATTTAGAATTACCAGATTTAATAAGAAATTTATTATCTAAGAATATTAATGATATAGATAAACTGGATGATTTGGATAATGAAGATTATAGAATTCCATCTATATATTTAGAACATAATGAAATAATTAGAAAATTAATTAATAAAAATATAATTTTACCATTTAATAATTTAGAATTTGGAAATGATGTAAAGTTAGATAAATCAAATATTGATAAAATAATGATAGATAATAAAATTACAGATAATATTATAGATTCATTAAATATTTCGGATATTTCTTCAGTAGATGGAATTTCTAATTTAGATTACAGATCTTCTATTATAAATGGATTAAAAATTTATGTAAAGGTTCCAATATGTCAATTATGTGGTTTAGATGCATATTTCCGCTCTGGTGGGATAATGAAAAAAACATATAATGGGGGCTGGGCACATATTAGATGTGGTCTTGCAACTAATGCATGTACTAATAATGATGGTACTTTATTAAAAGTTAAATATGATAATGAAAAAGTAAAGTTAAAGTGTGATATTTGTTTAAGATATGGTTATTCTCCTGTAAAGTGTCAACAACTTAATTGTAATAGATATTATCATCTACCTTGTGTATCTTCTAATAATAAATTTATGGTTGATTGGGAAGATGGACGTCCTATTTTATACTGTTCAGTACATTCACATGATATTGCTCCAACTTCTCTTTTAAGGAAATATCAGATAAGAAGTTTACAGAAAGATTTGCAAACAATAGAAAAGTTTGATGGATCATATGATTTACTAGATAATCCATTAAATCTTCCATTAAGTGTAAGGGAAGTTCTACTTCCTGATGTTAAAGATGATATGAATACTTTGGATTTTCTAATTAAACTTGTTAATAGAACAGAATTAAATACTGATAATAATAATTTCAATAATATTCAATCTAATAACTATATAATTAATAAAAGATATCCAGATAATAAGAATCCTGTTTTTCAAAAAAGTAATATTTATATTAATAATAATATCCCTGAATTTATTTTAAGTGAAATAGAACGAAAAGGAGATATCTTAAATAGGAATAATGAGATCTCTAATTTTAATAATATACCTTTGGGATTTATAAATAAAATTAAGAAGTTAGATGAAGATACTTTAGATATAATAGAAGATAAAACTATAGAAAATAAAATACATACAGAGAGTGTTACATCTTTTGGAATAGCTAATGAAATATCCATATCTGAATCAGCTATAGGGTTAATGAAAAAATATTTATCAAATATTTCTAATTTTGATCAAATTAGTGGACAAAAAGATTATGCAATTATGAAAGGATCTACAAAGGAATATAATTTAAATGAAGATCAAGCTAATAATATGAAGAATATTCTTACAATGGATTATTCAACTATAAATTTGAATAGAAATAGTTTAATTACTAAATATAATCAATTTAAAGGAGATTCTATAATTAATGGCATATCAATAAGTGGAGTAGATTCTTTAAATAATAATGGTAATTTATCTAATTCTCAATATAATAATATTTTAAATAAGAATAATGAAACAATAATATTAAATGATTTAAATATAAAAGATAATCAAAGTATAAATCAAATAATTACTAACAAACTTCATAAGAATTCTGCATCTTCAAGCTCATTAAACTGTAAAGACTTTATTAACTATAAATATATGAATAAATATAATTTAAAAGAAGCAACTAAATCTAAAGATTTTGATGATAATTTATCAGTTATACAACATAAAGAGTTCAAGGAATATCATAAATTATCTAATATGTTCTCATTCTATTTATATATGCCAGAGCTAGTAATGGCAGAGAGTCTAGGTAGTTTATTAGCTAGATTAACACCAATATGGAGTGGCAATGAATCATTTTGGCAAAGATGTCTTATGACATCTTCTGTAACTACAAGTTTAGGTTTATTTCAATATTCAGATTTTGAATCTGCTAAACAGCTTAATAACTCAAGAATTTTAATTGAAAGTATCTCTAGATTGTTTGAATCTTTAATTGGAAGGACTTTGGATCCAATTGAAATGCGTTTATATCTTTGTTTAGTAAAATCGAAATTAGGTTCTGGTCCATGGATACCAATAAAGGACTATTGGAAATTATTACAAAATAACCATCGCTTTTTAATAAATAATATAAATAATGTTCCAGTATCTATACAAGACTTATCTTTAACTATTGAAGGTAATGAATCTTACAAGTTAGATAATAGTTTATCAGCTAATTTAATAACAAATTTAAACAATGTTGAATTACGCAATAAACGGAAATCCTCACAAGCAACACGCTTCAATGATAATGTAAGATATCACTTAAAACTTTTTTGGCCGAATATAATATCTGATTGTAATACTAATAGCGATATGGCTCCTTTAAATTCAATAAATTCGGTATCTAGCTATTATACTATAAACTGGAAGAGATGTTGTCAATTATGTGGTACTTTGCCAGTAATAAATAGTAATATTTCTTCAAGTAATGAAAATAATTGTAATATTTCTGAAACAATTCAATTAAAATCTTATTTGAAAACACGATTATCTAGTCTTACTCAGCCTAAAAATAATAATAATGAACAAGATCCTTCAGAAAAATCCCCTATGGTTTATTCTACTTTACATCATTGTATTGTTTGTAATGCTGTTATATGTACATCTTGCAATGGAGCTTATCAAGAAGTGATAATAGATGATATAAAACATATAAATAGAATAAATGAAGTTTCGATAGATTATAATACTGGAAGTGAAACTCAGATAAGAGATCAACTTAATATACAAACTCAAGTACTAACCCTAGAAAGATCTAGTGATAATTTAAATCAAACAAGTATTAACAACTGTATGATAACTGAATTATCTACTAACTATAAGAATATTGAAAAAGTATCCAAATCAATAGATAATATAGATAATATAGATAATATAGATAATAAACTAGTATTATCCAGCATTAATGATGCGAATTTGCTAATGAACAATTTTATATCAAAAAATGGTGCATATATGGAACAAAATTCTATAAATAATTGCATTTTGTATAATATAACTGCTAATCAAATTCCAAATTCACCACAGATAAATTCTTCATGTTCTAGTGAATTACACAAAGACAATACTGAAATAATTCAGTTAAACCTAAATAATAAAAAGTCTGAATTAACATTTGTATATGATGAGATAAATAATCATAATGTATATTTGAATAATAATTATTCTGATCCAAAGGTAGGAGAATTTTATAATTTGGATAAATTATCCTATTTAAACAAAAATACAATTAATGTTATATCAGATATACCTTTATTGTCTGATGATAGCTCAACTTGTCAAAGATGTAAAGCTTATCACAGTGGCAAGATAAAAATACCTACTCAATGTAGATGTTGTTTATGTGGCAGATTCGATGGTATATTAGTAAATAGGAAGAAGGGGACTACTATTGATTTTGGAGGTCTGAGGCAACGTAGAACTTTATTAGCAGACGGTACTATAGAATTAGATGAAGATTTTAAGTTACTAGATGACATATGGATTCATCCGATATGTGCAGAATGGACTGTACCAATACGCTTTATTTTGGCTTCATTAGACAATTTAGCAAATATTGAGAAGCGTTATTTTAATAATTCATGCTGTTATTGTGGATACTCTGTTGGAGTAACAATACACTGTGCTAATAATAACTGTGACAATACATTCCATGTATCCTGTGGGCGTATGGTTGGATGTAGATTTGACTCTACTCGAAGTAAATGTAGACTTGATGCAGCAAATATATATAGACGGGTATGGTGCCTTCATCATATACCAAATAAATCAAGTGGTATTGAAGTTGATACAAATAAACATTTGTCTAGTAAGCTGGTGAATATAAATACTCAATATGCAGAGAATGAGACTTCAGTAATAGAGGATAATATAGAAGTATCAGAATTAGAAGTATTTACCACTAACCAATCTAACTCCAATTTAAATACAATGAGGACTTTGTATAATACTGATGACTATATAGTTGGTAAGAGTGATAAATTAAAGCCTATAGATTATACAAATTCATTAGATACTTCTGATAATGTAGATCTTTCAAATAAATATAATACGAACATAAAGCACCCATTTGATAGAAAAAATATAAACTTTTCTATAAAGGAAGACGTAGCATTACCAACATCTGTTTGTATTAGCAATAAATTTGATGAAAGTAAAGTAAATTTAATTGACAAATTTACTATTTATCCCAATAATGATATTAACTCAAGGTATAATTCTCATAAATTAAATAATACTGTAACAAGCCCTAGTTTTGATAATAATAAACATAGCAGGATTAATTCATCTATTTTAGAAAATTCGAGCTCATATCAAAATACTTCAACTATTTCAGATATGGATTGTGATTTAAATAATATTAGACTTATATTTTCTCAGCAGCACTCACTATTAAGACTCTCTGCTTTCACTTACTTCGGTTTAGTCCCTAATATGGAAAATTTATGTAATTCTAATTTGGAAAATGAGAATATGAAGTCTGAATATATTAATTGTATTTTAGCCTTTGAAATTGTAATTAGATTTTTAAATGGCATTGGAATACCTAAACCAAAGCAAATTTCAGGTTCTGGAATTAAAATACCTCGACGTAAAAGTGCAAAATTCTCAAGTATACCAAATAATAATTATTTGAAACCCACTAACTATTTTAGAAATATAAATCAAGATCATATAAAACAAAAATTAAGTAATTATTCTCAAAGTTTACTAGACAATATAGAAGGGTCCAACACTCAATATTTAAATTCAAAGCCAAAATATTCAATAAATTCAAGTAAAGATGATAACTTCTTAACAAAAGCTGTAAATTATGCAGATCATAATAACCACAATAATTTGGAAATACCAGGTTATTTATCTAATAGCTCGAATGAATCATATAATTATACCAATATAGGACCAAACTGTAAATCTCTTAATAATCACCTTGTTGGACCGAATAATTTGAACCTTGATTTAGAGTGTAGTGATACTCTAAATCAATCTGATATTACTACACTTTCATCCTGTAGAGATAACTACAACATACCAGCTAATACCAATTTAAATGTAAATTCTCTTAGTAATCAGGATTTTATTAATAATTCAAGACAAGCAAATAGTTCAACTTTATTCAAGGAAACTAATTCAAGTGTTAAAATAACTGAAGATGTCTCTCATAAAAGAGATCAAATAAATAAAGGTAACCAGGAAACATGGATAAATAAATCAGGGGAATCTTCAATTTACAATGGTGAACTGAAAGCTTCTATCGAAAATATTGTAAAAGATTGTATTCCTAAATTTACTTATGTAAATAAAAATATTTTAATAGATAACGATGATATAGAATTACAAAACCAAATTTTTGATAGTAAATCTACGTCTAAATTAGAGGCTGAGGGTAATACCTGTATGGATAATATAAATTTAACTAATAGTTCAAATAATTCACATTTAACTGAAGAGAAAGAATCTCAAGATCAGAATTCTGTAGATTATATATGTGAACCATGCGGCCGAACATATTTACCTTCTTACTCAGAAGATGATGATTTTATGAATTGGATATGCTGTGATTCTTGTGAAAATTGGTACCACTGGGTTTGTGTTGGTATTAATGACATAAATATTCCTAAAGAAAGAGAACCTTTTTATTGTATGAAGTGTTTAAAGAAAGGAATAATAAACAGTAGAAAAGAAATATTCAAGTTATCAAGTAGATCCAAAGGCAACTCAAGAAACACAAATAGGAAAATCAACTTAAAGAGATCATCAGATATAGCATCTAATACTATAAATAATAACAAATTGAATAATATAGGTCAAAATTTAAGTGAATATGAGGATAAATTGTATATTAATGATCATATAAGTAAAAAGAATAAATTTGAGGTGCTAAGTTTTGAAAATATGAAATTAATTCCAATGGATAGTTCCCAGGCTAACTCTTTTAATACACCTAACTCATATGAAACAATAAAAAGAATTAAAAAGGTCAAGAAGACAACAAGTATAAAGAACCAGAAAGACAAATTTGACATTTCAGATGAAAAATTATATATCAAGTTCAACAATACTAATAAGAAAAATAACAATTCGAGTCATCTCTGTAGAGAAAATACTCAAGCACTTAATATAACACAAGAAACAACAATAACTGAGGAGGAAAATATAGAGAAATCAGATGAAGTGTCGGATGAACTTATCAATTCAGATCTCAAATTGGGGGATAATGGAACTAGTCAAAGAGTGTCAAATAAGATTATTGAGGAAACTAATACAGATGAAATTGGAGATCTTCACTCTTCTAGTGCTAATTGTACTCCAATCCCTGAATATAGGGAATCAGTATATTCAGATTCTATTGAACCAAAATTAAGCAATACTAGATATGTTAGACGTACACCTAGGATAAAGGAGAAGACAAGTAAATTAGGAAAGTAAATAAGATAATGTAAATTTATAAATAAGAAATTAACTTAAGACTACCTTATAATTATTCCAATAGTAATTAGAATATGAAGGTACCCTTGTCTATCTTCTGACTAGACAATCTTCAGCGATAGTCAATTTCTGTTTTAAATTCATAGCTTCATCTTCTATTGACTGTAGCGTCAATTGATGTAGATTCAAAATCTTGACAATTTGATTTAGTGGGTTTGGATATATTTTCTCATGTACACTATTTAAATGACGCATCAGGTTATCTACTTGTCCTTCTATTTCCTGTAGTTCAGTACTCAGAGCATTTGCTCTTGCTGCCGATATCCTCACATTTTGATATTGAGCATTTGAAGTGTCAGTACTTACACCTGAACCTAAATTTGTCTCTAATTTCCTAGATAATGACTCTTCAATATTTCTTAGCATACTAGCCAAGCTGTTTTGTTGTTGGGCAATTTGATCAATTCTATTATCCATAGTTTCTTGGCGAATTTTCATTTCCTGTTGATCTGATCTTATTGAGTATAATAAAGTTGTGTATGTTATTATTGCTTTATCTACTGCCAATACATCTGATGATGCCTTATTAAATAATTTAACTTGCTTAGCTAACCTACTTTCCCAAGATTTTAAAACATCATCAACTCTTTCATGTTGTAATGAAGCTGCTGTAGATACATCTAATTGTAGTGCTGTTGATAACTGACCTGAATTGCTTGTACCTTGAGTATTATTTGTATTAGTATCATTCTTGGTATTTATAGGAGCTATATCAATCTTGGTACTGGTTTCACTTTTTGCTTGAGATTCTATACCTGATGTACCCGATAATGTGCTAGAAAATAAGTTGGAATTACCACTTACCAATTTATTTGATTCAGAGTTAGTTGAAGCACTAGGTAAGCCAGTAGTTGCATAAGAATCCCCCGATAAACTTTTTGTATTTGGACCAGTAAATAGTGAATTTTGATCTATCTTATTATTTAAGGATGCTGTGTTTGATTGTCCAAAAAGATTACTTGTTGGATTATTTAGTGAAGATGATGGGTCATTAGAGCTAATGACAGTAGTATCAGGTAAAGCTTTATTATTTATTCCATTCACATTTAAACTATTAGAGAAATTGCTATTAGAATTACTAGTAGATAAATTAGATGATCCAAAGAGATTATTGCCTGAATTTAGGGTCCCCACATTCTGTACATTATTTGTAGAACCAAATGGTATAGTATTAGTACCAATACTCGTGCCAGCCTGATTATTTAAAGTACTTTGACCAAGTAGTGAAGGCTTATTATTATCCACAGTTGTACCAGTATTAGAGGTCATTGGTGGATTCATTGAGCTAATTGCTGAAATCTGAGAAGATGTAGTATTGGTGCTCTGTAAACCAAGTCCAGGACTTTTTTGCTGCCCAAATAAGTTTAGTCCTTTTTGTTGTTGTTGACCAGTACTAGCTAGTGTAGAATTAAGTCCAGATCCCAATAACCCATTTTGTAAATTTAAAGAACTATTTGCTCCTATATTACCAAACAGGTTTGTTGAACTTGTACTACTCTGATTAGCTGTACCAAATATAGAAGTTGAACTTGCATTAGATACAGCATTTGTACCAAAATTAAAAGGTGTCTTATTATCACTAGATGTATTGAGTGAAGTATTGCCAAATATATTCGTCGTATTATTAGTTGAGCCAAACATTTCCACGCTCAATAATCAAAGCCCTTATTTTGTGAAAGATCCTATTAAGCTTAATAAATAAATAAGAATCACAATATTAATACTATATAGTAATTACTATATATTAGTTACTACTATTATGTAAACTAGAAATATTGTACTTCTTTTATTTTCGAATACTACTGTATAAGGGAGGTTGAACTAAAATATATCAATAGCGCAGTTTATTAAATAGCGCTAAAAAATAATTCTGTCCAATAATTTTAGTGTGGGGTTGTTTAGAAGTATTTATACATTGCAACCTGTACTATTCATAACATTATAAAAGTAAAAAGTTAAATTTGAGGTTTGCAAGTATAACTAATACTTATTCCACTTAAATTACATCTTACATATACTCCGAGATGTTAAATGAGACACTTCAATATCATTTTGATATTGAGCCAAATATCCAAATTCAAAATCCTACTGGTTCAAATACAAACTTAAATTCCTTTACTGGAGACAATTTCAGAGCTATAAATGGAACGAAAAATATTTTATATTATGGTTTGGTATCTATTCTTGTTGTCACTGCAATATTAATATACTACAAAGGTATTAATGGGATATTCTTGATGCTATTTGGGATAAGTCCAGCAATATTAATAATCTATATGTTAATACATAATCATAGTTGTCTGTCAATAAATATATTACTTGACATGTTTTTTACAGGTGCAACTTTGTCTATCACTCTAACAATTATTATAGAAAGTATATTATTACTAATATTCCGAAAATTTCATGGAACTTGTTTAGTTGACAATATTAAACAGATATCAAACAAACTTACAGAAAATACACTTAATAATATTTCAGGAATCTCATCATATATTTATAATTTAATTTGGTGTATGAGCAAGATTATTATCTTTTATGTAATGACTGTTGGTATAGTTGAGGAAATATTTAAACTAATACCAACCAAACGAATTAAGGTAAATATATCCGATATAAATTCTCTCAATTCATATTGGTGGAGATATATTAGATCACCTAGAGCTTATGTAATTGCAAATATAGCATCTGCTTCTGGATTTGCAACTGTAGAAAATATAGCATATCTATTTACTGCAGCAGATAGATTTGATCTTCTCTTACCAATAGCTTTGGCTAGAGGTATATTATCAATTCCATTCCATATATTTGCAACTGGATATGCTTCTATACTATTAGCTAAATATATTTATAGGGATTTCAATTGTATTAGCACACTTGTGGTTCAAGATAATTATGTACAAATTGAAGATGATAGTACAGAAAATACATTATGTACTATAGTAGGAAATAATAATCAAATAAATCCACAAACACTAGCCACAAATAACAGTATTAGTTCGAAATTTGAACCTGGAGTTTCCATAAGTTTATTATGCGTTTTACCAAGTAGTATACTTCATGGAATATATGATGCATGTCTAGTCATGATTCTCATGATTAAACCATGCCAAAATACATATTCTGAAGTGAGTTTTATTAATGGGAATCAACAATCTGTAAATCACTCACTCAAAAGTAGCTTAAATTGGAAAAGTAAAGTATATCAGTATATTAAGCCAGTATTTAGTCATATATATAAAAGAAGGTTAATAGAACTTATTTCATTTCTTAACAGTGCATATCCACAATATGATAAAGATCCAAACTACTTATATTCCGAAATATGTAATGATCATTATAAAAATTTAGTAAATATAATATCTACTTTCTGCTTAACAGCAGCTATGTTATCACTCATTTTATGTATAACATTGTTCTTTTATGAATGGAGACGATACTCGCAGATAAATCATTAGTCTCAAATATTTGGTTAAATACCCCAATATGATATATATTCACATGAGAATATGCAGATGATTAAATAGAATAATTAGAGTATTTAAAAGTCAATAATTCCTTACTAATTTTCAATGATAGATTGATTTAATATTCCCGGAAATTTAGTCTCAAATTCTAAAAGAGCACTAGAAAGAATATCCCCAGGTAATATATTTTCAGATGTAAGTTTGGAATCTTGTATCTTCTTAGTGAGAATCCTTCGCCATACTTTTGCCCCCTTTAATCTACAAAGTACCCCAAATACTGGTTTTAAACAATTAAATAGCTCACCTATAGAAAATTTATTTGGCACATTATCAATAATATCTAAATGGATATTGGAATTAGTTAAATTGATATCATTGTTCTTTTGATGGTATTTATTATTATTTCTTGGTTTTAATTTATTTAGATATTCAATATAACTTTCAATTAAGACCTTGCGATTTAATGATGTTTTAGGTGCTTCCGAATTATAAAATTTCCTATCTACATTAGCTAATATACATGGATTATTCATTATTTCACGTCCAATCATAACTCCATAAAGTGGCAAGCCATTCTTTAATTTTCTTGCCCTCTCTATTACTTCACTATCATAATCAGTTATAGTATTAGAATTGTCATCTACTTTTACCCTTTTACTTAATTTTTCAATAGCTAAATATTTATCATTATATTCAGGAGTATAAGATTCCCCTGTATCTTTACATGTTGGTTTCCATACTCCCCATAGTAACTCCTCAGCTTTATCTAAGCTATCTATACCACCATTAATTACAAAGTCTAGATGAGGAAAGTCACAAACTAATTTATAAACCCAGGTGTATTTCAATGATGGTATTGTCCGATTTTTCTGTGGGTCTAGACCATCCAACCAAGCCTTCCTGGAATGTATTATGTAACATGTAGCACCAAGAAAGTCCTCTTCAGATCCAACACCTTGAGATTTGCCTATTCTTGGAGTTGTGCCGGAAACTACTGATATGAAATTATGCAAGATATCATAGGAGTCACAATCATCTACACCAATTCTAGTTTTAACTGATATCCTGGTATTAAGAGACTTAATTCGGTGATTCACAGTACCTACAATCTTAGCAACCAAGTCGGGATCCTTATACAGATATGCTCCGAAATTCCCCTTACAAGCAACTCTTTGAGATGGACAGCCTATATTTAGATTAAATGATCTAAAGCCATATTTTATAGCTATTTCGATAGCATCCGCAACTTTCGTTGGGTCATTTCCCCCTATTTGTAATACTATAGGTTCATCTACATCACTTTTCTGTAAGGAACCTTCCCTAAGTAATATTTCCCTATCAGGATCATTATGACAATAAATAATTGTGTCACTTACTACCATTTCAGTCCACAACTGAACATTAGTCGATAATAATCTACAGAAATGGCGGAAATGTATATTTGTAACATCTAGCATTGGAGCAACAGATATCCATGGATATTGCCTATCAGCAGAGTTAATCATCAAATCTATTTATTCCTTGGAAATAAAGTAATTATATAAATAGTTGTGGAAGTGCTATTGGCAAATTAACAAAAATTTAAGACATAAAGATAAGGTGAGAATACTTAGTGTAGAGAAACCCGCCTTACAATAACTTATAAAATTTCAATGCTGTAAGTATATTTCCAAGAATTGAATATTTCAAATTGCTGTATTATCTTTGATATTATATATGGGATCTATAGAGGGTTTTTCTTTGTTCACTGAATATTCTCCAGAAGCAGATACAAAATCCAATAAATCGAAGGATTCTTCGAATTTTATTGATGAGGAGATATCATTTTCAGTTTGAAAACCTTTATTACCTTTAGTACCTTCAATTGAACTGTTTTTATAGATATATTCTACATTTACTGTCGTATAATTAGGAGATGGAGGACTTTCTTCAAAGTCAATGAGTTGGTTATGACCATAATTTAGAAGATCTTCATTTCTATTTAAATGTGAGTCATATTTATATTTTATTGGTATACTAGAAATATCACTATTATCTATAGATATATTAGGAATAGTTGGGATTAAATTAAGAGATATATCGTCATGATAACCATTTGAAGTGTCGGATATTTTTGAGAATACTGATTGATTTGATTGAATAGATTTACTCCTTTTATCACTAGGGTTTAATATTTGCGTGTCATTAGACATTTTACCTTTAAAGTTACTATCTATATTTAAGTAGCTATTATTTTTATCTAGACCTTGGCTGGATTTATATTCCAATTCCGATGTATCATCTTTTACATCTAAATTACAGGAGATTTGCAATCTTTCTGGTAAATAACTGTTCCTTTGCTTACTTTCTCTATAAATTTGTACATTTTCATTATATTCTACTTTAGGTTCGCATACTGAAATATCTCTATCAATGTCATTATTGCATAATATATCTTTTCTTTTTATACCAGATATATCTGAATTAGTATTATTTGAGCTGAAATCTGGTGAATTTACACCAAGAAAATCATTAAATTCATCATCAAATAAAATATCTGTTCTAAGATCCTGATAATTTCCTGTAGTGTCATTGTTATTTAAGGAGTGGTCAATAGATGACTTTGAAGGTTCAGAATTATTTATTGAAATAAGTGGACTAATAAAATTTGATTGTAAAGTAACTTCACTATCCTGTGACAAATTGAAAAGGAAACCTTCTTTTTTGTATTTCTGAGCAGTATTTTGACTATCTAAGTAAATCTCACTAACATGATGGACATTATCATCTTTACTAGTATTAATTAAGCTAGGGACATTTGTTTTAGCTAGAAGTGGTGAAGAATTACCATCAATTCGGTTTTCATAAATCTCTTCACTTTCATTGTATGCTTGTAATTTGCTATCTTTATATTTAGTAGACTCATAAGTACTATGACGAATTTTATCATTATATGAAGAGTACCAATCAGAAAGTGCCACATTTTCAACAAGTACATCTTGATTCATATCTATAGGAACTTTCTGATTTGATTGATGTTCATCGTTGGGAATTTCTGAAGAATTTTCCCATTCATCATTTCCAATAGAAAATAAATCATTCAAATGCTTCTCACCTCCAACATATTTAGAATTGTATTTAATTCTAAAGGAGGTAATATCTAAAGTTTCATCAATCAGATTGATGTCATTATAATTACCCCCATCAATACTAGCATTATTTATACCTTCATCATTTCTTCTACCTATAAATAATGGAGGATGCAATCTAGAAATCTCCTCTTGTTCATTCTTGGACCACCAATTTGCTTGGTTGTCCATTAATTTGTCCCGATTATTTTTAAAATTACTACCATAATGTTGGTTAGAGTCATGTAATATATTTTCTCCATAAGAAACATATGAAAGATCTGCATCTGTCTCATTAATCATCCCATTATTTTCAATTCCACCACTCCACATATTATTGTGTTGTTTACTATTTCTTGTTGCCAGTTTGGCTGCAATTTCCTCTGCAGAAAGGGGTGTTGCTACCAATTCATCCACAAAATCATCATCTACTAGTAGAGAATCAATTTCATATTCCGTACGGTCATTCTTAGACTTGTTTATACCACGATAGTGCAAACCTACATTTGTTCTAGGACCACCAGATAAAAATGACACGCAGTTGCATAGTGATGAAACAGTCCGAGCTAGAATAAATTGGATCATGTATATTTATCCAAAATATTTATCAGCTAGAAGTAGGTAGGCTATATTTAGCAACCTTTAATATTATATTCAGCCAGCTAGAGCTAGTTTAAAGAATATTTACAGCAATGTTTGTAATATTTCATAAACCTTAATTCACACTTAAACAGTTTGTAACAAATTACCCGCCTAAAATACAGGCGGTCTTTATAGGCGCAATGTAATTTCGCATTATGAGGTACTGTCTCCACTATCAATAGCTTATTTTATTCAATAATTTAAGATATCTCTTTCGTTTGCGGTTAGTTGAATAAAGTAGTACTGGTATATACTCACTTATTTCTTTCTACAAGAATAATTAGAGGAATTTATTCTATAGACAAATTGTTATCTACAGTATATTACTAGTACCTTCTATTAATATATTTAGGTATACATAGTGATCTGTAATATGTAAGACTCGTTAATTTCTTGTAGAATTAGAAATAATGTAATTATCGCTGATGACAAAAGTATTCGTTTCTCAACATTCGCAGTATTATACTGAAACAGAGATCTTTGATTTGCGCTTAAAGACTCTTTGATGGATTCCTTAGATGTCTGAGATAATTACATTATTTTTACAATATGTATTTGTATTAAGCACCTTTTAATCCGTTAATTATACTGATCAAATAGTTGACGTTCATGCAGGTGCCACATAAACTGACAACTAGAATTGGGTAGTTATAACTTCCTGTTTTCCTTTACATCTGCAGTATTTGCACTTGTGACTCTTAACAGGTAGTGTAAACTATCCACCTTGTAAGGTAGTATTATATTAGTCAGCTTATTGGCTATTTAAATATCTAACTAACCTTTCAAGAAGTACACTATTGTCTCACATCACTTCATAACATTATCATTAAGATATAGATGATATATTATGTCGTTATGTTTAAGCTATACTATATTTAATTTCGGAGTGAAATCTATATATTTATTTGTGATAGATTTATACCCCAAATCTCCTTATTTCATCATGTTCATGATATCTATTATTCTCTATTTCCTTCATAAGTTCAGATCTAGATTGAATATGGACAAATTGTTCAAAGTCTCCAATTAATGCAGTTGCTAACCCTTCAGTTACAGATGCAAGGAAGTTTAATAATCCAAATAAAGGACATATTGCAATCCGGATTAGTGAGAATATTAGAGCAAGTGTAAAATTCATTTTCTTTTTTGTTTTTCTAAAAGTATCTGTGGGAGTTTTATAAAGTAATACCCACGGTGTTATAAATGTATCAATTAAGAACCCAAGAATTCCATTCCAGATTGCATCTAAGATGCTATTTGGACGTGGCCTCCTTCCTCCTAATAATTTATGACCAAAATTAAATATGACCGATGCTGTTTGAAAGGTACCACCAAGGAAATATCTAAAAAAGTGTATAAAACCAATCCTTAGTCCTTGGAACAAACCCTCTAAGCTAGATAGTTCAGGGTCACTTAATCCACGATGGACCTCAGTTATAATAGCATAAACTCCACGTTTTAATCCAGAATATATTGCAATCAAATGAGATACGCCTACAGATGGCAAGACACGTCTTTTAAACTCTCTTGAATAAGATGATAATAAGAAATGAAAAAATTCAGCAAAATTAGCAACGAGAGCATCTTTCTTTAAAGGATTTACATTTAGTATCATATGTGGTGTATCTAGAGGTAAGATGTTCATAAATAGTAGTGCTTCAGATGTTAATGTGTCTATATTAATTGTATCATCTGATGTCCTTATAGATATGGTGACTGCAACATCACTAATTTCCAATGTTCTAATATACATCGGTCGACCAATTCTCAGTTGTTCCCAAGGTGTCCTTGTTATATACATTGGTAAGCTAAATCCACCAGAAACATAACAGATTAAAGGACCAGACCTATTTTTACGTAGGCTATTTCGCTGACTAAACTGAATCATTGATGGTTTTTGACGAGTCGAGCTCATCCATAAAGCTTTTTTTCTTGAATCAGCTATGTTGGTCATATTTTCTATTTCTTTAAAAACCATAAAGTATAATGACTGCACAACAAGACGTTCCAAATTACAGCTAATAGGAGATACTGTTATAATTATTTTGTCAAATATTGGAGCATATACTGGATTCATCAATGAATGAGCAATTGTTAATGATATAAATCTTGAATTATTTGAGTTGTTGGACTTAGTTGTTTCACTATTATTATCACAAACTTCTATATTATCATCATTTATACTTGCTTGAAGATCTTGATTTTCATTTGTATCATTTTGATATTTCTCTTTCTTTTCTGCTTGAGTTTCTACTTCCTCAGTATTTCTCTCTATATTTTTTGCTTTAATAGATAGGTTATGAGATAGCCTATTATTTAAAGAAGATAATCTTTTGTTACTAGTCGTTTTTAAAATTACAGGAATATCTCCTGGTAAGAAGTGATCTATATGAATTGACTCCAGTCCTACTTTTATAGTAAATCGTCCATTTATTAGTAAAGCACTTTCCATTTGATTTGAAAGTAGAGATATTGTTTGAATCATTGAGTTAAGTGCATCATCATAAAGTGATAATAAAACACTTTGTTTTGACTTAAATTCACTATTAAATAAAGAATGCTTCAAATATTTCAAATCACTAGGACTACGCGAATATACTTTGAAGCTTGAATATTGTTTCTGAACTTCATCTGGGTAGCTCTTCTGATCTAAATAAAATTTTGATGCATAAAATTTTTCTCTTAATATACAATCTTTGTATGTCCGTTTTAATAATAGCAAAGCCTGTCTAAGTGCATAATTTTCTCCAACTGAAAAAGATCCACCCATATTTCTGATATTTTTGCTTAGAAATAAGAAAATTTTTTTTACATAACCTCCTATATATTCAAAGTGCTTATTTTCATCTAGATCAACAATATTGATTGATTTGCTACTAAATGTTCCCATTATATCCATTCCCATATCAAGGTCTATAATATCTGGATTCTGCTTTGGAATCAGAATTTTCTCTTCATTATTTATTAAACTTGCAATTCCATCTGAAAATAGTGGTTTTAAAGCTACCCCTTTATTCCTCCTGAAAGGTGTGTCAAAAAAAGACCCTTTAATTGTGTGCTCAGTTCTCCAAGTACTATTTTCTAATCCTGCTAACTCCATACACTTTTTCATGAGTAAATCACATGTAAAGTCTAATATCATCATTGAATATATATTATCAGGCAAAATACTTCCCACAATTTGAAATAGAGATCCGTGCCATACTATTACTAGTTCATTTTGATGTATCCATGATACACTAGTTCTAGGAATAAAAAAGGAAAATTTTAAGCCTATCCAAGAGAGTTTACTTATATAATAATATTTCATAGCTGATTGTTGAACAATTGAAGATTTAGTCTTCTCGATATTACTAGATAAAGATAGACCATCTACTTGATGATTATTCTCACTTGATAACGAATTCATAACAATATTTGAGTTTTTACTGAAATCAAAGTGGTCATCTCCAAATCCACTTTGAATTACATTTTGATTGAGAACTGCAAAGTGCCCACTTAGAACTTTTTCTGCTGATTTTCTGTTCTCCATTATTATTAAGATTCTAGTTCCCTGAGAATTTACCATTAAGAAAATGTATAACTTTCCATACTTTATGCGTTTCGAATTTTTTTGAATATTACTTTTATCTACTATTGTAGGTTTTATATCTGTGACCGTACCACTATTTCCTAATTGAATTTTATAGTCCGGTTGTAATTCTATAGCTTCATTTTTAGGACTATTCTCTATATTAGTTACTATTTCTGAGTTAAGAGCAGATTGTAATTTATCAGTAGCTGGAATTACCTTCATTATCTCCTCATATTTGACAAATGTTATTACATAAATCTCATCTTTTATTGAAGTAATTGAGTGTGTTGTCCAGTTAGATTTCTTCACATTCAGTGGCATTATGCCTATATATTCACAATCCCAATCTTTCGGAATATATGGTATACTTGTATGTGGTGGAATAACGCTTATATCTGCACTTTTTGCTGCTCCTAAATTGGGATATGAATAGCAATTTTTAGTATTATCTACATCCACTATTCTTTTGTTTTTCAAAGATGAATCTATATCGTCTATATCACTATCAGGATTATTTTCATTCGTAAAATCACCAAGCTGAACATTTGAAGTAGCCCCAAAAACAGCTTTTTTCCCACGATAATAATAATTGTGGACCTTACTAGTATCTGGTGTTTGATATGCAATATAGTAACTTGATAAATTGCATATTTTGAAGAATGGAGCTTCAGCAACTGAAAAAATAACGAAATAACCAGAGTTTCCTATAGTTGCATTAGCTGCACTAGATGTACTACTACCTAGTATTCCAGGTATCAATTGTAATGTTAATAAGAAGGGAGTAGCAAAATTTGATAACTTTGCAGTACTATTTAATTTATTTGAAGTAGAGCCTATCTGATTACTTGAATTAATTCCATTAACTCCATTAGATGCACGAACATCTTGTTGTTGGGGGTATAAAGCAACCTGAAATTTACTCGGCTGAGAGGAATACTCTATTTTACAACCAGAAAATAGTGAAAAATCACGAGATGTTAAAAATGGATCATTACTATTAATTATTGGTTTTGAAATCCATATTCTTGGATCTACTTGGTGATATGGCCTCCTTTCATTAGGTCTTAATAGTATACTTGAAGATAGAGATGTTATTGGTGGTAATTTTATAGATTCTAGCTCATTTGGCCTATTATTGTGTACTCTATGAAATTCTGTAGAATGTTTTTGTTTATCAGTATCTGGGAAAATAAATGTGGCATTACTAGCCTCTTTTGATAATATTTCGTAATCTTCACATTCATTGAGACAAGATTGGATTTTCTGATGCATTTCTCTTGCAGTTGTAAATTTATGAATCAATATAGGGAAAGGTAATCGAGAAACCAATTCGCAGCGATTATAGAAAGTTGCAACAGGGTAGTTCATATAAGATAGTAAGTCATTCTGGTGAATGGCAACTCCAAAAGTGAGCATCTGACTATTCCCATTATTAATATTATCTTCGTATATAGATGTATTAACCAATGTATCATTGTTATCTTGATTTTCTAAATTCTCTGACTTGGATTCAGCTTGATATGATATGTCATTAGACACTTTTTCTTGATATTTTATTAATGGTAATTTTATTAAAGGTATGCATACACCAGTAGTAGATATATCAATTTTAGATGAAATTTTGGAAGTATAATTTATTTTTATATTATTCGCTATTGTTTGAATATTATATTTGCGAAGTGTAGGTAAAGATGTTGTTATTGCTAAGGAGCTTATCCGAAGATTTTTCATATTTTCATGAGAAGTAAAATATCTGAAAAATGGTGGAAGTGGTAATGGAACTGAGGTATTGTTAGCTGATGAAATATTCAAACTTGTATTTTCATTCAAAAACAAACATAATATTGAATCCGTAGTATTCTCTATACGAGCTAAGGCTGAAAAAATTATTTGTCTCGAGCTGACTCCTATATTTACTGTTAAATGATTTAGACAGTCATAAAGTTTGTTGTTAGTACTTTTTAATCCATTTGATTCTAAGCCTGAATATACTTTGGAATAATAGTTCTGCAATACTTTACTATAGAATGGTCCCCAAGCATTATAAGGATTGCCAATTATCCTATCAAGACTAACATTGTGACTAATAGTGTCTCCAAATGGAAAAGATACTGAAAACTTATTGGAGCGATATATAAACTCATTTATTAGTGCATTTTGAGCTTGAATATATTCTGGACTATTTGAAGTATTCGTATAAATCGGAAAATAGCACCCCTCTAATGGACAACCATTAATATATAATATCATCTCTAATTTTTGACGGAAAATGGGTAAAGCTAGTTCTTGTTGTGGTTGCAGTATAATATCTACAGGTTTTCCAGATAAAAACTCTATTAAAATTGCAAATTCATCGTGATAAATATTCTCAAGTTTATTTAAAATACTATTTCGAGATCTGGATTTATCATTTGTACTACCATTACAAGTTATTCCATCGTCATTTGAATGCGCTAAGTTATTAGTTGAATCGCTATCCAAATATTTAGTACAATAATTATCATCAATACTACTAGCTGCCAAGGATTTGAATTTATTCTCTGCAAAAGCAATAATATTAGGAAACTTTATTTCTGGTACTACATTATATTGGAGTGCGAGTGCTTCAACTGGAATTTTTATCCCACTACTCATTTGGAACCTAATCTGGATTGGGAATGGTAATATATTCATCATTGTCATAAATGGAGTTATCTCTATAGTATATCGATAACTAGTTACATACTTGTCAACAGTTGGTATATCCACCACATTTATACGACCAGAAAATGCCATCAGTGTCTCAAATATCAAGGAAAATGACTCTGTTGATATATTTGCCTTAGTTACATTGCCAGGTTGAATAGATATTATTTCATATATCAACTTTCTAAGTGTAGAAAAGGGAACTGGATGTAGTTTAGACTGTATTCTACGGACAGATTTATTATTTATAACCAAGTTGTGCTTCCCAGTAAAATTGTCCTTATTTGAATTTCCAGAATAATCAGTAAAGTTGTTTCTATTAAATTCGTGGATATTTCCAATATTAAGTAAATGTTGATCATCTTCATCTTCCTGTTCAACAGTTTTAGTTAGTATTGGCACAATTATCGGCTCCATGTCACTGAGTAAGAACCAAGATAATGGTATTGATCTTCTTGAAAAAGGGGGTATATCTATACATGGAAACATATATGAACCATTCTCAATTCTAGTATTTATTCCTTTATCTGAGTCCGTAAATAGTGCCCCACAAAAACGTCTAATCCCATGCCTCCATGTGACAGTAATTCTTAATGTAATGTTCGTTGAATTTTCAATTTGTACACAAGTACCTAGTGTCCAAATCCACTCATTTGCATTTGCACCAGGTTCTGGTTCCAAAACCACCAAAAACCCCAGTGTGCCAAAACGATATGAGCGCATATGCATAGTGTCATCCTTCATCCTACCTACTAGTGACCATATTGGCTGTGTCAAGAAGAATCTATGTATAATTGTTTCTAGCCCCCCATTTCCTCCCAAGTAAGGTGTAGCCAATTCCAACTGCTCTGCTAGTTGATAAAATTCAGACTCAACAATTCTCGTTGAACCATATAATAAGTCATACATCTTCCCACTTAGCCACATATGTTTCGAACCTTGAAAGTTATAAGACTTACTTGTATCACCGAGCCTATATATTTCTTTAGTTATATCATTCAGAATTACACTGGAGTTATAAATTGAAGATTTGCCTCCACCTTGTGTAACATTATTCTTACCTTTCTTCTTAACAGTGATTTTTGTTGATTTGTTCTGAATTGCAGTATAATCTTTGATTGATTCTTCACAATTTACCGCACTATTGGCACTATCACTCATAATATCTTGGGTGTTATGCATAATCATGGTACTTGTCGCTTGTGGAATAGATATTTCATAGTGTTTAATTTCAGATGAAACATTCATCCGATTTACTGATGAACCTATATTGGAACTTCTGTTTAGATTAGTCTTTTCTGATATATCACCTAGCTTAATTAAGTATCTCTCATTATCGCTATTCTCCATAGCTTGCAATCTAGCTGCAATTTTCTGACCCTTACGATGAATAAATTTCTGAATAGCCAGATATATTGGCAAGTAAACTGCTGCATGACAGTACTCATTTCTATTGATTATCTGTGTTCTTAAACCTTTAATACTAGATCCACTCACAGATATACTTTTGTACCCCAAAGAATCTGCAAAGTAAGGTGTATCTAAGTAATTTACAAATTTGAGACAATTTGGATTTGTCGTATTATTAAGTATATCTGGATAATCACCAATACTGTATATTGGTTGTACTAAGAGGGTAGATTGTCCCATATCATTAATAATCTTTACTGTGTGGATCTTTCTCTGGTATGCATAGACAAGACCAAGTAAGTTAAAATTTTCTAAATCACTAATGACCAATTTAATATTCTGCAGAAACCCAGATGTAATTTCTAATGAAATAGATTCAGTACGCAAATTAATAAGCATGATTTGGCAACGTAGTAAAGATCTATCCATATAAGTTTGACTATAATTTAAATTTGGATATGTACTATTACTTTTACTTTTACATTGAAAATTTAGTGATTCGGCTTGATTTTGTAGGCTAATATCTAAATTGACTAGAAATGGTCTTATAATTGTAATCATACAATCTATGACAGGATCATGAGTTATTGTACTAATTATACTTCTGAATTTGCAGTTTAGTGCATTTGGATACTGAGCTATACCATGAGATGTTTCAACTGAAAATCTTAGTAGATCAGTATAATCATTATAGATAATTACATCAAAACACGGCTGATTATACTCAAAAATGAACTGATTACACTTATCCCAATGAACTTTAAGTAAGTACAGTATGTTCTTTTTGCGCATGGTCTTCTCTGAATTATTAGTATACTTTTTAGCCATTAACCATTCTAAAGAAGTAGAGGTTAATCTAATAATTTTTGAAATAGAAGAATAAAGTAAGTGATCTGATATTAATGATTTTCTACCACTAGAAGTTCCATTACCCTTCTTATACATTTCCATACTAGGCCAATTCAAATCTTCCGATACGAAAATGCCAAACCTTCTATTACTATGTCTTTCATAATTTACTTGTTCTTGCAGGTGGATTTTAGCAGACTCAGGTAAATAGTAAGACCTGGAAGAGGGTAAAGGAAATCCGGAGTATGTTAACAGTACAACTTGATTTTCACATATAGAACTAGTATTATCTTCCTCATCTTCAGAAGATGTAACTTGTGAGTCCAGTTCTCTATCAATAACATCTTTGTTTCCACTGTATCTCGAAATATTATTATTACTTCTTAGTTGCCCTTCATCTGAAGTTTCCAACTGACATTTAATTTCCTCAGTAGCTTCAACAATTGATACTTGAGGTGTTATACATCTTATTTTATCTTCAGGCTCAGTAGGATTGATCATAAGAGGAAGAGGCTGTCTAACAATTGATGATCTACCTTTGTTCTTAAATGTAGAGCTAGCTGGAGTTCCAGAGCCCTTGAAAACATCGAAGCTATCAGTATGTATGTATGGGCATAAAATACTCTCTGGTGAAATGTAAGAGTAAATATGCTTTGGGTGATGAAGAGTATATTTATCTATGTTACCCTTAATAGAGTACAGATATTCTTTATAAATTTGCAGTTCCCTTATCAGGTCCATAGAAAGTGATATCGTCACTTCCCCAATATACAACTCAACACTAGTTTCATAACTTGTCCAGATGTCTGAACGTTTAGATCTTAAAGTGCAGCATGGTTTAATAGAAAGTTTAGCACCATTCAAATACAGAAGGAAATCACGCTTTACTGATGAAGGTAAGTTAGAAGCTAATGGCATATATATATTTCCACCATTTAGACTTACAATTGTAAGCCACCTTTTTTGAAACATAATACTATAATAGTTATAATTATAATTATTGGGAACCGAAAAGAATTGTAAATTAGATTCTTTTGGTTCAGTAATTTCACCATCTTTTTCATATTTGGGTGAAATGTTGCACCTACTAAATAAAGTTTTGTTATTTAATGATATAGGAAAACCTGGAAGTATCCGCAATTCATTACAATTAGCAGAAACTTGGAAATCATATTCCGTGATATCTATCGCTATATTCATGCTAATTAGTATTGAGAATGCAGTTCCAAAAGATTTAATGTTATTCTCATATGACTTATATTGATTACGTCCGCAAACTTCAGTTAAACCTTGTGAATTTGAATTTATTCTATCCGAATTTCTAGATATACCAGAAGAATTAAAATTTTCACCTTTAGGAACATTAGCAAAGTCAAAATTTGTATTATAAGATCCTTTGAATGAATTTCTGATAGGGAAAATGTGACTATTTGAGGATGCTCTGGTATCTCTGTGTACTGCAAGTGTTTGTCGTCTACCATATCTATTCGACTTCATAATATAGTCAAAACTTGTCTGATCATAGTGCCCAATATTTCTTCTGAAGTTATATATCTCAAATGTGTTTGGAAACAATATTCTAGTGCTATATTCCAAATTTGGTTGTTTATAAGAGCACGCTGACTCATCATCTTCATTACAACCCTGGCTTGAATAAAGTAAGTTTTGATAAAAAGGATTATATTGATGTCCTTCAGATGGAGAATGCAATTCTACATTCCCACCATCAAATTTGTATTCTTTAAGTTCCATGGACATATTTGTCTTTTTATTTAATAGTAATTCCGAGTTACTTTCGTTAATACTGCTGCTCCATCTTTTTACTGGAGGAACACAATAAACGGACTTGGCAATCCAGTCTATTGCAGCCTCTTCCAGAGTCAATTCAGGTGGAAACTTTTTATTATGCCTTTTGGAAGAAATTATATTAGAATTTTTGATTTGCGAGTCCTTTATAATTTGTGTATCTCCACTTTTTTCTAGTGAGACATCTCGATGAATCCATATTTCAAGATTTTCAATGATAACTTGGATATTTAGTCTTTGTTTACTTTTTTGAGTAGTCTGGACATTTTCTATTGCTAATTGAGTACACTCATTTGAATCTCCACTATTTAAATAATCCCCTGATGAATAAGTATTATAATCCCGAGATTTTGTCCGTCTTGATTTCCCTACTTTGCTTATCTTTTTGCTTATAGTTGATAGCACCTTAAATTTAGCTAGTTTATCATCACCAAAATTTAGTTTATCTGGTTCATCAATAGCTGGTCCATTATCAAGTTTTTCACATTTTATATTTTCTATTGAGTCACTATTTGTACGTGACAGCTCTTCTTTGGAATGCACGCCATTATATCCTAAAAAATTATCATTTACATTAGAAAGATTAATTTCATCAACTACTTTAGTGAATTCATTAACAGAGCCAAGATTCTGACCAATATTTGTAGTTAAATTCGATTTATCAGTTGACAAGAGTTTCTGTCTGATTGCGCTCCAGCTATATATTATTGGATAACGAACTATCTTCACCATTTTATGAATTCCACTCATTGCAGAGTTTAATAAGTGATCATCTACAGAATTAGATACAACTTTATTAGTATCTTCTTCAGAAATATGTATACCTAGACTATTCTTGTTCTCTCTATCTTTATTCTCTCTTATTTGAGATCTTGAGGGGTAATCCCCAAATTCCTCATAATTATCTTTATAAACTGGATTGCAATCATCTTCTATGCCTACTGTCTCTCGACTATTACTAATTCCTGTTAAAATTTTGGAAATCTCAGAAAGAGTAGGAAATTGCTCTGTTAATTTAGGTGTAAAGCAAATATTCCCTAATTTCCCAATATTTGTAAGTGATGAATTCCCAGATGTAGATAGTGTTTGCTTTGAATTCATTAGCTTCTTAAATCTAAATTCACAATCATAATACTTAACATAAGAATTTAATAGTGAAGGTGTAAAATTGTCAGTTCTCCTGACTGCGTTATATGGTCGAACATTAGAAACAAGTATTGAAGTTGGAGGTAATGCTAGTACAATTGGGACAGATATGTCTAGTGGAAAATAAAGGGGGTTAGTAAGTTCATGCTGCCAGTAATCGTAAATATTTACAGTATAAACACTATTGCAGAATTCACTATTTTTTATTGGAAAGCCACTAAGTTTAACGTATTGATTGCTATTCTGACTTCTAGTAGTTAAGCCATAGCTTGATGAATAAAGTTTGTCACTGCACATATCAACTAAAAAGTATCTCATTGTAGAATTAGTACATCTTGGAAAGCGTATTCTAATAGTCCATAAATCATTCCACCAACTTAAAACTTTCTGTATGTAGGGGACTGAGAGATTAACAGTCGTTAAGCTAAATATAAATCTGAAACATTTAATCTCCAATTGACTCTCCATAGATAAACCTTTTAAATTAAATGAAATAGATAATATTTGACTATCCATGGCCATTAATTCTGAATCATCAAAATAAACATTTCCTTCAGGATTGTAACTATTTATAATCCCATTTGAATATCTCTTACCTTGTTTATTAACACATACATTCTTAATATGATCTCTCAAAATACTATTCCTTATCAAATGAGTATTCTCGATTATTGGAATTTCTGCAGCATCAAAAGCGAATATTGAAGATATTGATAAGGATCCAAGGACCATTCCAGTTTCATTTAAGTTGCAGAGATTTTCAGAATCACTTAATTCATCATGATCCGCTTGAATACTAGAAGAGTAAGTAATTACTTTAGTTAATATAAAGCATGAATGTATAGAAGGTACAAAGATATCCAGAATTGGGTAAAGAAGACTCTTATCAGAGCTTTCATAATTGCGTATGCCTTGTAGTGAACTACTTTCTTCAAATACAAAATTCTCACCAATATTCTGGACATAAGGGAATTGTAATCTAATATTACAAATATCCAGTTCTAATTTAGCTGAATTAGCTTGACCATCATTACTAGTAGTATTTTCGCTTCCTATAAGTTCACCATTATTTAATTTCAAATAGCAAATGTTAAAATTACACTTAACGGCTATAGCTGGTTTATAAATACCTGAAAATGTAGCTACCAAGTATCTATCTCTAGATGGGCTGTAGTTAAAACCATCAAAGTGCTCAGATGATATGCTTTGAGTTAATATAGTATCATGGAACTCAGGAAAAGTCATCACTATTGTATGTAATTGAGCTTTCAATGATATTGAACTTAAGGGAATTGCCTTTATTTTCTCTAGTATGTTTAATATTGCATCAGGAGTTTCACACGATTCAGAAGTATAAACCTTATCAGATACACATAGGTCATCTGGAAACATTTTAATATCTCCATTCAATAAATTGTTAGAAGTTGTAACATTATTTGATTGAAGAGATGTAGAAGTAGTAATAGGTATATTTCGTAAATTTTCATCTTTAGAATTTTCAGAATTCGTCTCTGACTTATCTACACTGATGTCATTCTCTGTTTGATATTTAAAATTCATAAATTTATTAATAAAATGAAAGATATCAATTAATTGCCTAAGGAAATTTGGTAGTAAAGTCATAAATGTTGGAGAAATAACAACACTAGCACTGATAGACCTATCAGTATTGCAAATATCTTGATGCAAGGCTTCGAATGAAAAAAGAGGTAAAATTTGCATACTTTCTGCCTCATTACAGAATTTACCTGAATTTACCTGTATAATTCTCTTTTTATCTTTCTTAAATAATTGTCTATTTAGCTTACTATTTGAATCTGACAAATCTGTTCCTTGACTGTATGCTTGTGCTTCCTTAGATTTACCTATTTCTTTGTTATTTAAACTGTCCAGATTATTTCGAGGAATTGGCCTTTTACCAAATACTGGGAAAAGTTTTGGTGTTGAATTCTGAAGATACGTTTTATCAGAAAAAGGTGTTTGAGGGGGTAATATAAGGCCATAACTCCATCCTGGTAGAATCAAATTATTAGTATTCTCCCCAGTATCTTCAATTTCTCGACATTTCTCAATAGTTGTAAATTCTGGTAACAAAATACTTGAATATTCCGATAAAGCATTTCGTTCCGGTGTTAAGCACACATATTCTAAACTAAAATCTATATTTGTATAAAACATATCAAAAATATTCGTGTCAGTTTCTATATTACTAGTTTCTTTCCCAGAAGTTTCACTGGATTTAGAACTGAAATTGCATCTATTTCTTTCATACAGAATAGACCATATACAAAAATCACGTATAGTGAATTTAATGTATTTAAAATTACTAATATTTGAATGGAGTAGGCTTTTTATACTTCTCTGATTAAATTCATTTAGTATATTAATTATGTCTAAATCTTTACTGGAATTCACTACCGGTTCATTACTGTGGGACTTTAATAATAGCCTTACTCTTCTAAGTGAGAAATCAAGTATGCCCCAGGTGCCATTTCTTAGTATCATTATATCAATTTCCCTAATTAGTAAATATAATTTCCAAAAACGTAAATCTCCAGCACATTTGTCACTTGGAGCTATACTAATACCAGAGTTCAAACAATCTCCTAGATTTCCAGGTATATTTTTAAAAGCTATCTTTATAAATGAACTAATTCTGACACCAATAGACTCAGCAGTTAAAATTGCAATTCTTGGATTATAAAAATTAGAATTGAAGCTCTTATTGTTATAACAATATAGAGGCCTTATTATTGTGAAACTATCACCTGAATATTGAAGTGATTTCCTATGAATATCTAATAACCTGTTTTCTATGTTGTTACCTTCATACAATAGTTGTTCTATACCTAGAAGAGTATGAAGAGTTATATTCTCCAATACAATGCACCAATCAAAAATATATGAGTTATTAGAACTATTAATGAGTGATTTTGGGTTATATCCACAACAATTTGTGAAATTAGTATCTAATAGTATATTATCGGAACTTTTCTCTTCGATCTCATCTTTCTTACCTACAGCTTTAGCAAGAAGTACTGGTGAAACTATATTGTCAGTAAACTGTGAACTCCAAAGAATGTTCTTCTCACTTTTATATATTGATACTAAATTCTTATAATCATTTAAAACCTTTTGAATCCTGCCAGCAATTTCATAGGAAAAGAAAATATGGCCTGCAAATACTTTGAAGTTTACCTTATTATTATAAGTTCTTTCACTTATTTCAGCTTTTGTTACATTGATATTAACACTACTATTGTTTTCTTTAACTTCACTAGCACATATATTTATATTTGTTGCATTGGCATCATAATTATCATTTTTGTTATTTAGTATTGAATCTTCTATCTTGAATTGTGCTTCCAAATATATTTGTGGAGTTTGAGAAGACTTCTTGTTATTTAATGAATAATCTGATAAATCTAACTTCTGGGTGTCATGATTTGCACATATTAATACATATAAAGTGCTATCTTTAGCAGTATTTAAAGGAGAAGATCTATGCGGAACTAAGTGGCCAGCATATTTACAGAAGATAACTGAAGGGACTACTAACTCATTATAATTTGTTAGTTCATTATCCCATGAATATCTGGAATCTGGATTAAAATCAAGTGATATGGAATGGAGATGCTGAATGTATATTTCACCTAAATTAAATACAAATTTTAATACTTGATTCAAACTGGTATATTTGTACTTTAATGATATACTGTATAACACAAAATCAAATGCAAGTGAGTTTGAATCATAAACATGTAATCCTAAAAATTGAATATTCAAAGATAAATTCTGTAGTAAGCTTAATAATGATTTGGAAGACTTTTCAATAGCTTTCTTTTTTTTTATTTCACCATCAGAAAAAGATGCCAATTTTGCAAATAATTTAGGGAGATCGGTTACTCCCTGCATTGGGAATATTAAGAATTCATAACCACTTAACAATGCTACAGATATTGGAGTAAGATTAATTTGAATACATGTAAGTCTTAAATCCATTGTTAAACCTTTATAATGCAAAAATAAATCTCTCATATCCAAAATATACATTTCTGATCTATTTGATAATATTGATGATATACCCAAATGCCTCAAGCTAACCACTAAAGAAATATCAGAAAATGAAATTTCCATAAATAAGTGTTCAAGTAATAGTTTACATCCACTCATACAAGTACTCAACTCTATTATGTAGCTATTTTGTAAGAAATATTGCAGTATATCATTGTAAAGTAAACTTTCACTTGAATCTAATGTATCAAAGGGTATTTTCAGGTCATCCATACTCCAAAATACCTTATCATCTTTGCAGACAGATTGACTACTCTCCATTATGTGATATGACTTTAGGTTATTTATGAAAAAATTTGGCCTAGAGCAAATATCGTTAATTATCATTAAAACCTTATTTTCTAAGTTATTTGGGTAAGCTCCAGAAGTATTAGTATCTTCAATATGTTCAACTATCTCATTATCAAGTCTTGGAACTTTCACATAACTTTCCACCTTAAATAAAGCAAAGTCTGCACTTTGATTACTGTTCAAACTTAAATCTTTATTTCTAAGTAAGTTTTTATACATCTGTGTTTCACGTATGTTATATAAATTTGTAGAAGATATTTGCTTCTCTCTTATATAAAATAAATCTGCAGCTGAAAATGTAGTAAATGTTTCATCTGGAGGAAAAAGTGAAGAAATCGTTAAACATCGTAGATTTATAGTCATCTTTTCATTTTGTTTTGTTATAACTTTTATCATTGTAAATAAGCTTCTTATCAAATCAGTTTCATATGTTTTTTTGCATCTCATTAGTAAATGACCTATCTTAGACTTGCATAATGGTAATATATTGCCTAGTCTCCATATTGCTTTTAGACTGGATATATTCAAATTTGGAATTCCAATATTTATATAGTTAAAACCATATCCATTACTTTCCTTGTTTACCACATAGTTATCCTGAATTAAGGATCCCAATGAGTTCCGAAGTAACTGATTCCTCATATGTGTTAAATCAACAGAAGAGTAAAATTGATGTAATTTTATACTTATAAAGTTACTTATATGTCTGTTGTTCCGATTGGAGTTATCATCCGTATATACAAAATCTGGAACTAAGTAAGAATTCCAATTATTTGCTTTGATGTTCACTTTCGTTATAGGAACTGAGTCAATACTTAAAATCCTAAAACATGGCAAAAAATCTAAATTTACTGAATTAAATACTATAGATGTGAATTTCTGCAAAGATTTAAAATCTCGTTGCTCATACTTCTTGTCTAGGTATATCTCATCTATATCCAAAGTAGTCCTATTTAAATTAGCTCGTACAGATATCAACCCAATTTCTCGTTCATAGATACTAAAATTTCCCAATTTTATATTGATTTCTCTGTGACAAAATGTTATCTTATTAGATATCATATAAATAGTTCCATCAATAACGATTGTTGAGCAAATTCCCAATAAATTTACGACTTTTTGCTTAGAAACACCTGAATTTAAATTGCATACAATTAGAGATTTTATCCAACTTGGAAAAGGTCTAATATTTGCATCTATGTCATCAATAGTTGTTAACAAAATATTACATCTAATATTCGGAATAACAACTTCTAAAGCACTATCAAAATCAAACCAATGTTTAAAAGTTGAAATATCTCCATGCTTATAATATTCAACTTTATTATATGAACTATTATTTGATAAGTTTGAAATATCTTTATTCTTAGTTTCTAACTCACTCAAGAATTCTTGTACTGATAAAAGGCTGATCTCTTCAATATTACTGCAGGGAATCCAAAGCTGATGTAGACTCCCTAGCTTCTCCTTTACATAATAATTAGCTGCCACATGCAAAGAGATAATATCATTTATTGGTAACTCATCTTCTAATGATGATAATAAAGATGCTAAGAAGTTTGATATACCAGAAATTGTATAATTCTGCCTATTAGCATTAATTATACTAACTAGGTATGACTCCATTTGAGCCCTAGTTTTCCGGTTGTAATATATAGCTTGTATTGCCTTTAAAAAGCTTGTCCATTCATTAATATAATTAATAAAATTAAATAAAGCATTCAATGCATCTATAGTAGATGTTAATTCTATAGGAGAGTTAGAACCAACTTTAGTATTGGGTGGTTGAGAACCAGTGTATAAATTAGATTTTGGCAAAAAAATTAGTTTACTAACTTTCCATTTACATGAAGAGATGAAGTTTATTACATCTTCCTGAGTTTCACAGCTTAGTGGAAACAAAGAAATAGGTGCTTTTAAAGCACGAATATCCCATCGTTGAAATAATATATGTATTTCTATCCCTATATCTGGAGTTAACTCAATGGCATGCAAACAATTATCTGGAATGTCTATAAATTTAGAATTCCCATTCTGGGTATGTTTTGGATTAAATAAATTTACCGTGCTACTAGTCTCTTTACCTTTATTTATATCACCTATTGTAGAATTCTCAAAACTTACTGATTCCATATTTTCTTTATTACCATTGTGAATATTTAATTCTTTTAAAGGAGATCTAATACCAAAGGAACAGCATAAATAATCCAAAGCACTTAATTTTTCATTACTATATTGATTATCAGAACGTATGAACGGAATAAGATTCTGCAAAAAACTCAAAAGTGATTTATTATTATTTTCAACTTCTGCTGTTAAATTATCTTCATAATGTTTAGATGGAGTAATATTCTTCGATATTGAACATAGTAAACATTCACTAAACTTTTTATAAATAATACGAAATCCATAAAATCGAATCCACAAAAATTGAAATAGATTACTATTTAAACCATCTTTTTCCTGCTCACACAAATCCAATGAATTATAAGGAGAATTAATTTTTAATGCATCCGCAAATATCTCAAAAGTGAACGGAGAATCACCTATATCATCATCCACAATGTATGCATGAATATTATATGCATTAATGACTAGAGAATTTACTATAGATGTCTCAATAGACTGAGTTAAAGAATTATCTACCGACTTTGTTGACCAAGGAGAAACAAATTTTTCCCATTCCCTTAAACGCTTTTTTTTAGATTTGAGTATCTTTTTGGACCATTTCGAAATATTCCACTCATCAGGACTTGCAAGCCTTACCTGTATATCGACATTCTTGACTTCAATATTAATAGGATTAGATTTACTCACTATTTTATCTGAATTCACACATATCCGGATATTCCCAATGTTACTATATACAATTATAAATGGTAACTCAGCAATATCGAATAATATCTGAGGAACTGGAAAATTTGTCAATTCCAAATCTAATGGAGAAAAACTATGTATTTCAATATTTTCTGAAAGATCCCAATTTCCCAAAATATCCGATCCAAATTTCTCAAGAATATTCCTAAATAGGGCCTTTATGAGTGAGGCACCAAATAACATATTTATCTAAAGCATTACAATAATTTGCAAGACAAACCAAGAAAAATTCTTATCTTAATCTTAGAAGGTAATATAAATAATACCGAATGTAATTTTGAGTAGTGATACCTTGTTTTAAAAAGAAAAAAAAAAAAAAAAAAAAGAACTGGAGTTAGGGAGTTCTTTTTTTTTTTTTCTGTGGCAAGTACTCACACTCCCTATATATTGGATTATTAGTGCGCTTAACTAAGTGTGGTTATACAGCGGTAAAAATGTCTATAGGTAATAAGACCACTTCTTACTATCAATGGAGCTTATTTATAGCATATCCCTTAAATTAATCCTTTGTAATAAAAAGTATTGCTATTAAAGTTGTTAAATATATAGAATTTGTATGCTCCAAGATAAAGAAAATGGAATATATTATATATATGGATAAATTGCTGGAATAGGTATATCTTCTTTAATATTATAAAATAAATTAATTTCTAGATATTACCAGATTTCATATAAATTTATTAAATTGACTAAATACTAAACTTTTTACCTACTTGAGAAAATATTGATGATACATGAATATTAAAAAAAAAAAAAAAAAAAGTTACCGCCTACTCAACAAGCTCCTTGGGACAAACTTTGCAATATCGCTATTGCACAACTATATAATTGCAGATTATCAGCTCTAGTAAAATTTAGGTACTAGTTACATGTAATGGCTGAAAAATTAATAGAAGAGGTATGTTAGATTGAATTTTTGTAAAGACTAAACTTGCAAAAGTTTTCTATTTATAATATGAAGGTCCAATTTTACTTTTTTTTTTTTTTGAGCAACCTTTTTAGACATTAAATGCCATACTTATTATAGCTAATTATGAGGTCACACTAGATTCTAATCAAAGAAAAGCAGCTGAGCACTTTTTGCTTGATTTATTCAGCAGAAAAGATGTGAATATCCTGGCAATTATACATGAACTATTCAAACTAGCTAGCACTAACACATATATTGGAGATTTTAATGATATTTATAGGAAATTTTCAATTATACTTAAGAATAATTCTATTAGTGAAAATATCCAATTTATAAGCCTTTCTTTATTGGATTCTGCAATAACTTTGGAGAAATGGGAATACCTTAATACAGATCAGAAGCAATATTTTAAGAAAGGTATCATGGAATTAGCTTTATCAGGCTATAATGATTTAAATAAACAACCACTGATATCGTATCCTGTAGCAGTACGTAGATTAAGCTGTATATTAAGTAAAATAGCAATTGCTGAATGGCCAGATAACTGGCCTGATTTTTTAACAGAAATATTTGCATGTCGTACCTTTATTCTGCAAGAGTTACTTCATAGATTACATACTCTAGAATTTAAAATAAATTTGAAATATAAAGTTTCAGTAATCTCGAAACTAATATTGGGAATAGTTAAAGAGATAGCAGAAACCATAACATCAACTACGATTTCCTTACAATCTAAAAGACGTGCTACAGTGATATCTGGTATATACTGTAATGAAAATACTATATTGGAGATTTTAAGTGATACTTTACAAGCTGCTCTCTTATGTGATGATTGTTTATTGGATGATAATACTAAACAAATAGATGGTTCACTATTAATAGCAAAGAATTGTGATTTTTCTCTAACACAGCTTGCTTTAGAATGTTTAAAACACATAATTAGTATGACTGACATTAAGGCTTTATTAGAATTTAAACTTGATCATTTATTATTAGAACTGTTTAAGAAGTGGCGTGATAAACTAGAAGAAGAGATTATAGATTTATTCAGTTGCATAATATACAATATATCTAAACAAAAGCATAAAAGAACAATAATATCTACGTTAGAATATGAAGATACTAATCGTCTTATAATGGGAATTGTTTATCTTGTAAGGAATGTGGTTTTAGTTCCAGATATAATGATAAGTATTCCAAACTATGAAACTTATGAAAGGCATCTTGCAATTGTTAATTTATTTAAAATCACAGTTGAAAAGTGTATTAGTGCTATTTTGCAAATTCCAGATAATATGTATGCTGATAATACAAACTCAAAGTTTAATACAATAATCTCTATATGGCGTACTTGTATTCTTCTTAGCATTCATCCATCTTTAAATATTTCAAACATTGGCCTTTTAACAGTGACTATATTTTTAAAGTACTATATAATTAATAAATTTAGTGATTTAGAAGCTACTAAATTTTATAAATACTTTAATGAGTTACATGCAGAAGTATTATTTGTTGATAGGTTATTTGTCATTTTATTTATAAGGGCACTTAGAATTGGAGATCCTGCAGTTAAATATAAATCTGAACATTGGACAACATGGAATAAACTACTTTCAACAATAACTTTGACAACAATATCTCCACTTTATATGAATGTAGATTTTGAAAATAAATGTTTGGAAAATAAAATTTTACCATTAATACAACATGTTTCGGAATATATTCAACTTACTGACAAATACAATATTGGAGGATGTGAAGATAAGACTGGAATAAATTTTTCAACATTTAGCAATACATATAGTAAAATTAGAAGTCAAGTTCAGAATATTTTGAATATGCTAGTAGACTGGGATGAAGGAAGACTTTTGTCTGTTACATTTGAGACTTTTATTCGCTTGGCCAGAATGATACTAAGTAATAATTCCTTCAATTTAGTATGTAATCCCCATACTTCCCAATTTAATAAGAACCCAAATAATTTATCTACAGTTAAAGATGATAAAATACATTATGATTGTCCAAAGTGGGTAATATTAGACTCTCTTTTTTTTATTGTTGAGATCCTAACTCAACGGATATACAAGAATGCAGCTATTAACCCTTTAAAAACAGTTTGTACCTCTCTTGAACATCGAGTATCCTCTTACTATGACGTTAATATGGATACTGTGAAACGCAAAGAATCAAGGTGGATACAGTTGTTGCACCAATTACTTAATGGATTTCTACAACTTCCACCAGATACACTCTGTGGAATTTATTTAGAGTACCGTAAAGTTAGTTTGATACAACAAACCTTTTTTACAATACCATGGTTTGATTCTTTATCTGATAAGAATTCAGTTGTTACTCCAAATGGATTCTTAAAAATGTTATTTTCACATTTGTCATCAACTAAATTCTATGCCGAAAGCAAAAATAATTATTTTCAAATGAATCATACAACTTTAAAAAAGCATACTGTAACTGCTTTAACCAAAATTATGTTAAATTCTCAAATTTTTGATGCCTACACAAATGAAATTATTCGAACTGTAAAAAACTGCTTACTAGATTCAGGTATTACATATGAAGAAAAAAGTATATTTATAGCCTCTCTTTCTGCAACTGTATGTTCTACAAAAAATTATAAGATTATTTCGGAATTGATATCTGCATTTATTCAACAGGAAATTAATTTCTTGTTAAACCCCTTCTTTAAACATTGTAGTAAGACTGAATTTGCTTATTTTTTATTTGGACCTATCTTAAAATATATTACCATTATTAATGATAAAAATAATCAAACTAGAGAATTTCAGGAGTCCTCTAATAAAATTTTTAACAATTTGAATGAACTAAGAAATAGTTTAAATATTATCTTAACTGTTCTTAGTCATATACAAACTCCAGATAATTTTGATACTGCTAAAAATGGTGGCTTTCTAATAGATATAAATGAAACATTAGGAAATTTACCAATAGAAAATATTTATTCTAAAAAATATAGAAACTTTAATAAAGATTTAGATACTTCATCATCAACTAAATTCCAATTATTCCATCCTTTAGAACCAGTTATGGCACAAATATTTGAGAATTTATTTATTTTATGTAAAAGTCTGTTTGATATTTTAAAAATAGGAGAGGAAGACGAAATATATGAATATTTCTATCCCTTTGTAAATATATGTGATTCAGAGTGGAACTATTTAACCTTGAATAAAGATATTAGCTATAAAACTCTCCAAAATTGTTTTTCAAAACAATCCATGTCTGATATATACTATGAAGAAGTAAATGAGGCTCGTCGTCTATTATTTACAATAAGAAAGCTCCTTATCAAAACAATAAGTTCAATTATAACTTTGGGTACTAATAAGAAAATAAAAATATCTGAAATGACAAATGAACCATCTTGTGTTGAAAATGAAGCATTTAACTCAAATATTACAAGTGAATTAAGCTTTACTGGATTTTATTTTTACCCAAATATTACTAGCCTATTATCAAATTCTTTAATTGAACCTATTGAGCAATTACCTATTTATGTAATTCTGAGTTTAGTAAAGTTAGGGTGGACTCCAATATTATCACCAAATAATATTCCAAAAAAATCTAGTTCTGGAATTTTGCAGTTTCTTACAGAAGTGTTTGCTATCCGCTTTATCCCTGCTATGTTAAAAAAATTTGAAGTAGAATGGAATAATATTGAATATTCTCATGCATATATTATATTACAAACAAATTCTTTACTTAAGGATAATCCTCAGGAATCTCTTAAAGTTATAAATCAAATGGTGCAGAAAGAGAAACCACTTCTTAATACTCCTCTAGAACTATTTTTTGGAAGAAATAACTTGTATATAGAAGATTCTAATATCAACAATGTAGTCTATATGATTCATTATCATCAATTAAATCTAACAATAAAAGCTATATTACAAATTGTTGAACAATTTTTAACAACGAAAAGTGTTCATAATCTAAATTTATCTTTCGAACAGAGGGATTACCTTATTAATTCACTTCATAATGATGTAAATGATAACAACTATACAGATGTTGAAATGGATGAGAAGTTAATGACTATGTATTCTGCTAAGAGAATTCAATTTATGGAAACCCCTGAAATAAAGTGTGAACAAGGAGATATTTCAAAAATTGTATTTCAAGATGAAACTATTGTTTTGGCATGTTTAAATACTATTTTAAAAACAATACACTACCCTGAAGCAAGTTTGATTGAATATTCATTTAAAATATTGAATAAATATGTTAGACAGTTTAATACCCAGTATATTAATTTGAAAAGTGGATCTAACATACTAAGTAAATTTGAATTTCACTTAACTTTTATTAAACAACTTCTTTTAAGTCTATTGAAAATAGGACTGCAACCATTTTCCTTTGATCCTTTAAATATTACAAGTAATTTACTACAACCTGAGACTTATATTCATACACCATTAAGATCTCATATGGAAAACCGTCACTTTATTTTGCTAAGAAGTGCAATTTCTGAACTTATAAAGTGTATCATTAGATCAACTCCAATTTGTAATGATTATATAATTAAAGAAAGAATTATTTTAAAAGATCAGGAAGGTAAAAGTGAAGATTGCAATTCATCTATTATCTCTATTCCTGAAGTAGTACTTTCTAGAGGAGTTGAGTCCCTAAATTTGCTTATATCATCTGATAATTTGTTTACAGTACAGGAAACTGCTAAACTGGTTCAAAGTGTACTTCTTGAGTTTATTCTAGACACCCCTAACAACAATTCAGTGCTAAATACTCTGATATATGAACTTATTTGCAAACAACATAAATTGGTTATGACTAAATCCTCCCCAAATTGCCTTACAATAAATATTCCACCCATAAACTTTTTAAATGGGAACTGTCTCAATTCAAATTACATAGAGAAAATAGGCAATGATAGGTTAATGATATAAAATGAGATTTTTAATTTTAGTGATTTGATTATTTGATTAATTAATTTATAAAATTCGAAATTTGCTTTTTAAATTTATATATTATAGATTTTACCTTATTTAACAAAATTTATTATCACCATATTCCTAAAAAGATAATTTTTCACAAAAAGAAAAAATCTTAAATTTTTAATAGAGCTAATTTGGAAATTCCAGTAGACTTATGAGTGTTTAGTAGTGCACCTGTTACATCTGCAAAAATTGGATGACCCCTAACAGATTGCACAAATATATTACTGTGAAAATTTCCAATTGTACAATTTGAAATACTTGAATTAGAAGATACAGCTGTAGAATAAGATGCTAGACTGTTTAAATGAAAAGTGTTACTATTGTTGAGATAACCACCAGAAAAGTATGTTGAATTACTCCCTTCATAAAAACCGTTAAATGTTACTCTATCGTCATATTCTGGATACTTCTGAGCTATCTTAGAAAATTCACTTTTAATAGGTGATCTAAATTCCTTCATGTCTACATTTTGGATAGATTTTCCATTATTTGAATCGAAAATGCGCAAAATACTCTCTTCGGTATTTGCACTTATTATCTTTTCTCCACTTGAATTATAGGTAGACCTCCTAAAGCTTTGAGTACTATTTAATGAGGGTATATCAAATTTACATATATCATTATTGTTACTGTAACTTCTAAGGTCTACTTGGCGTATTGCTGAGTCAACTCCACTTATAACTAGTTTGCTATCATCACTAGGGCAAAAAGATGTAAGAACTACCATACTTTGTAAATCAAAACGCATTACTGATGTATTTCCACGAATCCTTTGCCTCATATCCCATAGTTTACAAGTAGAGTCAAATGAGGCAGTAGAAAATACCTGTGGGTGATAATGTGAAAATCTTACAGTATTTATATGGGACATGTGAATATCCTGAAATAGTTTTGTCTGTTCTCCAGTGCGTGCATCATAGCATGCAATTGATTTACCAAATCCACTAGCTAAAAAGAAGTCATCTGTTGAATTTATACTGACTGAACTAAGCTGTTGAAAAGGACGACATTCCTTCTGCACTTTAAGTGTATAGGGTAACGATGAAGAATTTAATGGATACTGTAAGTCTTTGGATATTGATGCTCCACATAAACTATTTGTTGAATTGCAGATTCGACTACTGCAGCCAGTTAATATAGAATCATCATGTTCATATTCGCTTTCATTTATAAAGAATGGATTGTCATTAATTCTAATTACTGATATTGACCCAACTATACAACTTCCACTAACAAGAAATTCTGGATGATTGTGGTACCAGCCTAATCCAATTATAGGAGTAATTGATACACCTAAAACAAAAGATTAATTAATCAAGATATTTCTAAAAAGTTGTAATTTAGAAATTGTGAATATCCCCCTCCCCAAATATCCAAATTCTGCAATTAGTTAACTATTGCTTCCTAATTTTTTGTTTCACTTTAGGGAATTTTAAATGGATATTTAAAGGATTCTCTTTAAAATTAGGATATTTCTTTATAAGAACTTACTTTCTTGTCCAACAACTAAGTCTCTATAACGGTCGATAAGTTTCGTTTGACCATCAGCAGTACCAATTATAATCCAGTCTGGTCGAGTATAGTGAAACTCAAATTGCCGAGCCTCTAAAGTACTGTAAAGAGTAGCTACCTGTACTTGTTTCTTATATTCATCTTTAAAAGGTTTAATAGAGCTTGAGATACTATTTTCTACAAATTTATCAGGATCTATTGTTATATTACTATCTCGTTTTATTTTTTGATTCGTTATTATTGGAAAAAATGTTGAGTTTATAATCGGATATTGATCATTTATTTGAGAATTTTCCGTTTTGAATTTTAGAGCTTTGTTAAGAGTTTGTGAAAATAAATAATAATCATAATCTAAAGTTTTACCACAACTACTTGATTCATGAGAACAAAAAAATCGATGATTTTCACGACAAATGCGTAAACCAATAAATTTTTTAATTTTATCTGTACTGTACTGATCCTTTTTGAGTAGATGTTTATTTAATGGAAGATAACCAGCATTTAAAACTATATGATTTAAAGTATTAGTATTTATTTGTGGTACCCATCCAACAGATAATAAATTTTCTTTGATCATTTGTAAATGGTTTTTTATATCATCCTGAATATAATGTAAAGGAATTTCTTCTATTATAAGATTTAGTTTTTCACTATTAACAAAGGCTAGATGTTTTGACAAGTCACAAGCTAGTAAATATTGGAAATGATACAATTGACTATGATTAGAAAATGAAATCTTGGGTATATTAAATAATCGTACAATATTTTGATAAATAAGATTGCAAATTAAGTTATTATTTAATGATTCTTGTACATCAGATATTCCATCATTAATTTCACCTATCCATCCAATACCTTGAAGTAAAATTATCATATATACCTCTTCGTTAAGAATGTTTTTCAAAGTACTTCCAATCTTATTTAATAAGTCTCCCAAGGAATTTTTATCCTTTGGTATTGAAATACAAATATTTCTATTATTTGATGTTGATACCTTAAATTTAGAATAAGAATTTTGCGGAATTCTATATGATATCTCTAGTGCAATTTCTAAAGTATTTTGATAGATTACTACTCCCTCAGATTTGTTACTTAAATATACTTTCTGATAACATGAATTTCTTTTTACATCTTTTGTTATTTTAGGTTGCATTAACCATTTGTAACCAATTAGATTGTCTGGAAAATTACAAAAATAATCCTCTTTTAACTTCAATATGGATTCTGTAAAAAAAATTGTGCTATCTTTTAATAAATCAGGCAAAAGACTATTGACTTCTAATTTCTCATCAAACCCTTCAATCTGGATTTCTGAAATATTATCTTTAAGGAATGAAATATTACACTTGCAATTTTCCCACTTTTTAGATAACTGTTCACATTGTACCCTGTACTTTAATAAGTCAGAATCTACTCTACACTCCATTTGACTACCTTTAGTAATTTCATCTACTTGGTATAATTCTTTATTAATTGATAATGAACAGAATTGATCTTTATATAAGTATGATTTGTTAGATGTAGATAGATTCTTCTGATAATTTAATATATAGTGCAATATCACACTAACAAAAGATATATGAAAATGACTAGACTCTTTAAAAATCTCATAACACTCATTAAGACATGAATATGGTACTTCATATAAATTAATTTGATTATTTATAAAATTTTCATTTTTCCCAGTATTTAACGATTTCCAAATAACTTCATATGGTAATTCAAGTATATAATTACCTCTACTACTAGGATGAGATGTTATTATAGCCCCAGGTCGGCCTCCTAGATGTAATTCTCTGATTCTAATTGGACAAGATAATTTGATAAATTGTCTACAAATATGGAGTATACTTAAAAATTTTATACTAGCCACAATACTTAAAATTGTTGTTTCAGTATATAAATCATTCATACTCTTTATTTGTATTTTAATTATTGGAATTGGAACTAAAATATCAATTGCTCCCATCCTTAACCAAAATGATTCTTGTGGGAATTTATTATTCATATTTACGTAATATACTACTCTCCAATTTATTATATTCGTTAGTAGAGTTATATCAATATGTGAATTTACCCAGTAATTCTTTGTATGTATATTTGAATTAAAATAATTTTTAATTTTAGATTTATACTTTTTTCCAAGTAAATTTACCCACCAATCATATTCCAATATTATTGGAGAATAAGTGTTATCTCCAAATTCCCATTTGTACTCATCTACAGATATATTCGGTAATAATGAATACTTAAGATGTTCTATGTACTTGTAACCATTTGGTATTATTTTATCCTCTATTATAGATGATTCCCCTATACAAATTTTATCTCTATTATAAGATTGAACAAAACCACTATAATGGCAATAAAATCTCCATATTATAGAGCAATTCTTAATTGATGTATAGATAGACTTGCATGTCAAACTAAGACTTATGCAACTTTCCGGGTCTATGTAAAAACAAATATTTATGATTATAGATATTGGTAAATTTCTGATACAAATTCTATTTTTAAAGATCTGGTTCTCTTTTTGAATAAAATCCTTAGGTATATCTGCATTCATAACTTTACCTCAGTATTTATTGACTAATGTCTCTTTTGAGTTACTAATATATATTATTTACTACTCTAGTTTTTCATAATTTAGACTATAGTATAATTATTTCATTTAAGTATTATTAATTTAAAATAATATATATATCTATATAACATCTTCAACAGTGCATATATTACATAATTTTAAAAAAATGTACTCGAGTTATAGAGGATAATTTACATGCACTTTTTAATTGCACAAACTAGGATAATAGTATTTATTAATATTGTATAATATTTTACTGTATACGGTACTCCACCCCACAATAAAAAAAGGTATTAAAATATATTTGAGCGCTCATATGCGTTCAAATGTGTTTTGTGGCGCGCTAGCAGGCTATCTACATTTGAAATAAGAGCTTTACAATTAATTTTTGTGGGTATTTTTTTTTTTTTTTTTTATAAAAGTTATATTTCTGGTTTTTAATGCAATAAGCAAAAAGTATTATTTAAGAGTTGGTTATTTATGGACTACTATATTTATTGAATTCCTCACTACATAGGTTCTTGTTTCTTAGCCTGTAATGTTTTCTCGACAAAAAGGCAGTCATATGGCTGGTAAAGATTATTCTAGTAATGCTAAATTAAAAAAGAAAAATTCAAACAATAAAATTTCAACTTGTTATGGTGATGAAAAAAAAGATACAGTAGAGAATTTAGAAGTAAAACAAACAAATAACTACAATAAAGAGAGAAATACTAATAATAGCTCACATAATGAAATGAATCGTAGTAAAAAGAATACACTAAAACAATATTATCATAATATAAGTATGGGACGTAATGAAAATACTAAAGATAAGGGTGAATATAGAAAGAAGATTTATCAAAACGATTCTAGTAATCAAGATCATTCAAGTCATATTGGGAGATCAAATAATATTGATCAGAAACAGAAAACATATAGTACCCATCAATATTCAAGGAACAAAAATCAAATAAATGGTAATAACCAATGGAATTACGCGAATAATGGAGATATTATACATAATAAAAATAATAAATTGAATTCAGATTTTAGTGGAAAGTCTCTATTATGTGGAACAACTGTAGATGAACAACATAATAGAAATGAAAATGAGAATATGTCAAAGCCTTCTATAAAAGAATCATCTATAAGTAAATATGCACTTGGTCATATATATGCCTCAAAAAATAAAGTATATAACAATAAATCCCAACACAAGTTTGTGAAATTCTCCGATGTATTTGGAGTTTTAGAATGGATGCACCAAAGGCAATTAGTAGCTATTAAGTGGATATCAGAGAATAGCAATAATAGATTTTATGCAGAGGATTATCTTAAGGAAATATGTGAAACTAAAAATAACCAAAATCACTTACAAACTAGGAACAATGATATAGATGGTGCTAATAATCAAATTTACATGAATAAAGAAATAAATGAGACAACTGATGAGAGATCATCATCAAAAATATCTCTTGAAAACTTGAATTTATCAACTATAAACTCTCCTAGGCACTTTACTGAATTTGAAACTTCAGAAAAGGCCCTATCTAATAGTACTTCATCACATTTCACTGATCCAGATCAAAGTACTACTAACTCTCAAACTAAAACTATGAATTCTTTTATTTATTCGTCATACAATACAAAGATTAGTAGTGATCAACATAGACAAGGTAAAGGCTACAAGATATATAAGCACTTTCACTCTAAAAAACACTCTCTTGATGAAGAGAATAATCGTACAGTTACTAGGCGTTGAGTTTTAGACTCTTTGCCTATAATTTGTAAAAAAATTGATTAGGAACTCTAAAGATCTTATTATAGGTAGAGACTTTGTATTTATTATAGAAATGTGATATTTAACTCGGTTATTTGGGTTTATTCTTATAAAAATTGGGTCTCTATTCTTTGTCCATGTGGTGATGTGGCGCTTCTAGAGGTTTGTATCACCTTAGGAACTTATATAAGTAGATAGGAAATTAGAGAGATTCCATTTCTAATGAATATGAATGATGGATATTCAGTTGATGTGGAGCTTAAACTTTCTAATCAGATCAATGGTTCTAGTTTCAGAGGTGAACTTTTACTTAATAGTGGAGAATTAAAACAAATTCTTAATCATCTTCAAAAATTAGATTTATATACTTTTGAATTATCCCCAGAACCACTAAATACTCGCACATATAAGAATCTTCGTAAAAAGAATGTTAATGGGATAAAGAATGATAATAAGAGGCTAAAAAGTTCTCGTCCATCATATTCACGCGAGCTGAAAGCACTTTTAGGAGATGATATACACAAATATAATATTATATCTGAAAGTCGTTCTAGCCATCTAGGTTCAACTACAGTTCAATCATACGAAGAGAGCGTAAGAAAACTTCCGGATTGGGCTAAAAGATTTCATAGAGTACTAAAGATGATTTCTATTCAAGATATAGTAGCCCCTTTTGTTTCAAATGTTTCTGTATCTACTATAAGCTCTTATATGCAAGCAAATTCCTTAAGTGATGAAGAATGTAGTGGGGATCATTTAAAAGAGAGTGCAAGACGGTATTTAGAATTTCTAAGACGATGTGAACCTTTGGATCAAATATCATTACAGAGAATTCTACAGAAACTTGAAAATAATGAATATGAAACAACTGCAAGTGTATTTAATGATGTTTATTCAGTCTGGATTTGTGGATTTCGTGCAGATAATCCGGGAAGTCCCTTATGGATGAAATCTGTTGAAGCAGCATTAAATTTTAATCTTAAATTATGTTGTGAACCACTACAGGACGATTTCAATATGTCTATTCCCTCTATAAAAAATAAAACTTCATCTTTTTGTGGAATTAGGCCAAACTCTAAAGATATAAATTTGGAACCACCTAGGAAAATACCTAATTTGTTAAAAAGTCCACATAACGAATTTAGTCATCTTAAATCACGAATAAATAATTCTGATAAACGGAACTTAAATTATTCTACAACAAATTCAGCAACAAATATCCGCAATAAAGGGAAAACAAATAATTTACACTCATCTATACGTTCTAAAAGTATAACAGATACTGAGAGACAAGAATTTCAATCTTTACTCAGTCAACTATCTCAAAATAATCATGTTGACTTATTTAATTCATTTTCAGAAACTGCTCACTGGAGAGAAGTTAATTCAGGTGAAGTTGAATTAGATGACCAATTAACACCACCAAATGTATTTAGAGATATGATTTTATGGTGTAAGAATAAATTAAATATTCCATTATCAAGTGAAGGTCCATCTGGAAAATTAGGTAAAAGTACTCGTTATGGGAGTACTGTCAACTCTACAAGTTCATCTACTAAAAAGTTGCGACAGGGAATATTAAAACCTCATAGTAAAAAATCACAGCTTTCAGCAAAACAATTCTTTTCAACAGGAAGAGCTTTTAACTCACAATCTTCTGGAAGTGAAGATGAGGATGAGGATGAGGATGAACCATTACGTGAGAATATTTCGATATCTGAGAAGTGGAGATCTATTGTATCTTCAGATGAATCTGATAGTGAGCCTGAACTTACAAGTTTTTATCCACATTTTGGCTCAAAATAAATAACTTATTTTTGATTTGAGGTTTTTCATAACTTTAATGCAGTGAGCTTTAGTCATACAGCGAACCTTAATAATGAATTCAAACTTTTATAGGCCAATATAGTGTTATTGATGTAGTTATCAATTTATGTATGTTTAATAAATATATATATATATATAATTATGTGCTAATAGCCTTTTACGACCTTTTTTTCAAGCACAATTTTTAAATTTCTTGCATTCAAATAAATATCCTCAAATTTTGAAGAAATGAGTGCAAGTTGCTTAGCAATTTCATCTGGAGTTGGTGATTCTCTCATTTTAATTGTTTTAACTAGAGATTCTGAGAATTCTTTACCTAGAATATGGACAGCTTCCATTTCAATAACTGAATCTCCAATAGATATAAGATTTGTTATAATTTCGGAATTTAACTTTTTCTGTACTTCAAGAAAAGCATTAAATTTCCATTGATAATAACCTCCCGGAAATTCCATTTCGTATTTTGATCTTGCAGATATAATAATTACCTTGGAAAGTGTTGGAACTAATTTAGGTAAATATTTATTAGCAGAATATTCAACCCAACCTTCTATTGCATTAGTAATAATGAAGACATGACCTAACTCCAAAGATGATTCAAGTAATTTCTTACCATATTTTTGAATTAATTCTAATTTTTCTAAAACTGCTTTTGGTAATTCTACCACTGTAGATATATCAAAATCATTATCATTTATATTTATATTCCCCTTTTTTTGTTCACGAAAATCTACATGTTCACAATTTAAGATTCTATTTATATATGTTGTACATAATAATGTATCATCCCAATCAAATATTATTGCAGTTTGATGCTTAGGTGGCCGTTGTGAAGATGGTACCCAAATCTTTAAGTAACTTAATTTACGTAAATATTTTAGTCGGGGAGCATTACTCTTTTCTAGACTTAACAATTTTAGTGTAAATTCATCTTCAAGTTCAGTTGAAATTGAAGATTGTAACTCTCCTAATGTTTCAGAATTGTTATTAGCATTATTCTTTGAAGGTATTGAACGTTTCAATGTAATTCCCAATTTAGTCATAAGATTTATTCTCGTAGAGTCAGTCATAGTTTTTATATAATGGCTCACTATAAATTAACGCTTGGAAGTCTAAATACTGCATCAAATTATCAATATATAATTAATAAACACACACTTAACAAAAAAGGAGAGAAAGAAAAGTTAACACAATAAAAAAGATGAAAAAACGAGTTATATTTATTTGCGGGATATTCTAGCTATTCCTAGCTATTATACTATTATGATACATTTGACAATAGCTGTATGCCTTGTATGCATTAATAATCCTACTTCCCATTACTTAATAAACAAATAATTATACATACTCTTATTTAAGTATACTGAAACTTACCTGGAAGACCATCAATATTAGTTGCTCCTTTAAGGATACATTCCTTAATAATTTTACTTGATAAATTTGGGAATAATGAAACTAATATAGCTGCAACTCCAGATACTAATGGAGTTGAGAATGAGCTGCCAAACATACAACGATAATCTAAGACCACATCTCTGTATAAAAAATATTATTAGATTGTGTTTTGAATTCACTTAAACCTACTGTCACCCAAGTATGTAGAACAAATATTAACACCTGGAGCTGCTAAGTGTACAGAATTTCTTCCATATGCTGCTCTTTCCATAATTATACCTTCTCTGCAAGATTATTTAGTTCAAAAAGTATTCAATAGTAATATAAGATATATTGAAATGTATCATTGATCATACCTATTTAATGCTGTAACTGATATTACATTATTAAACCTATAAATATTAATTTAAACATTTTATGTTTAAAAAAAAATATTTATATAATTAAATTTAACTAATATAATATTGACATACCTGAAGGAAGCTGGATAAGTAGGGAATTGGTCATTATCTCTATTTTTGTGGAAATTTCCAGATGCTGCAACAACCAACATTCCTTGGGTCTCACTTCTTTGAATTGCTAATCTCAATGATTCAATTTGTTCACTAAAAAGTTCCAAATAATTTGTATTGAAAAATAATTTAGAATATAAGTTAAAAGTTTTTAAAGCTAAAATTAAACATTATTACCATCAAAATAATCTTACCTCCTACTACCATAACTATGGTTTGAAACCTTTACACCCTTATCTAATGCATAGTCTATTGCTTGTAAAATTCCAGAAACATAACCTTGAATATTTGAATCCAAGACTTTTAGTACCATTACTTGGCAGTACATACAAACTCCTGCAATTCCTAATCCATTATCTGGAATTGCTGCAATTAAACCTGATATATGTGTTCCATGTCCATTATCATCAGATGGAATCTTTGTATCATCTACAAAATTCTATATTAATTTTATGTATAGCACAAATAAATATTTAATTTATAATTAAGATAATTCATTGAAAATGGAGTTTTGTTCACAATATTACTTACCCAACCATAACAATCATCTATATAACCATTTTGATCATCATCTATTCCATCACTACAATTATATTCTCCAAAATTTCTCCATATCCTTCCCCTAAGATCTGAATGTTCAAAATCTATTCCAGAATCCATAACAGCTACTACTGCATTTCCAACTTTATTATTTATTATCTCTTTAAGCCTTTTCCAAAGTTTTGGAGTATTAATTCCATAATTCAAGTCACTATGAAACCATTGCCTTTCAAATAATGGATCTGATGGATAAAATTCATCACTTGCTGGTTGTCTTTTTTTTCCTCTAGACACAAAATTATTTAATTCTATTGGGGTTTCCTGTAGAATTTGTGAGCCTATAAAATCATCCTCATATATTCCCTAAAGATAAAACAATTATAAATAAATTATAAAAAATATTCTATTTATTTAAAAGTTTATCATCTAAACTTTGTTTTGATATATTTAAGTCATTATTATTCTTTTTTTTTATACAACACATTACCTCTATTATATCATCAAACATAGCAGAATTACTAAGTATAATCTGATAAAAATTTAGTGCATTAATATTATGAGGTAAGCTTATAATTTCAAAATTTAAACCTTTCAAGAATCTTGGAGGTTCTATCAACTTTATCTATAAATTAAAAAAAAAAAAAAGTCTAATTTTTTTATGGGAAATATATATATTAAATATTGAACTTACTTGCATTTTGTGCAAAATAGTTTCAATTTTTTGAATAAATGTATCTCTCAATCTCTTAACTATACCATTAGTCAGATTATTACTATCATTTTTATCCTTTACTCTGTAAGCAATTATTAACCTTTTAAGTTTTAATCTATTATGGGAATTATTGTTTGTATGCTTTTCTTTCTGCTGTAAATTAATAAATAAAATTCAACTTCAATTAACCAAATTGAAATCTTTATAATAGAACTTTTACCTTTACTATAAAATTGCCAATATCTTTGTAGGAAATTTCTTTATTAGAATTAAGATCTAACATATTAGCCATTTTTGTTAAATTCATTATTTTACACAAAGTACTTCTAGAAGTACAGATTAAAATTAGTGATAAGAACTTAAGGAGAAAATTCATTCAGCTAGATTTACTTAACCATTTCAATATTTTTATATAACAATTTATCAGTGTCTCATCCCAATCTGTAAAGGGCCCACTTTACAAGTTACTAATACTGCATGCATGAGGTGCAATAATACAATAGGCGGCAAGATAATATAAAAGTACCGCATTTTGACGAGTTAATTGTATATTTTAAAATTAAGATACAATCTATTTTCTATATTGGGCTCTCAAAAAAAAGTTGTATTATTTAGGATTATCATTTAATAATTTTATAAGTTGGTCATCCTCATTATAAAGTCCTGATCTAATTAAAATATCTACATCAGTAGGTATTTGCATATCCATTGTATTTGGTACCTTATTCACAGATTCTAGTTCTAGTGTAACAACTATTTGATCTAACTTATCTTTAAGATATTGCCTAGAAGCTTTCAATAATTCTACACACTGTTTTAAATGCTTTATTTCCATATCTTTATTTTGAATTTCATAATCTTTTTTGGAAAGTTCATCTTTAAAATAGCTATAGTCTTTTGCCATATGAGCTTTTTCAGTAGTTTTCTTCAAAATACTACTTTTATCTTCTTCAACATTCAACTTAGAAATAAGTTTGCTATTTTCCATTTCTAATTGTTTATATTTTCTTTTTTCTATATCTAGTTTTGTTTTAAATTTGGATTGAATAATATCTAATCTTTGTTGAAAGTTCATTTTCATATTATCCAATTCTCCATTTTTATTTTCTTCAATATAATCAATAGACTTTTCTTTTTCTCTTAAGTGATATATTTTTTCATTTAATAAATTCTCTAATGTAGCCAATTTTTTATTTTTCCTTTTTATGTCTTGTATAAAATTTTTCATTATAGTTTCTTGCCTTTTAATTAAAGAAAGGCGTATATTTTTTTCAATATCCTCAATATGCTTAATAAATCTCTCTTTCTCTAATTTCTTCCATATTTCTACACTAAGAGCAACCTCATATTCTTGTGTATTTCTTATATCATCTTCTGTAACCCTTTTACTATCTAATATATCATCCAATACTTGAAGAGTTAGTTCTGGCTTAATATTAAATTCTTCAACTTTAAAATAACCAAAATTTAAATATAATTCGTCATTTAATGTTTTATTTATTGTTTCAAAGTTATCTTTTTCTTGTAGATCTTGTAAAAGTGTAGAAGCTTCCTTCTTTGAAGAGAATTCACGATTATCTGATATATCTGAATAAAGTCCAATTGACAAATCACTAAATTTATTAATATTTTTATCTTTTAAAATTTGAGGTGATTCTGTTTTTGATTTTTTTAAAATATGTTTTTTATCCTTTCGATTTTGTACTTTGATTTCTGTAGTATTTTGTTTTTTATTACCTTGTAATTTTAATTCTATATCTATAAATCCTATAGGTAAAATATTTTCTTGTTTAATAGTAGAATTTGAATTATCTACAGTATATGGATATAATAAAATTCTAGTTGGCCAAGTTTTGTATGATAAAATAGATTCATTTATAAATTGTGTATCATCAGGTTGTATTAATATATGTTTTAAGGTTATATCACCATAAGAATGTATTTCAAGATCACCAAATGTATTAGATTTCCAAACTTCTATTTTAAGGGGTTCCAACTGGAGTCTATTACTAAGTGTATGCCAATTGCATGAAAATTTAGAAGATATTTCTAAAGGTTCTTTAAATATATTAGTAGATCGTTTACATGGTATAGGTGGACTTGTTTTAGGAGGTCTACCAGATAAATTTTTAGTACCACGTATTATATTGAACCAATTTCTTAAAATAAAAGTTATTGTAGCCGGATTTTGTAATGTGGTTGATTTAAATTTTATACATAGATTCCAGACAGTAATATCTAAGTAGTCATCATAGTTTGCTATATTTGATTCACATGTAAATTCAGACGTAATATCATCTAAATTATCTATAGAGAGCCAATCTAATGGATCCTCTGAACTGTTCATTAAATTACAAACAAAATATTGACTACTTGCGGTGAAATAGCCACAATATATTTTGCAAGCTTTAATCTAAAGCTGTTAATGGATCGCGCTCGTCAAGTATTGTGTAAAAATCCTGAGATTAGGATTCTAAAATAATAACTAATTTAATTATGATCTTAATTATGATTATACTATATTGAATATAGTACCATTTTATTATACAATAGATATAATAAAGTAAACAACTTTAATAGATATACCTGTAACTAACTACATTATTATTAATTAAGGATTAAATCCTTATTAAACTAATAGAAATTGACTATATGGTGTCTTTTACATCTATGCCCAAAGAACAACTGCTTTAGAGGAATTTAAAGTACCTGCACAAAATATCCATGGTTGTTTTGGATGCCAAACTGCACTTCTAAGGTTAGAATGAGCACCTCTAAGAACTTTTAATGGTATAAGAACAGGATTACTTATAATATCTTTAGGCATATTACAATAAAATAAATTCACATCTCCACTACTATTTGCAGAAAACATTATAGACTTATTAGGATGGAATTGGATTTGTTTAATTGTAGTTTCGCTATATCTTAAAAGTTTGTAAGGTTGATTTCCTAAATCTAGATCAAACCACGCTACTCTTCCATTACTTTGACCTGCAAGGATATATTGTCCTGAATAGTCCAAACTTAAACATGTCGGATTTTCTATACCAACTAATTTCTTGACTAACTGTTTTGCAGAATTATCATCATTTAATTTTTTAGTACTTGATCTACTATTAGATAAGTCTATTATTCGTATACTTCTTTGTGTTGCTATAATAAGCCATGGGTTTATTGTATGAAATTGAACTACCCTTACAAAACCCTTTGTTTTGTACACTTTAATTGAAGCACATTTATCAATAGAATGAATAATAATACGATGTGAAGGAGATGGTGATTTAGGACATACTGATACCAAATATATACCTTTTCTATGCCAATTTAATTGTCTAATGATAGCTTGATGTTTTACTTTAATTATTACTTTAATCATAGGTATATCTAACAGTGGTTCACATTTAGACCATGAAAGCAAAGTCATAGATTTTGATTCAACTTTATTAAATAAATTACTTGCTTCTGTAAGTAATTCTGCAGGTGTTAAATATGCAATTGAATTACAATCATATTTTTTTTGTTTTATATGATAAGATACATTTGGTAATTCTAATACCAATATATATAAGTTTTCTTCCAAGCCACATGCTAGTATTGGTAATCTTGGATGAAAAGCTAAAGATGTTACAATATTATTTGCTTCTATATCATTAACTTTAGATATATCAATTTCAGATTCATGTATATTACTATTAAGTATATTACTTTCATTACTCCATTCATAAGTATTCCATGATATTATTGGACGTGTTGTTATAACTTCAAATATTGTAATCATAGTTCCACAACCTATAGCAATCCATTGTCCATCAGTAGATACAGATGATAAAATGGGAGTCTTGATACTATTTATTATGTTATTATTTTTTAGGATACTATCAATATCATATTCTGCACGTACATGTGTAGGATATGGCTTCAAACAACTTGTATCAATTGTAGGTGGTAAAATACTCTCAGGATCTACATTCATACGTAATTTTATTGTCCTTGGACATAAATATAAATCTAAACAACGTTCAAATCTTTCTAAAATTAGGTTACTGTACCCTGGTACTCTTCTTAAACAATCATACTTTTGTGGAATTATATCCTTTTCATTATCATCCATTTCTTGTAAATTAGATATTTCCTCAGGAGTCATTAAAAATTCCTCTGGAGGGTTATAACTAAACTTATGGGATGGTGGTTCAAGTTTTGGTGCAGGAATATGTGCTGGTCTTTTTGATGTAGCCAAATTATTCCCCTCTGGAGTTATTATTTCCATACCCCATAAATCAAAAATTTCCTCTTCTCTATGTTTGTTTGGTTTCAAAATTCCCATTCGTATAAGTTTGGCAAGATGATTTATTTTCTTTGTCTCCCATTTTGATGGCACAAACCCACGCTTAGCAATAGGACGGTTTGACACTGGGAGAATTTTATCTTCTTTATTATCAAAATCTACTATGAAACCCTCTGGATCAAAATTTGGATTTACATATTGATGTGATAACACTCGTTGAATTATTTCTAAATCTTCATCTGTTAATTTTGTAGTTTTCTGATTTTTTATATCTAAAATAGTTCTCCAAGCATCTGGATTAGTTGAATCTACTAATGATTGTAGTTCGGAATCTAAAAAAGATTATTCAAAATACTAATAAAAGATCTATAATATTAACATAAATAATTAACATACCTGATTTTCCAAAAATCTTGCATAGTCTCTCTCCATCTATTGTATATCCCTGATGGTCAAATTCATCATACCACTTTAATGGTACATTACCTATGCGATTTATCTGTTCCTCCTCATCTGACAGTAAATTTTCTTCTTCTAAAATTCTCATATTTACCTAAATACCCTTCAGTATATAAAAAATTAAAGAAATCTAAATTTATGCTTCACTAGTAACTTTTTACTATTACGCGCTTTTTTTTTGGACTTTACCTTAAAGCTAATGTGTAACAGTATAGGATGCTGGGCCTTACCTAGATAAGAATAACCCTCAATATCACCTAATAAAATATCCATAACTTTCTAGGTTCAAATACACTGAAATTCTCATTTATATATTTATCTTTACATATCAATATTAATAGATTAAGTTTTATTTTTCTTTAAAAAAAAAAAGATTGGGTGGAAGACTAAAAGGAGACACCATCTAAATTAACTATAAATTTCATGATATTCCTTCCTATTCTTTGTTGACATTTAATAAATTTGATCTATATAACTAATCGTATAATTATGATTATACAATATGTATACTTATATAACTGCGAAAATCTTAGATACAAGTGAAAAGTAACAATTAGCTACAAGAAAAAAGGTGCGCTGCAATTAAAGTATGTACAAATTATTGATTCAACAAGCTTAAAGAAAGAAGTCTACCTAGTTTTAAAGTGAATATCAAGGGAAATGTGCTATTTAACTTGAAATTATTAGGATATATTAGTATAGAGTAGTTCCAAACCTTTTAAATAGGAGTAGTTATAAAATTAGCGCATAATATATTTTTGAGAACTCGTGACATGTTAATTTGATTTTATCTGGTATTTTTTAGTGATCCGTGATAAATGATATAATTATGACCTCAGAATTAGCTAATAATGAATATTCAGGTAGTTCTTCAGTTGATGCAAACTCCCCATTTCTAATAACAAATTTATTAAATAGTGATAAAAATTTGGACCAGGGAAAACTTCTGCTGTCTCATGATTCATCTCTAGCTGCAAACTTAAGTTTATGTGGAAATGTTACTGTTGGAAGGTTATTTTCATTTGATATTGGGGACTCAATAAAGAATTATGGTAAAGAGGTAAATTTTAGAAGTTTGGAGTTAAATTGTATATTTGAAACAGTACAAGAGATAACGAAAGTGAGTAATATTATGTGGACTAAAGCACTACTTAGATACAATGAAAAAACTCTTGATAATATTCCAACTCTGGTTATACTGGAACAAAATAGAATTAGAAGTTCTGATTATTGTCCAATTTGCAGAAAACATGGCGATATAGAATATATCACATTTATTTTTTTTAGACTGCAAGATTGTAATGAAACTGAAACTAAAATAATTGAATTGGAGATTATTGACCAAGATTATACAAGAATTAATTCATGCAATTTTAGCTATTTAACGATAGAATGGAAGGAAGAATTAGAGTATATGGAAGCAATAAGTTTTATTAGGATTCCTACTAGTTATATTCAAAAAAGATTTATTTCTGCAGATTTAAAAGTTGGGAATGCTAGTTGTTCAACTTGTTTCTCTTATAAAACAATTCAAATAAGCTGTGATCCTTCTATGGATATTGGGATTTGCTTTTTAATTGCAAACAATATTTTTCTTTCTACTGATATATATTTTAGGGATTCCCTCCGAGTAAAACGTAGGTTCTACTTACAGACAGAAAAATCAGAAACTGATATTCTAGTACAAATTAGTGGTCTAACGACTGAAGAAGGTTGGTTAGCCTGTTTTTTATCTAATGGTTATCAAATATTGATATGGAATTATTTGAATGGTGTTGCATTTCATTGTATTGATTTAACGGATCATTATTTCAGTGAATATAATCAAATTTATTTGGATAATTCTGGAGTTATAGCTAAATTTAAAAATAATTGTGTTGAGATTAAATTTTTACCTTCATTATGTGGTCTATGTATTGTACCTTACTTTAGGGAAGATAGTATGAATGATGGAACAGCTTGCTTAATAATTGATTTGGAGTCTTACTTTAGCCAATTACTTTGTAGTTTTTCTGTTTTATATACTCTCAAAATATATAATGAGGTAATTGTTTCAAAATATGATTATTTGTTAGATCCAGGAATGGAATTTCTTGATAGAATAAAAATTGGTCAAGGAAGTATAGCAAATGTCCAATTAAATACTGATTATCACAATTTAACTATTTTTCCACAAGGGTTCATTTTATATAAATATAAAGAGTCGTTGTCAAATATTTCATCTTTTTTGAATCCTATTGCTTCCTATTATTTAGAATTTCTAGCTACTACTGATTACAGCAAGAGATCACCTTTTTGGACGATGATTTTTAATATTAAATGGCTTCACTGGAATATTTATGATGATTCATTAATGAATATAATTGTTTATAGGTGTTTATTAAGTATAAGGAATGAAGCAAAAAAAAAAAAAGTATTAGATCATTGTGAATGGAATCTTAAATCTATTGAAAATGCTTTAAAATTATATAAGATGGCTCCATTAATAATTAATTATGAAAAAAAGTTATTAAGCAAGATATATATAAAAAGTGATTTATATGATTCGATAAAAATACTTATTAAGTTGTTAGATTTACACTTAGGTAATGAAGGTATACTAACAAAAAAAGAAAATGTTCTATATAACAATTCGAAATGGGCAAAAATCATTATATTACCAAAAACAAACGATATTGAATATAATTTTGAAGCTTGCACAGAAGATATAATCTTTATAAATATTCTATGCTTGCAGTTTTCAATTCTGATTCAGTTTTCAACAAAAGAATGGGGAAATGAACACCTCTTAGTGAACAAAAAATCTCAAAGATATGAAATCAAAAAAATTTGTTTTAAGGATTTTGATATTGGCAAATCTTGTAAGCATAATCATATTAATATATTTTACAATTTATTAATAACATACTCAAACAAAAATATTCAGCAGTTTTATTTGATAAGATCTCAAAAGGAGCAGATACTTGATTATAAAGACTGTCTCCATAATTATTCTTATAAATTAGAGAAATCAAAAAGATTTAAAACTTTATCAGATAGCATCTGTATTCTATCTAGTAGTGTTAATTTAAGACATATAATGGAATCTATGATAACTCTTCAGCATCTAACTGCTGCTACTGAATTATGTAAACTCAATGAAATTGATCTAGCAAGTTTACTCATGACCCAAGTAGAAGTAAGTATTAGAAATGAGGAACTTGATACACTTGCAAGTTCCCTTACCAACATACCACTAGATTTACATGTAAGAGCTATGAATAGAATAGCAGATTATTTAGAAGATAATTCTGAGATTTGCTTATCACTTGAATTTAAGATATCTTGCTCAAGAATTTGCCTTAGATTTTGCTTGGATAAAATAAAAATAGTGAGTTCTAATAGTGCATGGTTACAATCAAAGGATATTTTTCAAGTTCTAAGTAAATTGTCTAGGTTGTCAGGAATATTCAGACGATATGTAATGTTGAATAATGAGAAGTTACCGAACTATAAAAATAATACTGCAATTAAGGAAAAAAGTAGTATTTCCACATTCATTGAAAAGCATCGGAATATTTGTAACTTATTAATACTTGGACATTTTCCTACGCTATGTAGCTTATATTTAAATGAATATCCTCAAGGTAAAGTGAATATGCTCATGAAGAAAGTATTCAGTGAAGTATACAATATTATCTCTTCTCAACAAAGTCACGCTCTATTTCTAGCTATTCACATAGTTAGAAACTTAGGAATTAATATTTCTCAGTTTATAAAGGCAATAGCACTTTATACTCTTCGTAGGGATCTTCGTAAAAGACTTATTAATCACTTGTACCATAAACATGTATTATGCATAGAGGAGTACCACTGGTTTCAATTTCTTGTAGAACTGGAAACTGCATATCCTAATTCTTGTTATTCTGTAGAAGTAAATCGTGTATGGACAAACACATTTAATTTATCATATTTAAATTCAAAAATGCCAAGTTTTGGGAATATAGATTATTATTTAAATAATTCTTCTGAATTAAGAGGTGATTCACCACTTTCAGACACTCCAAATTTACTAAATTTTAAATTTCAAAGTAATTATACTGAGAATTGTACCGAAATATATAATAATGAAGTAAATAATATAAATAGTCCTTTTGTATCATCACCTATTTATCCGATAGGTGGCATTTATGGGATCGAGAATTCCTCATCTATGAAAAGCTCTTTTTGTGAAGAAAGACCTAATTTAACCTTAACATATGATGATACAATGAAAATATCAACAGATAAATATAATAAGGACTCAACAATAATTTCTTCAGTTCCAGAAGTTAGTGGGTACATAAATCAAGACTACTTTATTTCACAATTTTCTACTGAAATAATAAAGAAGTGGGAACTTTTAAGTTGCTTTGATATTGAAGACTTTAATCAGCTACATTTAACATCTAAAGAAAGTTCTTTTAGACTCAGTAAAATAACTGATAAAAATATGATTACTAATGTTATTGAAGGTCACATGAATATACCTGAACAGGAAGGAGCAAACTCTGTACGTTTATCTAGTGGGGAAATAATAGTATTAAATTACTCAGTTTGCAAAAAGTGCAGCAGTATATTTGAAGAAGATTTTGAACCAGAGAATAGTTTATCTTTAGCAGAGAGTAAAGCTGAAAAAATCACTTTACCTGAACAAAATCGCTCTTCAGACTTCACTTCTAAACAAGGTGGTAGGTTATGGCTTAAACTAACAAGGCAAAGAAACGAAATGGCAAATTATGACTACAGTGGATACATGAGTATATCATTAAATTTTGTTAAACAGTGGTCTATAGATACTTGTTGTAGGGTGGTATTAGAAAAGTCATACTCACAACTTTACACACTATGGCAACATATTTTAGAAGGAAACAAGGGACCTTTTAAGCATAGTGAAGCACTAACATATTCAATTATATACTTGATACTTTTTAAACACGAAATATCTCAAGAACAATCAAATGAATTGTTAGAATGTGAATCTTCATGTCACTATTTTATTCTTACAACGGAGAAAATATACACGAGTGTCTTTGCTTATCTAATTTCCCATCATGATTGGCGAGGCATGTGGCATTCAATCTCAGTTTTAAAGAAATCTCTTGATATAATAAATACAATATTTGGTAATCAGTCTAAGGCTAATATTTTAGACAAGATCATCCAAGAAATTAAGAGATACTATCCTGTTATGACATGCTTTTTAAGTGAAGTATTTTTTGACTCATGTTTTGCAATCAATTCTGTCGATTTAGAATATATCTTATACAAAACTACAGATTACTTAAAAGATGAAATATTTGTAACTGAAAAAAACGTTACTTTGAATCTTAATGAAAAATATATTTTGAACCATTTTATACTTTCTAAAAAAATATCAGACAAATATGAATATGATTGGGTAAATCTTTCAATAAAAAAATTTAAGTCTTTACCATATTTACTTAGCAAAGAGTTATTTCGTAAATATGTTTCAACATTGTGGATACCATTTAAAAATGGTCAATTAACAAAATTACTTGAGTACTTGTACCAAATTGATTCAGATAATCAACTTAATGATTATAAAATGATTATATATGAATTTTTAGGACTGGAGAAATTGCCACTTCTTTCTTTATACAAAAGCTCAATATTACTATTGAAAAGTACTGATGATAAAATAACAAATCAGCACTTAGTTAACTTAATTAATTGCAACAATCAATTACTGATTCCTCTAAACACACTTGTTGAATATTTACTAGATAATTACAGTCCTATAGATAGTTCTGACTTGCTAAATTGCAAACCTGTAACTATTTTGCAGGTACTAGGTCTGATATTTATTGCTCCATTTAGTAATATATCAGAATTAACAAAGTTACCAGAATCGGACAATTGGTTCATTTCATTTTCTTCTTTAGAAAATTTTTTAAAGCAATACTTCCCAAGACTCTTATTAGCCCTTCAAAATAATGAAGCAAGAAACTTCGAATTTCAAATTAATATCTTCAATCTACTTAAAATGGAAGTTTATGATCAAGATAATAATTCTGAATACATTACTGAAAGAGAAGATGGTATAGTACGATTTGGGGATATTCCAAATATTTCTAATAATACCTTTCCTTTTGTTAAACAAATATTAAACTACTTAGCTAATATAAGCCAAGATCACTTCAATAATATTGAAAATATGTATATTTCTCACAGTAATGAGTTCCAATATTCACAAAAGTTGTTTGACTCAATACTAAGACATGTTGGTACATTTTCTAAAAAGGAAACCCTTGTTGGATTACCATTAATGCATTATATAGCAACTGGTCGCCCTTTTATGGCTCTGCATTTGCTATCAATTAGATATAAACTAGCTTATAGAGAAGTGAGAAAACCTGAGAGTATTCTATATATCCCAATTTTATCCACAGAAGATAAAATTGAACTATACTCTGCTGTATATAAGTTGGCACTGCGAAACTTTACAAGAGACCCGATAGTTTGTGCTTGTATTACTTTTATTTCTTTACTTAACTTTCCAACGGAATTATTATGCACTGATGTACAAGCTGCTAGGTGTATATATAGTCATCTTATACATGTTAATAACAATAAAAGTGGCTCAGATCAACATTTACCCTCCATTTATGAATATAAAAGTAATATTGAAGTTGATGAAAATAATTACAGTATAATTCTTAAAATCTGGAACCTATTTATTCAATTTGGTCCACATAAAACAAGTGAGACTTTTAAAAATTTATCGAATTCTTCATTGTTACTTCCTTTAAAAAAAAACTTGTATCGTGACCACTCGTCAAGCCACTCAAATGCATTATTTACTGCACTTAAAATGCTTGAAGAAGCAGCATGGGCTGATGGTGATATTCAATACTCAACTGGAAACTCATATGACATAGGTACAGAGACTAGTGAAAATGATATTTTGCCTCATATACCTATATGGCAACTCGTTGCAGCATTTTGCAGAATACATGATTTGCCACGTTCACTGACACTATTACATGAACTGGCAAGCAAAGGCGAGTGGATACCCTTTTTTTATGAATGTGATATTCAAAAGTGTCCCTTTGAGACAGTTAAAGATATTGTTATAGAATACATATCAGCATATCCTCAATTACAAAGACACTTAAAAATAGCCTTGAATATGCAAGATAACAGAACTGAAAGTAAAAAAGAAATAAAAGATATCAATGACTTGACTAACTGTAATAAAAATCTACTTGTTGAGTTATTAATGTGGAGCAAAATGATTGAATTAAATAAAATGGATCTCAGCTTATCTGAAAAATTTCTAGAGTGGATATTTGCCAAAATACAGGAATGTATCAAATGGATGAATAGCAACTTTATACTACTCATTTTCCCAATACTTTTGAGTAATTTTTCCTTTCTCAACAATTTGAAAAAGGATACTTTTGATTCTCTCATTAAATTATGCATAAATTGTTATTTATTTATCAATATATGTTGGCATATTTTTGAACTTCAAGATGAATTTATTACTGAGAAAGTATGTTTATTACCAGCTTATCCAAGCAATTACTTCGGTTCATCTACTATAGAAAGAGAAGTTGTTGAAATAGTTACCTCAATGCAAGAGATAATAAATACAAGAACTATAAAGATAGACCATTTGAAGATAGGAAAAAGCCATAAAGAGACATTCACCTACTTCCGGAAATTACAAACTTCTAGAATAGCTAATCAATTCCTAAATAAACCAATTTGTGAAACTATTTTAGAGAGATACAATGACTTCTTTTATAACTTTGAAACTGGATTTGGTAGTGATCAAACCACTATTTTTTTGTGGGAGTTGATTTCACGTTATAATCAATACCAAATGCTTTATAGATTATCAAAATGGTTTTATGGCAAGAACTCCTTTATATGTATATTATTCAGAATTTTCAAAAGTATGAATCAAAATAATATGGCTGAATGTGTAAATTTATTGCAATATTTTTGCAAAGCCATTAACCAAACTACATTTAAAGGTGAAAACAACGTACATTACACACCTTCTATCGATTTTATTTTATTATACTTTGAACATCATTTAAACTCCTTTATTCCAAAATTATCTATTGTAAACCATAATATACTATGGAACTCAATCTACAATATATATACTACAATGCCTACAGGAAGAAACTCTATTGATTTATCTAAATATTTGCATAGACGTAACATAGTTGAATTAGCTACAATATTTAGAAACAATGAGTGCATAAATAAATATTTGGAGCAATGGATATCTATGGCTCCTATTGATATAGCTAACTATATGTATGAGCTTGGGGAGTATCAGTTACTGATTAAATATTGTGAACTGACAATATTACGCTCAAATGTCAATACCCATTCAGATATGCTACTTATTCTAGAAAAATCCTTCTTAAATGATTTGGTATCTGATTTTCTTGAATTTTCACATTCAGAATTATTTAATACGAGCTCAATCAGGTTACATTATATTAGGAGAGTATTTTGGAAACAACTTAAGATAACTTTTGAAGTTATTTACAAAATATCACCATTATTAGCACCATATTTGTACACTAAAATGGGAATATTTTGTTGGTACATTGCCGAAAGATGTGAAAGATTACTTAACCTTTTGGATCAATCAATTTTATTATCTATTTCACTGCATATTTTTAGAGAGGCTTCTGAACTTTACAATGGCAAGAGCTATGAAGGAAGCAAACTCAATAGTACTGGTAGAGTTCAGCAACTCATCCCACTTCCACTTTTTTTTGATGAAGAATATATACAAAATTGTATATATTATGCAAATTCTAAGCTATTGATTGTATTGATGAGTTCCTTTAATGATTCAACCAAGCTAGAATTTTACAAAAAACTACTACAAACAATAAAATTATCAAGTGGAGATATTAAAGATATCCACTTAGAGTATTCTGAAGAGATATTTTATTTGTTTGAAAAATGTATTTCAAAGGAAATAAAAGCAATATTATTTACTCCTTCTGGATATTTTAACTTTCAAAGTCTCGTTGTTGCATCTCCATTTAACATACATATACCTAATTCTCTAATGGCTAATGATTATCCAGTTGATGCAATGCATATAGTGGATTCTATTAATAAACTTGTTGATTATGCTTTCAACTTAAAAATTTGTGATGAACTTATCTTTAGATTTGTACCTACTAGTGCAAATAAGATAGCACAAGCAGAGAAAAGATTACTAGAAAAAGTAAATTGTAACATATTATCAGTAGATACTTCTGCTAATAAAGTACTAGCTGCTCCAATTCCATTAAGTAGGAATAATCAAACATGGGATATAATAGTTAATATTTTTGTTGAAACAAAATATATTTTATTAGCTTTTAAAAACATAATTGCATCTTGGTTATTAAGAGGTAATGTATATTTTTCGATAAATTCTAATGAAAACAATACAGTTAAACTAGAAACACCATTTCTGTGGAGTGATATACTTAAAATAAATACTAAGTATGATAAACCAGAATGTTATCCTTTTGATATTACTTTTTGTTCTAGAATACAATCTATTCTTAATTTATTTCAATTTACCCATGAGCTATCATATAATAAAGCTTACACACAACCATCTTTAAAAATAAAATCTCTGATCATGGATTTTGTACAGAATTGGGGAGTTTCTAGTGATCCATATGACTTTGAAACCATAAAATGTGATATCAACAACGCAAATTCTCAATTTATAATTACTTTATTCTATTCTCCTAATTTTATCATTATTCTTGAGGAAATACTTTTGTTGGCAATTATTAGAAAAGCAAGAGATACTACTGATGAGCCATTACAATCTTTGGACTTCGATTCAATAATAAAATCATTTAAGAATATTATTAATGATAATCCCTATTTTCTGACTTCAGATATAGATAGTATGTTAACAAATTGTATTATAAAAGCTTGCCAATTAAATTCCAAGTCACTAATATATATTTTAAATAACATTTGTATACTAATATATGACACCATAAATATTGGACAAAAGTTAATGGGTGAATATCAGAATTTGAAAAATAAACTAGATTACATGAATTGCTCATACACATATAAACTCTACATAGTTATTTCGGCTTATTTATGCTTTACCATCGGATCAAATAAAAAAATGAGAGTAAGCAGTTGTGAAAGTGGCACTTCCCATAAATTACTAGCATCAAATTGCATTGATCAACTAATTTATATTATATCTAATATTAATGAAAGTCAAATAGATACTATTTCTCTTGGAAATATCATTTTGGAATTCCCAGAAATGAATATTTTCGAAAATATATCAAGTAATTTAATCTCTCAAATAATATTGGACTCTTTAAATATAAATTCAATCACAAATTTAGATTTAAGTTGCACAAATATTATTTCATCTAGGGGATTAATGTTGAGAGTTGTAGGGAATTTAATTGAATCTTACAATAAAAAAGGATTAGAGGGATCATTATCAAATCTAGCACTTTTACATAGTGTCGGTTGTAATGATATTCTAGTTGAATATCTAGTTCAAGATTGTTTATCAAAGCAATGGAAATATTCAACAAATTTTATGTACTCTGACTGTGGTGAATATGATATTCTATTAGCATGCCGAATTTTAGTACATTGTTGTAAAATACTGAAATTGACTAACCATCAAAAAATGTACCAAAGTGTGATGAATCTTTCTGGAATATTCCTCTTACAATTACATTTTATACAGTTTTTTAAATCTTCAAACAATCATAAGCAGAAAATTGATACAAATCTTCACACGGAAATATCTAATCAATTAAAATGTATAATTTCTGATAAAGAAATTACAAGATTACTTTCAATTCAAGAAAAAGAGAACTTACTTAAGAATCAGAGTAATTCCAAAATTACTTTATTTAATTTAAGCATAGAAAATTTATTTGTAACAGTATTAGATGAAAAAATTTGCTCTAGCCCATATATAGTAGGAATAATATTATCTACTTATGAGATGTTTTATGGCCCAGTAGTATTATCAGTATGGCCTCGTATATTATTTAAACAATCTATAATTTTAGGAAACTTCGACTTCATAAAAAAATATATAGGTTTGTATGGATACCTGGATAGTGATACCATAAGTGCCATTATTGAAATATACCACAACTGCAGAAATAAAAAAGATACATTTGATGGAAAAAAGTTAGATGATATTTTGAATAGTTTATCTAAATCATCCGCTGTAGAATACATGAGAAACTACTATGAATTAGTTGAAATGTGGAACTTAAGAGGTAATTTTTGCATTAACAAAGCAGATGATACAATTACTTTGAATAACTGGAGCAGGCTTATTGAGTTTATTAATAATATCCCATTAAAAATATATACATGTGAACAAATAAATCCAGTTAAACTTTCACACATATCTCAAATGAACAAGATATTAATTAATGATCAATCTCTCTATGATCTTAGATGAAAAATATATTTATTGCAATTTTTATAAATTTATGAGCATAATATATTGACATGATCCAATATTTGCACTAAAAAAGTTTAAATTTATCTGTATCTTAGCTCAGAATTGATGATGAAACTTTAGTAAAAAAAAAGTTATTGAAAAAGGGGAATTATTAGAAATATTGGAAGTATCGGTACACTTTTAAAGTTATGTAATAATGTATTCTATTAAAACTAAAAGGCAGCTCAGATTTATATATATTATTTTACAAAATTATTTACTACAAATATTTAGTAAATTTGCAAACTTCAATATTTATAAGATATAATTAAAATGGCTATATATAACTATTTGTTTTTTTGTTCAATTCTTTTGTCTAGTATTAAAGCTATAGAAACTAAAATATGACATATTCCTATTGGATTAAATATATTATTACCAATAAATTCACTATAAGTTACATTAAATGAATATAAATATTTAAACTAAAGTATATATACCTTCATATATTAAATTTAAAACAAAATTCGTTGAATATAGCTTATTGGTAGTTTTGTGATGTAAATAAATTATATGAAATCTTTTAATCTTTAAATAGAAGCAAACAGGATCTATTTTCAGGTAGAATTGTATAATTGATTAAATGATTATATAGCCAAATTAATGGTTATTTCCACAATATAAGCGGAACAAAATCTCTAAATTTAAATTGGAATAAATCTCACTAAATAAAGAAATTAAATAAAGTTCTTAAATTTTGTTAAATATTTGTAAAGTCTCGAATTTAATTTTTAATTCTGAATAGTCTTCAAGAAATATACTGATAGGAGTCTTGGTTTATAATTTAGGAAGAAAAGAAGAAATTGAATATCACCACCTGGAAACTAATATCTTATTTTTAGTCGATATTTAGTAATTGAAATTGCTTTATTTATAATAAGATGATTATTTCTAAAATTAAAATAAGTTTAATTTATATATTTATGAACTTGTATTATTAAAATGGTTAATTCTAGTCTTTATTCAAAAGTTAGAAATAGTTTATATATTAAGTTGTGAACCTTTTACTAAGAATTATGCTACATATTTCACTAATATGTTTAGAAATTATCCTAAGCAATTTGGCTGAGTTTAAATACTTTAAATTATTTTTTTTCATTAGTGTTAATTAGTTTATGCAGACCCCAAATTTAGCTAATTGTATTTTACATAATAAATAATCGACAAGTTTAGCATATTATTTGTTATTCATTTTTAATATTTCTCATATTTAGGGATATTTTTTAATACTATATTAATACTCAAATATATTTATTAAAAATTTACACTATTCGTTGTAATTTACAGTAGTTTATTAAATCTTTTCATTCATTCTTCGTCTATTTGCTTAATATAATATTGTTGATTTCATTTATACATGATTTTAGCTCAAAGTACTGCTTATTAATAAATTGAGTAATCTAGATATATTTTAAATATAAAATTAATTTATTGTAATGTAATATTCATTCTACAACTCAATAATTATCCATATTTCATCACAGCTAATTCTAAAAGATATTCAATTTAGTGCTATAATATTAAAATATATACTTAATAGATAAGTATATCAACTTATATTATGCTTACAATTCTATTATTTAATTAAAATAATAAATTTATTGATAAAATATATATAGCAATAGTGAATTAGAACAAATTTAGAAATTTCATAAATTTTAAGTGATCTCCATCTATTATATTTAATAAAAAATAAACTCAAGTTACATCTCCTGACTTCTTTTTCAGAAAATTCTTCTATAGTAAAAATCTTTAATTAATTAAAAGGTGAGTATAGGAAGACACCTTGTGATCATATATTTAATTGTTATCAAATTTTATTAAACTCTTCAGTAAATTCCTTAGATAATGTAACAATAATACTTTAATTTAGAATAATCCAAAAAATATATAACTGGAGCTTATTAAAAACTATTATAAGGACATTTATTAACAAAAATCTATAGTTTTAGTGGAGTTTTCTAAAGTGTTAATAATTAAGACTTCATAAGAAATTAAAGTATATTTATGAATAAACACTAGAATTAACTATAAATATATCACTCAATTTATTTAAGATTATAGGGCAGATAACTTGAGAATAGTAATATACCATATATTAAAGGGATAATCCATTTATAAAGATTTTATTCAGTTTAATAAACTCCATTAAATAGTACTAAATAGAGTTAAAATCTTAATAGTCTTATATAAATGACTTCTCAAAATAAACATCTAGTAGTATAAATAATTAAATAAAAAAATATTAGGCCAAATTTTCATTCATAACCTAACGAAATAAATCATCTATTAAGGTATGAGGTAATTTATAATAAAATAAAATTCCTTTATATTCTTCATAAGAACATAAAGCAAATATTTTATCTATTTTTTTTAGCTTTTAAAGTACAGTAATATGTCAATTTCTTATATATAAAATATGTCACTTGAGATCTATTTGATAATTTTGTATCATATCCAGAGTAAGCCAAGCACTTTTTTATTTTTATGCTTCTTCCTAGATTACCAAAAATTCAATAAACCCAAAAATATGACATTTCCAATCAAGCCAAGTGTACATAAAAGCAAAAATATGTCTAATTCTAAAATATTCTAAAATTTTGAAATATATAAATTGTTTTCGAATCTATTTATACATGTCACTAATTTCATATTATTTAAACTTACATATAATATTATAGAAATTATAAATAAAGCAAACGAGGCTGACAAACCATCAATATATTTTACATATGTTGGTTTACTTTTAGATACTATTGGACAGTACTTTGCAATAATTGCCTCATGATCGGAGTCAGAATTATCTGATTCTGATATATATAAAAATAAGATATAACAAGTAAATATTAGCTCCTACTATGAAGTTTATCTTCACTTACCTGATAACTCTATATTACCATATCCACTGCATTTTCTAAGCATTTTGAGTTATTTTCAATAATATTGTTTAATCCCTATCCACATCTTAATATATATATGGCGCTATGAGTTATTAGATCCCTAAGAACAACTAAAAAGCTAACAACTCTTCATGAAAGTTTATAAGTTCTATAACATTTGTGAACTATTGTAAGAGTGACCAGAACTAAAATTAGTTAATATTAAATTAAAAGAAGTAATTGGAAATAACTTGTAACATATATAAAAGTAAATATTGATGCACTGAATTACTAGAGAAGATAATTTCATAATATATTAAGCATTATAACCATATCAGAGATGATATTTAAAAAAAGTATCATTTTGTTTAATGATAATATTGGCATTCAATGTCTAATTTAAATAAGATATAGTATTCACAAATTTTAATATATATTATAATTAATATTACATATTAAATAAAATATAATACCTTTAAAGTAAATGCAGGTAATCAATATTGTAATAAATTAAATATTCTATATTCAAGAGAAAAAAGAAGAAATAATAGGTATAAACATATAATAATTCACAGAATTACTAAATACAAGCCATATAAGTAAATATTAAAAAAGTTATTTGAGAATATTGAATATAAAGGTATTTAATTTCTTTATTATATAGATATTAACAAATCTTTAAATATACAATAAAATTTATTAATGAAATATGAATTACTCATCTAATCTGTGCAATTACTTAGTACTTGTTTAAATAATTACTATATATAATCTTTTTTTTCTACATTGCGTATTTCAATCAAATAAATTTTATTAGTATTAGATTGATTAAAAAAGTGATATTAAAAAAACTTTATGCAATTTCATTATACTATATTAATAAGTTTTTGACTTAAAAGTTAATATCTCAATACAGATATTCAAACCTTACAAATGAAATCTTTTCTTTTAACTAAGCTCAAAATAAGTATCTGGTTCAGGGGTATTAGGCTGAACTGGTATTTCAATAAAATTAGCATTCAAGTCCATATTTTCTCTTAAAAATCGTTTTTTCGATCCAAATTCTTCCCTTATATAGTCCTTATTTGTTAATGTATATGAATTACTTGTACTTTTTCTACTGTATGAATTCCTTTTTTTAGAGTATTTAGTCTCATCATTTTCTAAATAATCAGTATCAGAATCACTACTACATACATTACTTGAGTATTTATTTCTTTTATAAGGCCTATTTAAATTCATTGATTTCTGTTTAATAAATTCAGCTTCTAAAGCAGCATTTATATCACTTATTTTACCTACTTCATAATCTTCAACTATTTTGAGAAATGCATGCTCACTAACTCCATCTATATAGGAATTTTTATTTGATTTACATCTTGTCTTACGTGAATCACGTGATATATTACTTAAAATAGTTGATTCACTGCTAAAACCTAATTCTGCATTGATCTCATTTAAAGGTTTTACAATCCATGTTGGAATATCTTCCATTGGCATTATTCTCTTCGCTGCTTCCATAAAAGATATATATGGTAAACTATGCTCACTTATATCTATTGTTGTATCTATATTATTGTTCTTTTTAGAGCTACTAAGTTCGTTAAAACTTGAATCTTGATATTCATTTTTCTCAAAATTCCTTTGTTTTCTACCACGTTTTCTTAATTTAGGAGATTCTGGTTTTTTTTGCTCAAATTCTACTAGTGTATTATTCTTTTCATTTATGTCTATCTTGTCTTTCATTAAACATTCTTTATTTGATATCTCAATCTCATTATTCTTTTCAAGCTCTACTTTTTTTGACCAATTTAGTAGCTTGAAATAAATTTCCTTACCAAAAATTTTCTTATCCATTTCTTCATACTTCTGTAGTTCCTTCTCATTACGTGCTAAAAGCCTATTTAATTCTGATGGAGTAGTTATCTTAATATTACTATCAAATTCTTCCTTACCAAATAATTCACGTAAACTATCTTCATGACTATCATCTGGAATTTCAGTTGAATTAAATTTCCCAGCTTGAATGATTTTTTGATCAATATCAAGCTTTTTTTGGGCTCTTTTTAATACAAGCTCCTCAACACCACTAATTGATACTAATCTAAATACTCTTACTTCATTTTTTTGACCCATCCTATGGGCTCTACTTTGTGCTTGTAAGTCCTGATGTGGATTCCAATCAGAATCAAATATTATAACAGTATCAGCTGCTTGTAAATTTAGACCTAATCCACCTGCTCTTGTTGATAACATAAATACAAATGTATTAGAATCTGGATCATTAAATATATCCATCTTTTCCTTTCTTTCTTGAATATTCATTGTACCATCTAATCTATAATAAGATATATCTCGATAATCTAAAAAATCACCCAAAATATCCATAAGTTGTGTCATTTGACAGAATATCAAAACTTTGTGCTTAAAATACACTAATTTTGGAATCATCCTATCTAATATTTCAAATTTACAACTAACTTTAAATATATCATCATTTCTAGCAAAGTATTCATCAACAAATAAATATGGGTGATTTACAATTTTCCTTAATTGCATAATAGTGTTACTAACTGATCTATATTGTATCTTACCACTAGATATATCCATTGAATGAACAGCTTTCTGTTTAATCTGTCCATATACAACTCTTTGCCAAGGTGTTAATTCCATTCTAATAATATATTCACGTTTCTCAGGTAAATCTTGTAATACATCAGATTTTACACGTCTTAATAAAAATGGTCTTAAAATAGAATGTAATCTATTTATTATAAATAATTTCTCTTCCTCTGTTAATTCTATCTGATTTTCACTTGAAGATAATTCACTAAATGGTCTATTAAACCAATTTTCAAAATCTTCAACAGAATGAAAAACTTTAGGTAGTAAAAAATTAAGTAATGACCATAATTCATTAATATTATTTTGTAGGGGTGTACCAGTTAATAAAATACGATTTTTAGATTGAAAATCATGTAATACAATATGAAATTTGCTTTTAGAATTTTTTAATCTATGGCCCTCATCCACAATTACATGCTTCCAAGATATTGTCTGTAATATGTTCTTTTCACGAATAACAAAATCAAATGTAGTTAAACATATATTAAATTTCATTAATCTTAATTCTCTTATTAAATTCTTCCTCTCATATCTGTTCCCTTTAAAACATAATAATTTAAGGGAAGGAGACCATATATTAAATTCTTTCAACCAATTTGGTAAAGTAGAAAGTGGAACTACTATTAAATGAGGACCATAATTATTCTTATGTTCATATAAATATGTTAAAAGAGCAATTGTTTGTATTGTCTTACCTAATCCCATCTCATCAGCTAATATTCCATGTAAATTATTATTATATAAACTTAGCATCCATTCAACCCCTACTATTTGATATGGTAATAATTCACCACCAACTAAAAGTTTCATTGGATTTTCTGATATAGATTCTGATATTGTATGTGCTATACTATAATAAGATGAAACACGTGATATCGAACTAGATGTATCATTTGTATATTCTAATAAATTATCTTTATTATCTTCACTAACTGACTTTTGTTCTTGTACTCTTAATCCCATTTCTACAAGAAATCTATCAGTTTGATTTATTAACTCTTGTAATCTACGATCTTTAGTTTCTTTTATTAATTCCAAATATGCATCTAAATCATTCTCACGTAATAATTGTAAACGTTCTCTTTCTCTACGTTCTATTGCCTCACTTCTTTGACTTTGTATTGATATTGTATAATGAGCAGCTCTTGTTGCTAAATGTTTTGCTAATATACGCTTCTTCTTTAAATTACGAAAAATATTATCCCTAACTATAGGTATTTTATCTATAATTAAATGAAAACGACTTTGTTGTAATCCAGATACCTTATATTTCCAAAAACCTTTAATTCGATTATATATATGATATATAATTGAATCTTTAAAATCATCTTCCTGAGATGATATAGATCTTTCATTCATATATATTGACTTATTTATATTATATGTATTATATTTATCAATTTCTTTTAATTCCTTATTAACTCCATTAAATAATTTATTAAATAATTTTACTTGTGGTTTATTAAATTGTAACATTATATATTTATTTAAAGGTTCAATTTCCTTTTCATTACTTGTTATTTCAAATTCATTATCATAATATTGTGCTTCATTATTTATATCATTCCTCAATTGTTTTTGATAATGTAAAAAACTAAGAAGTCGAGATTCTTGTAATGCTCTACTAGAGGCATCTGCAGGTAAGGATATATACTGCCTTATTAGAATATCTATATTTGGATCTAATAATTTATTAATTAACTTATTACGAAAAATTAAATATTCATTCCATTTATCAGATAATATTAATGTTGATAATACAGGTCCAATTGTATCTAAAGTATTTATTCTTATACAATTCATTTCTGCTACCAATTTTAATAATCTATATCCTGAATTAGTATTTAATCTTCTCCTTGACATCATTTTATCTACCATATAAAGTAATTTTTCTTTATATATATTTTTTGAATAATTATAATATATATCTATTGATTTATAAATAACATCTGTTATTAAATCTTCATCATCAGTATTTATAATTTCTGATGAGTTTTCTGTTAAAAATATATCACCATTTCTAATAATCTTCTCATCCATAAGACTAAATAAATTTCCTAAAATATTATCAGGTGGTAAAAATCCTCGATAAAAATAACGATAACATTGAATTATTAGTTTTATTCTGTTAATTATTATTTGTGTTTCTGGAGGATCATTTATTCTGTACCTTTCTTTATTTCTTTGAAGCATTATCCAAAAGTCTAAACATTCAGCAAACCTTCTTGTAGATCTTTCACATAATATAGAGATATTATCATGCATATTTATATTAAGATATATTGATACTTTGTCTTTTTCCAGAGTTCAAAATTTTTCTTTTCTAATTTATAATATCTAGATAATTAATTAACTTATAAAATATAATAAAACTGCACACTGTACTCTTAATATTAAATTTATCCGTTGCTAAATATATTACATTAAATAAAGAGACAATAAAAAGAAGAAGAAATAATAAAAAGAAGAAAAGAAACTTAGTAGAAAAGAGCTACTATTTATATTCTATAGGCGGGTAATAGCCATTTATTTTATTTTAATCTCAAACTATTTTTTAATAAATCTTACATATCTTAGATTTTAAAAGTAATAATTATAACATATAATAAATATTAATTATATTAAGTTATGTATAATATTTCCTTATAATCTCTCTTTTTTTCAAATTATATCTTAATTATATTAACTTATTATAATATTAGAGGATATTTAATAACACAACATTATCTAATTATATTTATAATTTTAATTTATTATATATTATAGAAAATATGAAGATATAAGTAAAAAAAAAAAAACACCTACATGCTTATTTTAAAATCTTAAATAAAGGATTATAAGTAAACATCTTAATGCACGACATGACGTATTATCAGTCAAGTCATAAGTAAATAACATGGTATATATTGAATGATCAACTTCTGAATAAAAAAAAAGAAAAAAGAGAAAAGAAAATGAAGTCACAAGATAATAATTGTACAAATAATCACCACGTAACAATTATTGATTTTTCAAAAGAGTTAGATGAAGATCAAAAAAGGATCTTTAAAAAAGTTTTTGTCCATTGTATAAGAAAATATGATAAATTTCATAATGGAATTGTGACAGCAGAAAATTTCTGTAATAGTATAAGAGATGTTGATATAATTCTGCGTTCACAAGATAATCCTTGGAAAGTTTATATTGAAGGATCAAAAAAATGCTCAGTTTCTTGTCCTGCCTTAATACCAATAATGAACCTAGTAAAAATTACAGAAGATAAATATGTTAACTGTAAATTATTATATTTGGATGTTGAAAGAATGGAATCAGTAGTTAAAATTAAAAGTTCTTATGATGGTTCTTCAAAAGTAATAGCTCATATAAGAAAGAGAAATTTAGAAAAAGATTCAGTTAGTTATTTAGTAAACTGCCCAGAAATATTTTTACAAGATTTATACCCTCCAGCATTATATCCAAATACACATAAACATGATAAGTTTAACAATATAATAGAAGAAAGAAATAAAAAAACTACTTTAAGGGCATTGGCGCCAAATAAATTAAGTGATTTTAGAAAATTATATTCAATGTGGGATAGATGCATGTTATCAGATTCTGATTTTTTTTATCATATGAGCGCTAATTTAGGTATTGTAAATATTCCAGAAGAATTTAAATATTTAGTAGCTACAAAAGGACCAAGTAGGACATTAAGTTTTAAAGATGCAATTTGTGCACTTTTTATAAATGATATTGATTCTCAAAGACGATATAGAAAAGTTTATGAATATACAAATATATTTGATATACCTATAGAGACATTTATTGAGAATAATAAAGATATAAATATAAATATTGGGGATAAAGAGATAAAAGAACTTTATAATAATGAGGTTAATAAATTAATATCTAATTATAATATAAATAAAAGGGAATCACTAGATAAAGGATATGGAACAGAAATATATTTACAAAGAAATCCTTATCCTATAGTAAACTCTACAATAGAAAATAGTAATTATATTGACAATTTAATAAAAGATAAGTCTATAAGTACTCAAAATATAGTAGGGAATTATCCAGAAAATTCAAATATAACAATTATTCCTGAAGATATAAAATTAATATTAAGAAATTGTGTAGATGGTCAAACATCTTCAAATGTTGTTCGTTATGCTCTAAATTTACATGGAATCCCTATAACAACCAAATTGGATCTCCTTTTACGTAGGAATGATGATGGTGGCACTACTTCTTTTACATCATTTATGAAAGAGATCTACAAGTCAATAAAGCGGTAATAGTAATAATAATCTTAAATGGAATAATAGTTGGTAATAAGATATTTGAATTTTTTCTTTTGTTTTTATTTAAGGAGAATTATTTATTTTAATAACTAAAAATTAGCTATGAAAAATGAAGTAGTTTATGATGAAAGTTATATACCTATGCAACAGATAAACCAAAAATTAAATAAGACAATTTCACCAATTGATGATATTGCAAGTATAACTTCAATATCAATTTTTCGAGAAAAAGTGAGGAAGATGAAACTATGGCCAAATTATGATCATATATTTAGAGTTGCTAGAAAAGAAGGAAAATGGTATCTTAGACATCAACCAAGAGGGGAAACTTTACAAACATTGTATTCTAAACGTTTAGTTGATATTTCCAAGGTAAATATTAAATCTATTAACTAATTTTCATTTTGTTCTCATTTAAATATATTTATTTTTAGGCACCATATAAAGGATTAGTTGTTAATCCAATTCCAATAGAAGTTCTTCAAAGTACAACTCAAATTATACTTAATAGCCATAATATCCCTTCAAATCTACATGAACTAGTAAGCTCCTTTATTATTTATAGTTTGAAATAAAACTACTATTTTAGAATATATACTCATATTTCTTTTTTTTTTTTTTTTTTATATATATATTGTAGACTATTACACAATAATATTGTATCTTAATAATTCAATCTTAACATTATATATTTTCTAACAAATTATAAATAAGTTTTAATAGTTTAAATTAGAATAATTAGTATTTAATTACTTCCGAAAATCTAACCATATATACTTATATAATTACATTTAAAGCTACAAATCCTTGGTCATTTACTAAATACTAATAAAATAAAGAATAAATAATATTCATTATAGATAATAAGAAAAATTATCAGTTACTGCAGTAGTTATATTCTTAAATAGGATAACTACATCAATTATAATAAACTCCATATTCCCAACACAATTACAGTTTAGTCTATCAGTACTATGCTATTAGTTATATAAATAAACTAGATAAATCATAAGCTAATTTGTAGTAAATAAGCCAACTACATTACATCAATGTTATAAATTCCTTAAAAGGTTGTGTAGAAGACCCCTTTATATAAATTACAATTAATCACTTGATACGTAGACACAACCATATATTGACCTATCTATTTAGTATTATTCTATTAGTTATTGAAACTAAAAATTAGAACCCAGAATATTAAATATTAGTTGAAAAAGGTACTAATTATTCCAATGTTACAATAAAATTACCTATATTGTTCAACTTAATAATGATTTTAGAATATGTCTAAATATATTAATAAATATCTGTATTAGTAGTAAAAAAATCTATAGGCCTTACAAATTTATTTGTACCAGGAATAATCAAAGATTTGAAATATCGACTATCTTCATATGTAGAAATAACTTCTGTATTCCTTAATAATTTTGCCATTTTTGTAATACTAGGATATTTATTTTTAATACAACCAGGAGCTACTAATTCAATAAGTACAACAATAGAATATAATGTAATATCAACAAATGTTATATATTTATTACCTATAAATGGACCATCATTATTAAGTGCATTATCAATAATACCTAGATAAATATCACTATTTTTAATATCTAAGATATCCTTACATAGAATATTACCATTATTTGCACGTAAATTATTTATTATACTGGACATAAAATCATTAAGGAATGAATTAACTTGTAAAGATCTAGAATTCTTCATAATAGTATATGAGGCTAAACTTCTTGTATATATAGATAGTAAATATATATATATAGAATTTATATCACCTAAATATCTTATATTATAATATTTATCTGTTAATAGTGGGAAGTCTGAGACAAAATACCCCATATTTAGAATTTTAGAAATGAATTTATTACTACTTCCACCATTATAACTAAATCTTAGTTCTTTAAATGGTATACCACTAGCCACAAGTAAATATCGAATATTCTGGCATAAATCATATTCATTTGTTGAATATACAACAAGTGACCTACCAGTTATTGCTCTTGCATATAAATTTGGTATATTTGTTAAAATAAGAGAAAGTAAATAGAAAGGTACCAATTTCATTTTTCTTCTACAAGAAAGAATTTAAAATAAGGAGATGATAGTATCCAACTAGTAGAGACATACCATATTTTGTAGTACCTCTTGGGAATATAGCGCCTATATATGTTATTTCATCTTGAGTCTAAGAAGAACATAAATTATAAAAAGAAAGGATAACTCATTACTTAACATTATTTACTATATTATAAATACTTAATATATCATTATAAGTCAATTATATTAGATATTTTAAATATGACAATTTAATCAGATACATCAGTCGTTAATGGTGAATATATAGAACTATCTCTATGACTATTTAAAGCACTACTATGATCTGTGTCATAAGGAAGTGATGGGAGTGATGGGAGTGATGGGAGTGATGGGAGTGATGGAATTGATGGAATTGATGGAATTGATGGAATTGATGGAATTGATGGAATTGATGATAGAATAGAATTACTACTACCATCCAAAATAAAACTACCTTCACTACCAACTCCTCTATAATTATTTTCACTTTGATTATCTTCACTATTACTAGATATTGACGATTCTGTTTTTATATCAGAAATTGTATCGGTTATTGTATTATATTCTTCATTATTTTCATATTCTTTCATATCTATATCTTTCAAAGGGATTGTTACATCTTCTTCTCTAATATTACTCATTTGAATAGATTTTGCTACATATTTAAGAGGTTGAACTGGTAGTTGTAATATAGGATGAACTTCAAATACAAATAATTTTGGCATTTTCACAGGAACTTTTAATAATTCCATTGAATCTAGTTTTAAATCAATTTCTGATTCTACACTAATCTCATTTTGAAGTTTTTGTATACATTCATTAATTTTTGATTCATCTTCAACAGAATGATCATTATAATTTTTATAAGAAATAAGTAAATAATATATTTTATTTTTCTCATTATCTAGTAGATGTTCAACATTAGTACATAGGAGAGAAATATCTTCCATTGATAATAAGTTAATATCTGAATCAGAGATTGTATCATGAATACTACTAGTATCAGTAGATAACTTTACATCTTTAATTTTTAATAAAAATATATAAAATAATAAGAGTACAAAATAATTATTTATTAAGTTATTTTTCATTTTTACAATGTTTGCTTATTTTGATCAATTTATGTCATTATAAATTATACTAAGTTCTATATATCTATTTATTATTAGATCTAAAATTATACCAGCGCTAATATTTGTTGTATCTTAATAATTAATAGATAATGTATTACTATAATATTAAATAATTAAATAAAATTGTTAAAATTTTGATAGGAGGAATTTTAAATGATAATTTTTCTTTTTTTAATGAAATTTCTTAAATAGAAAAAAAAAGATTTATTATTTAAATTCCTCTTATTAATGAGACATATACACGCGCACACATCTAAAATATTATAATATTGTCTAACCATTTTAAGAAATATAATAATAGTTTAGTTTAAGAAGAAACAAGGTTATTTACTTATAATTTGTATATATTTTATTTAATATATGTTAATATTTTTATTAATATGCCAATTATTTGTATTTTAGATTTATATGAATGGATAGTTAACTATAGTAATGAAGAGACACCATCTAATTATACAATATTGCATGAAATAAGAAGGTGTATTAAAAATAATTTAAAGACTCAGAGGCATTGGTCAAGTACAGTATATGAAACAAAAAGTAATATAGATATAAAGTTTAAACAAAAAAGAAAGAAAAAAAAATGTAATAGAATTAAAAATAAATATTTAGAAGTTGATAAATTATTTCCAATAATAAAAACAAAAATAAATAGACCATTTACATCAAATTCAATAATAAATTTAACATCTTTCCCAATGTTTAGAAGGTCTTTAGATTCTATTTTGTCATCATCTTCATCATCAGATGAATCAAATTGTTCAAAAGAAAGTATTAATAATAATAATGATAATAATGATGGAATATTTATTATTAATAATTCATCAAGTCTTTATTCTCTAGCATCATATATTGAGAACATTTTATTAATAAAATGTAGTAAATTACCTCAAAATTTAGATAATGATAAATTATATATTGAAGCAAATATTCCATGTTTTCTTATTTTTTGGAAACAATTTGAGGATTGTATAAAATTTAAAAATTATTATCTTAATGAATATATATCATTATGGCAACAATTAAGGGATGTATTATTATTAACAGGATTGTCTTTAAAATATCCTACTTGGTCTGGTTATCAATTATCTAATATTATTAATAGAGTAATACCAGAAAAAATATTATTAAAAGAAAATTATAAATTAAATAATAATATGAAATTAGAAGATCCAATGATATATGGCTTTAATGAATTAAACTATTTTTTTTTAAATCATCCAGATGATTTTTTTGATTTAAATACAGTTAGTAAACTTATTCAAGAAGAATTAAAAAAAATTACAAAATTAATAAATGAGAAGAATGCAAAAATTCCTTGTGTAGATATTGAATTAGATATGAATAAAACCTCTTCTAATGTTATAATTAATTCTAATGATTTATCTATAGTTCCAAAATTAACTTCAAATAATGGTAAATTATGTAATTATATTGAGAGAACATCCTTAGAATTTACAATACCTGACACAAGATTGGTATCATTTGATGATACAATATTTGATAATTATATATTAAATAAAGAAGATCTTAATAACTATATAAGAAGATTATCAGATAGAATAGGATTAATGATTACAAGACAAAATATTGAAAGAGTAATTAATCACAATAAATTTCAATATATAAGACAATTAAATAATCAGAATTCGAATAAATATGAATATTCATTAACAATATTACAACAATGTATTCAAAAACTTAATATAGTAGATAATATTATGAAAGAACAATGTATTTATAATGATGAAATATTTACTAATTTTATTTCAAATATTGGAGATTCATCTAGAAATTGTATGAATATTGCTGAAAAAATTAATAATTTAACTATTAATTTATTAAATAATGATAATAATAATGATAGTGATAATGATAATAATAATAATAATAATGATAATAATTTACATGATAAGAAGATATTTATACAAAAAAGTTATAATAAATCTATATTTTGGAGTTTTTTATTTATTTTTCTCTTCGGAATATTATTTATAATTACATCAAAGAATAAAATAATTATAAGTTCTAATATTAAAAATGATAATATAGAAGATTTTAAAGGTTTAAATTTTTATGAAAATATTTGGATGAGGAGTAGTGATTGTCTATTAGCAAAATGGGAATATGAGGGTCAAAATATTAATATATGTGATGTTATTGGAGATATAATTATTATTCATCAATGTTTTACAATTATATAATATATAGTAATAAATTCATTAGAGTTATAAAGATAATAATATTTCTATTTAGATCTAAGAATATTAATAAAAAAAGTATCAATTTTAAATAATTAAGAGAAACCGCAACCTTTTTTTAGGTTTTATAAATTTATTGAAAAAAATTATTATTGAATATTATATTATTCATAATTTCCTAGAATATATTTATATATAGAATGTTACCAGTTATTTGTATATGTATTGTGGATAGGGATAATCAACCATTAGTTTGTAGAGTATTTGATATTGAAGAAAAAGAATCATTACAATTTGCAGTTTATTCATCACTAGATTTAATTGATAGAAAACTTTCAAGTGATCTTAATTCAAATGAGGCATATATCGGATATTTAGGACCAGCTATAAGTATAAAATATGAATATGAAATATATGGATATTCAAGTTTTTCACATATTAAAGTTATTGCTATTCTACAAGATCATCCTGAAGATGAGGATGAATTAAAGAAGTTATTAAATGAGATCTATAATACATATGTTGATACTTTATGTAATCCATTTTTACTTCATACAGTAGAAACTCCAAAATTATTGCAAAGAATTGATGATTTAATTTATCAAGCTAAAACTTCAAATTAATAAATATTAGAAAAAATAAAAAAAAAAAATAATTTAGATAAATCTTAAGAGATTAATTAGTATTAGTATTATATATATTTTTTATTTCTTATATTAAATAAGAGAGTATTTATAATAAATTACTTTATCCCCAATAAAATAAGATTTGAGCAGCGCTAAATAGATTTTTTTTTTTCTGAATTAGATATGCAATATTTAAGTAGAGAATTTTAAAGAGATTATGATTTCCAATGGAGAATCTAAAAAATTATGAAAATCGTGAATATATTTTAAGTGAAACTACTACAACAGCATCAGATTCTATACCTTTTTCTAGTCAAGGCCAAATTTCAGTTTTACCAACATTAAAATTAGATGAACTTATAGATCATACATTTCCTATTAAAAAGAATGATCTAAATTGTAGTAATATAACAGAAATTTCCGATAATATTAATAATTTAATAAATGGACAAGAAAGTGATAGTGAGGTATTATTACATTTACCTGAATTTGATTCAAGTATAAAATTTATACATGATGCACAAAAATTCTTTATGGCTTTATCTATAGCTGAATCTGAATTAGATCTTGTTAATAATTCCAAATTATTAAAAGGAAATAATTTAGATAATTCTGAAGATTTAATAGAATGTCAGAGTGGTGTAAATTGTTTGAAAGATATTCGTTGTTATGTTGAAGATTTATTAGAAACTGTTAATGAGACGAGAAAATCCACATATATTTTTGAAAAGTATATTTTTGAATGTTGCAATTTAATAGAAGGATCTTTTAATAATGACTTAACAAATAGATTACAAGATTATGATAAATATAAAGATGATTATAATCCAGAATATCTAATAATATGTGAAAAACTTAAATATCTATGTAAGAAGATAATAGATGACAATAATAATATGAGAGAAAAGTGTAAATTATATGAAATTGAATGTAATAAATATTATAATTTAGATGAATCAATAAGTAATAAATCAAATTGGATTAGATTTATATTTAAATTGATCTTTTTTATTATTTTTTTTATAAGTTTACCATTATTAAATAAATTCCTTGGTTTAGAAGAAAATAGATATAAGGAAAAAATGGATAATCTACAAAATATGAATAATATTATATTTAATAAAGCAAAAAATATGAAGAATTATGTAGAAACCTTAAGTGAATTTGATTTACATGGATCATCAATTTGTACAATATTATCAGAACTTGATATTATAGAGAAATGTTTTACAAGAATAAGATTTTCTTAAGATAATTTTCTTTTTATTTATCTTTAAATTGAATAATTATTTAAGAAATGATCAAACTTATTTTTAATTTTAAATATTAATCGTTTCAATGAATCATTAAGAGTATTTCCATTATAATTATTAGTTGAGTCCTCTATTTCAAATTCATAATTTGAATTCTCTACTAATTCTTTTTTTTTATTTGCTGTGCATATATTATCTAATTCTAATGATACTTTCAAGAATGTACCACGTGTAGATTCGGAAGCATTGTTATAATAATTTTCTAATAATTCTTGTGACATTAAAGTTGCATTACTTTTACATAATATTAATAGACTTTTATTATCTTCATATGGAAATTTATTATTAGATCTTATACTTGTAGATGTAATCCAATCTGTTAATGCTATTATTAATGTTTTATTTTTTATTATACTTAATGGTTGATTATCTGTAATTATACAATATTTTGTTTCATATTTATTATCTACTTTAATATATGATAAAACTAATTCTTCTAATAATTTTGCTATATATGATGAACCAACAGAAATTATAACTCTACTAAATAATTCATTTTTTTGTAAGCTTGTTTCAATTAATTGTTGAAATTGATTTATATTCATTGGATGAACTATATATGATTTAGAAAAAAAGTTCAATGAAGTATGTACTAAATAATCCTTATAAATTAATGGTCCTCCTAAAAATACTCTATAAGGATATTTCTTAGTTTTATTTGAAACCTTAAAATCTCCATATAAACCAACTATTTGACCAAAATTATTAATTAGTGGTAATCCAAAATATTCCATTTCTGGATATTCCCCTTGATTAAATTCAACCCAAATACCGTCATTATCTTTAATAACAATACCACTTATAGATTTTAATAATTCTTCTGGTTTTAAAACATTTACAATTTCCCCAAGAATCGGTGTATAAAAATTATGTTCACTAGAACAATATAAATGTCGGAAAATTTTAGAGAATTGTATTTTATTATCCTTATCATCTAATTTAAATTGTAGATAACCATTTAAATCTAAAAAAGTATCAAATGAATAATATACTTCTTTATAAGAAAATATATAACCTAAATTTTTGAAATTATTAGTAATTTTAAATAAAATTAATTTATCATCTTTAATCCCACTTAATGATTCTAAATAAAAAATACTTTTATATATTTGTAATTTCAAGATATCTTCTAATTTATTTTCATTTAAAATAGTATTATTAAATTTCCAAATACTCAATTCACCCAAAATATTATAAGTTGAATCACCAATTATTTTAAAATTATCATATATTGATACTAATTGTCCCAATTCATTTACAATTGGAAGCCCTACAAATTTATAATAGGCAGGTTGAATTGGAAACCAAGCATATATATATGGACTATTTAATATACACTTTCCCATTATTGGTGGCATATAAGGTGAAATTAAAAATACTTTTTCTCCTTCTTTGATATCAACTAAATTATGTACTTTTTCAGAACATAAAAATGTATAACTAATTTGATAAAGATTTAATTTATTCCCATTTATTTCAATTATATCATCTAAATTAAAAAATCCAGTACTGAAATAGTATATACCACGATATTCAAATGCAAAACCTACTTCTTGTAATTTATTTTTGACTGAATATATACGAATAGAACCAGGATTATGTGGATAAAATTTTCTCAAATCATAACAAGGATAATATACCGTATTATCATCTAATCTAACAGTAGTAATGCAATTAAATAACGAAATAAATAGATTAAGAAATACTTTAATTATGTATATTAAGACATTACATAATAAGTCCTTGAGTCTTGTTAAAAAAAAAAGTCCATATTCCTTGAAATGATTATATTTACGATTATCTCCATATTTTTGGTATATCTGAAATTTATTTGAATTATTTTTAATTTGTTTATTACTCATTATATTTGACTAAATATAGTACAGGTTATAAATGACAAGTAGGCGCCAGAAATCCCCCATAGTTCAATTTCGAGCAAACGTAAAATGTTAATATTTTAAAAGAGAAAGAGCGCTTAATAATATTTAAAATAAAAATTACTTTAATTTTATAATATTTACTTAAGTTAATATTACTTTATATAAGACACTCTATATTATGATAATACTTTTTTGTTAATACCTTAGTATATAAAAGAAAATTAATTAATTTTATCTTACTCTCATGAATAAATCTATATTTATTTGTAATACTATCAAATATTATTATTTAAAAATTAATAAATAGCGCTATTACCCTTTAAAGTAGATAATGAAAGACGTAACTAGAGTGAGTAATGTGCATCATTTCGATACTGATAATAATGCCATCTCCTTAAATATTCCTCATTTCTTACAAATATGATTATAAAAAAGTTATCGCATATTTCTATTATATTATTGTCCTTATGTTTCTTGATAGTTGAATCTGTCATTAGATGTCCAGATATTAGGCCTTTGTCATATTACTTATCGAGTCGTGGTGGTGGGATTCGTGTAACAGAATGTGTTGGTATTGTATTGGCAGACTGTGAAAATGAATTAAGTGATGGCATATATTCTTGTGATGCTGTTGTTGTAGATACAAGTACTAGAAGTAGTCAAAGTTTACTTAGATATCTCGGTATGACTTGCCCAGCAAATATTGGTCAAGGAGTTCATGTAAGTCATGTTGCATCAAGAAATAGGGATTGGCTTTCTACATCAAAACATATTTTTTGTGTCGCCTCATCAAGTACAAATCTTGAATCTGTATATAGAAATATATTTGAAACTGGGATGTCGTATTCTGAAAAAGAGGTTCTTTTACCAATATTATCGATATCAACAGGGAACCCTGAATTAAGAGCTAGAGAAGCTGCTATTCATACAAGAACATGGTTAAGAAATAGATATGATGTTCAGTCAGGCTGTCCCTTAAGAATTATATTTACAGAAAGTAGTCCAGATTTATATAATATTGCATTAGAAGAATTCTCGAAAGCCTTCTCAAAGAATCCCTTTGCACTTCAATCAATTAATACACAACCTACACAATTTGTACCACCTCCACCAGTATCTAATACACAACAACCTCAACAATTATTACCTTCAGTTCCATTACTAAGAGATCTTAACCAATATGAAAATTTAGCATGCCCTACAATAAAGAACTTATATGATTTATTACTTTCATTAGGAGAACCAAATATTGTACATGTAACATCATCTGCAACACAAGTATCTATTGTGAAATGGGATATTCCTCCTGGCCCTTATGCATGTGATGCTATAGTATTAGATGTTGATTCTAGTGTGGCCCATCAAACATGTGATGAATTAGGTTATAATTTGAATACAGCTCCAGTAACTGGGGAAATTGCATTTGAGTCATTTAATTTTCCATCTACTCCTTTGATGTGGTTTACATCTATTAGGAAGTTATATACTTTGTCTTATTTAGATTTAAAATCTTATTATGGAGGCGGTGATATTCTTAAAGAAGCTCTTATAAATGCATATATGGCTATATTTGATCATGCAAAGAATAATAATATTGTTGAACTTTTAATAGTACCATTTGGTTTTGATGTAGAGGAAGATAGGGGATCATCATTAAATTCTGCTCTTTGCTTAAAAGCTCTAGGTGAAAGTCTACAACTGTTTCTTTCAAGTTCATATAATTTACATGTAGTCTTAATAAGTAACTATCACAATAGAGTAAAAACAATGACGGAAGTTATAAAATTATATTTTATGTCTAATAATAACTTTATCCAGAATAGATCAATACAAACTAATAATTTACCCAAAAGGTCTCCACAACCTATTGCAAGAAGATCAATGCCATTGCAACCAAATAGAAGTGATACTTGTGGTTCTAATCATCCATTAAGTGAGTTGATATTTAATTTTTATGGTAAAAGTGCTCACAGTCCTTCCAAATATGTTTCTTTCTTAAATAATAGTATTCCGGGTATTTTATCTTGTGAATGTATTGTTATTGATGTCGCAAAACCTGACCATGTGAAGTTACTTGCAAATTTTGGTAGTATTATTTCAAGTTGTAAGAAAGTTGGTTCAAGTGAACTGAAGGTTTTATCAAATAATAATACTATGAGAAGAAATAGACCTTTATGGTCACACTCAATTAGAAGAATATTTTGTGTTAATACTCATTCACTTATCTATACAAATAAGAAAGAAAATACTAATGCATTATATAGGAAAATCTTGAATTCTGCAAAAAATCGCTGTTCATCAATTATTATGCCTTTACTTTCTGTATCTTCAGGAGATAGTAAATATTCAATGAGGCAATATATAAGTGAGGCTGCAAGTGCAATGAGTTCTTTCTATTCAAATAATAGAAATATGGCTTTACAAACAACTATATATGAAGAAAATGATGAGATATTCCAAATTGGTTTGGATTTATTTGCTGAACACTTCACCCAGACAAGATCCCAGCCACTTTCATCATTAATAACTAATTCTGTTCGAAACCTGCCATATAATAAATTGAATTATCCAACTTCAACTCCTTACCCTGAAGCAAGATTGAGTAATAGAAGGTTAAATAAACCTCCTCAAAGACCTCTATTACCAAAATTCAAATATAATTCTTATAGTAATAGACCTGCTCCTCAAAGAGCAACGAATGTAAATATAAGTTCAACTTCATCTAGAAGAAGTAATCTAGATTGTAAGTTATTGATGTCACTTAAAGATGTGATCTATAATTTACATGATTTTGTACCAAAGAATCTGTCTAGTAGAGCAGACCAAATATATTTTGTTAATACAGAGATTCCTCCTGGTCCAAAAAATTGTGATGTACTTGTTTTGGATATAAATTCTGATATTTTTGATTTTATGATCCAGCAAACAAATCAAGAACTTCCTAGTTTATTACCTACAGTTACTGTCCTTGCAAATATGAATTATGGATCTGGAAGTGGAGATATCATAGATACTTTAAATAGACTATATATTATTGATACTTCTCTGGTAACTAAAGGTTATAGTTATACTGACATTATTGAAACAGCAATTAGAAATCAAGAAAGAGATATTTTGTTACCAATGTTTAATCTTAAAGAGAAATTGATGTCTTCGAGGTCAGTTGCAAAAAATTATGTTGTTGAAGTTATAAATATTATCTTAGGAGTATTAGATTTATATGACTCATCACTAAAAGTAATATTCTATGAAAGTGACTACCCAGCTGCATTGTTACTACAAAGTATACTTATTAATGTACTATCAGGAACTTCTATTGTAACTACTTAAAGTGAAAAGCTAAATTGTAAATATATTCTCCGAATTTTTTTGAGTTAATAATCCAGCAAACAAATCAAGAACTTCCTAATTTGTTATCTACCGTTACTGTTCTTGCAAGTGTGAATTGTGGATCTGTAAGTGAAGATATCACATATTTTGATAATATTGAAGCTTTATTACCTTGTATATTTTGACTTGTTGCATCTATTCCAAATAGTGTTCTCATTATTTTCCACTTAACTGAAATTGTATATGTTAATATACTTAATATAAAACTTCCACAGATGAGCATAATCCACGTAGTAAGGAAATTTAAACCAGGGAAAATATAAGATCTTATTACTAAGGACTTTCCATCATATAGTGAATAGGGGCTTGAAGGTGTAATTATATAAATAAATATATAACGAATTAGAAATTCTTGCCATACTACATGAATAATATAAACAACTATACAACTTTGTGAAAAGTGATACTGAATTTTGGATGAAAAGTTTACTTTTTGAAGTAATTCTTCTCCAAATACTCTAAATAATTCTAACCATACCCAAGTACCTAGAACAAATAGAAGTGTTGTATATCCACCAGAATAGCATGGATATGCCCACAGATATGTAACTAATAATTTGTTGTTAGGCCATGTGATAGCAATCATAGTAATTAGTATTAAATACTTTACTGGTATTATGTTTTTTACACAATTACTTCTTTCATGTTCATTATCAACTTCAAGCAACATATCTAGAAATCCTGCGATAAAAAAATAATTATAGAATATTATAGCTAATATAACTCTCAACTGAATTTCATTATCAAATACAAGTGATATTGAAAGGTAATTCTGAGAATTAAAATTTAAATCCAATATTGTTTTTATGATATTATCTAGCCTATACGCCATAAAACCAGAACCAATATAGATAGGTAGATAAGTAAGAAACGAATATTTTAATAAATTACTTAAGAAGGGATATCTTTTTAATTGAATAAATATTGGGATAAAAATATAGGGTATAATAAAACAAAAAATAGGTTGACTAGGAAATCCAAGTAAAAAGTAAAAGATTAAAACAGAAGAAGTAATTAATAAAACATGAAGTTTACAGTATTTATTTAAATGTTTATATTGATTAATTAATTTACCATCTGAATAAGTATTTTTGAATATCTGCTCATATGTGATTTTTAAGTATAAGAAACCTGGCTGATTAATCATTAATATAATGAATAACATTGGTAAGAACCAAAGCCACTCTAAACCAGAACATTTGAATTCAGCCAGATATTTAACATAAAAATCGATAATATTTAGAAAAGGAGGCTTAGGAGCGCATGGACGCCATGATGATCCAAGATATGCTGCCAAAGCAACAACAGTAAAGTAACCAATGAATGAAGGTACTATTAATCGCCTCAATTTCCTAAAGATAAATTTCCTGTAGCTATAAGTTACTATATTAAAAAATAAGAAGTTACATGTAACTGTTTGTTTATATTATTTTTAAATATTTATTTACATACCTGACAGGTCTAATTTTGAATAATATATTGCTCTACCTGATGAATAAAAAAATGTAGGCATTCCAAAATGTAATAATTGAATAATAAATCCATCAGAGATATTTTCTTCCAAATTATTAGTTGGTATGATTCTTTGCACCGCAACCATCCCATGAACAGCTAGTACAAGAACACAAGCTACACTACGTAGCCAATCAGTAAAAAAACAGCGAGACTTAAGTACTTTCCCCATCAAAGTAATTATTACTAGAAATAATCCGAAATTTATAACTAATATTGAGGGGACAAAGTTCTCAGGAGTTTACGATATATGTCTACTTATTGCCTAAGGTGACGAGCTAAATTATTCATGTAAAATAATAGCAAATATCCCCTAAATATATTAGAAGTAAAACTGAAATTCACTATCTAATATTATTTATTATTATATTATAGTAAATAGGAAATCTTAATAATTGTCATGAGAAAAAAAAAAATTTAGATGGTGAAGGGTGATGATAGATTACACTACTTTAAAAATAAAAGGGGCAGACATATATCACCACACTATGCAACTAAGTTTACAGATCTACATTACCAATAGGAATCCGTCAGTTCGATCCACTATTTACTACACCTGAACCAAGAAGGCGGCCAGCAGAACCTAATGAGTAGTCATCAAAATAAGAACTCTCTGAAGTATCAGAAGATTCCATATCACTATCAACTAAACTGTTACTTGCGGAACTTCCAAAAGGACCTACAGCTTCAGACGGAAGGTT